CAATATAGCCTAACTTTTGCAGTTTCTGGTGAGGTTGGACTGGTACATCATCGCATTGCGTTTGAGACCGTTACAAGAGAGAGGTTCGAGAAATTCCTGGCGGCAACAGCACGCTAGTGCGAGAAAATATTTCCCTGGGACGAGCCGATCTTTCTGATCTATAATAACGCCCGCCCAGCTGATCCCCTGATCCGCTATAAAGCGACTCCCTCCCGACTCACCGTTCCTAAATATGACGGAAATGACCCACGCTGCCTTCAAAGCTAGAGTCAAGAGAGACATGGCCCTCCCAGATTGGCAGCAAAGAGTCGGGGACCGAGAAGCCGCGCATGAAGCAGGAATGAACCTACAGGAGTGGAGATGTGATCTTCTGATGGAAGAGGCCCAAGAAAACACTGGACAATTATTACCCAAGGGAAGTGTTCCCGATGGTACAACAATATTGCTAAATATACATGCCACGATGTCTTGCGCGTCAAGAGATTGATGGGTGAATTGCAGCATACAAAACAGAGCGAAAAGGAGACAGTAAATCAAATTTAAAGGATGAATAAACATGTCAACATAAAGATGTCCCTTACAGATTTGTTCAAACTTTTAAACAAGTTTAAACATTCAACAGTGAAAAAGGAAATTCCGTAACCTTTTTCATTTCATTATTTTGATATATTATCATTTATCCCTCATATCAGTTAATTTGTTAATTATAAATTTTACAGACACAAAGATTTTGAAACAAAAAACCCCAAGAAGAAATAGGAAACTTTATTCATTAAGTGGTTTTTTTTTAATTTGAGTGGCCAAACGATGAAAACGATTGCCCATAAACGAATAAGAAAAAAAAGAGCAAGGTATATAATATAGGTTTTCCCGGCCAATTTCGCAAAAAATAACGTTCGAATAGCATCTTCATAATGGCCAATTTGAAGCGAAGTAGCGCTCTGCTGTCATTCCTTTGGTCCTTATTAAATTTCAGGCGTTCAAATTCGTTTTTAGACCTGGCATTTTCATGTTTAACACATCCTAAATTGAAGTTTTGTCATTCGGTTTAAGTGATCATACATTCAATTTAGCAAACGGTTCGGTTTAGAGTTATTTGCATGAGATTCTTGTTTTCGTTTTCATTTCCGCGCATTCTATTTAGCACTTTTTTTCATTCAAAATAAAAGTCAACGAAGGTATACGACGCGAGTTTTTCATTTCTTTCACTTTTTCATTATTTCTGCTTCATGTCGTGGTCCATTTCTGTGTTTCTGGCCCCTCCTCTTGGCAGGTTTTCCCGTCTGCCAGATCTCAGATACGTCCTACAATTGACCTGGCAGTAGATATCTGTTTATGCCAAGATTGTCTGCAAGTTCAAGATAGTTTTGGGCATCAAACGAACACGGTCTACAATTGAAATTCCATGTAACGCCCATGAGCTGGCATATTGATATTTCTAGTGCTTCAATCCAACAGTTTGCGTGGTGATCAGAGTAGTGGCAGAGTCTTGTGGGAGACAGGTTTTTATATCTTTATTTCCAAATTGGAACAAAAGCACTCCATCTTATTCAAACAAACGACGGAACGACATGGACCTATTTCGAATTACTTTGCTTACTTTACACACATGCTTGTTTAATGGTGAATTCGAATGACCAAATTTACACAGCTGGAAGCTGCGGCGAATTTGGATGCTCGTTTGTGCAATTTTGATTTGAATGCCCTAGGCCTATTGTTGAAATTGCATGATTAAAATGTGAAATCGCATGCTTCTAATGTGAAATTGATTGGTGTTATTAGGTAATTGAATGTTGATCTCAACGTGCATTAAAATTCGTGCGAAAATGGGCGATTGGTCGCCAATTTGGCCGCCACTAATTGAAATTGCTAACTTGGCCGGGAAACCTACATCATATGCGCACCGACGTTCGCTAATTTGAATGCGTCCACCGTCAAAAGATACCATAAACTTAATTTAAGAACGTCGCAAACTAAATCTTGAATGCACCTTAACGAAATAGAATGCCCCAAAACGAAAACGAACGTTTGGGACACAATCTTGGGTGCCTAAAAATGAAATCGAATGTCCCAACGATGAAAAAGAAACCCCATTTGATCGGATGCTTAGAAATCAGACGAAATTGAATGGCTATTAATGAAAATGATCAGAAAAAAAGATGAATTTGGCCGGGAAAACCTATAGATTTCATACATTTCAGAGTAGTAGAAAGCAGGCGCGGTTCTACGGGAGGGGCTAGGGGGTCCCAAAAAAAATTGTGTCTAGCCCCCCCCAAAAATAAATTCCGTAAAAAGAAATTGCTTCAGCAAAAAGAAGGATTGTGATGTACATGCGAACGGTCTCCCCCTAAAGAAATAGTCGTGACATGGGTGCATTTGTAGTTAATATAGTGTGAATGATTTTAGGATTTTATTTGCGCTTCCCATTGAAAATATGGCAAATAAGAAAACTACAATTAAGTCTTGAATGCACCAAAACGAAATAGAATGCCCCAACACGAAAACGAACGTTTAGAGCAAAATTTTGGCTGCCTAAAAATGAAATTGAATGCCCAAATGAAAAAGAAACCCCAATTTGATCCCACGTGCAAAAATCACGCGAAATTGACTAACTGATAATAACAAATATTTAGAACAATTCAAAAATTGGTCGGGAAAACCAAAATTAGATGCAAAATATGACGTCATCGTCACAGGTCCCAGGTCTGCATGTGCAGATCCCTATAGGTTTCCCGGCTATTTTAAAACGTTTATCATTCAAATTCACCTTTTCCAATATTTAAATTCGTCCATTAACATCGATTTCGTGCACCTCAAATTTTGTTATATCGTCTTTTGTCAGACCATTTCAAATTCAGTTCAAGCAATTCAAACACGATTTCGTCCCGGGGTATGCTATTCGATTTCGTCTCGTGTACGCCAAACCTTGTTATTCAAAAATAAAATAAAATTCGTCTAATTGATTGATATACTACGGATTCGATCTCTGAACGCTGCTATTCAGCAACAGCTCAGACGAATGTGATCTGTAATGACCAATATTCTCGACCCGGTGACTTAAAATTTGGTTATTTACAGTTTGTTAATAGCGTGTGAAATTTTTGGTGAACGAAATTGAATGACGGTGAATTTGAATAAAAAATCTTATAGCCAAGAAAACCTTTACCATTTTCTTCCTATCAGCTTTTCAGAGAAGGCCCTTTGGTTGTATATGAAGAAGTGACGTCAACATGACGTCATTAGAATGCGATTAAAAACATTCGACGTGGTCTGACCGTCATTCAACTTAGTGGGCAATAATATGGAGACCTAGAGTATGCAAAACATTTTCAAAGTTTTTCAGTATTTTCTCTTTGCAAAATTTCACATTGTTTGAGATTATCAAATTTATCGTCATTAAATTTAGATCATTTAATGACGATCATATAAACGCCGTGGAATTATTGAGTTTAGATGTCCGAAAACTTTGGGAATCTATATTAAAAAAATACCGGTTTACAATGCATCATACAGTTAATCAGCTAATCTTTCAGGGATGGTCAAAACGTATGTGAGCCATACCCAGAAATTGAACAGAAACTTTGCTCTTTTGAAACGGAACAAAGTTCTAAATATAAATAACCAGATCTTGACGGAGAAATTCTCATTAAAAAAAACAACATAATTTAGGTTTTCCCGGCCAATTTCCTAAAATGTTCATCACTTCTGAAAATCGGCCATTCATTTTCGTCTGAATTTGAGAACCGTTCTGAACATGCGTTTCATTTTTGCTACCAGAACATTCGATTCCATTTCAGTTCAATCAATTAAATAATTGAGCAGCACCTTTCGTTCATGTTCATTCAGATTCGTTTACAAGACTACTTTTTCGCTTTTAGAGGGCGATTTCAAACATTGACCGTTCTATTTCACTTTAAGTTTAATGTTCTGTGATCTAATCTGCTATTTTGAATGAGAAAAACGTACTTTTGATAAATTGAGAAATTGTATTCCAGAACTCTGCGCGAAAAGGTATGCTTGTGTAATGTATGCACAGGTAACGTAATTGGCCGTGTCTGTTTCTCAAAACCGAATGCACGGACAATGAAAACGACTCTTTCGTCGAGAAAACGACTGACTAATGTTCAGAAGTGACTGAACATTTTAGGAAATTGGCTGGGAAAACCTATAGGCCCCCTAAATAAAAAAAAATTGTGGCTTAAACTAGACATTTTATATGTAGGTTTCCCGTGGCCAATTTCCTGATATGTTCATTCACTTCTGAAAATCGGTCATTCATTTTCGTGTGAATTAGAATGAACGTCTTTAATCCCATTTCAATTCAACGAAAGTTCACTATGATCGTTTTTGTCCGTGCATTCGGTTTTGAGATACAGACGGCCAATAACGTTACCTGAGTGCATACATTACGCAAGCATACCTTTTCGCGCAGAGTTCTGGAATACAATTTCGTTAATGTGCAATCAAAAGTACGTTTTTCTCATTCAAAATAGCAGATTACATCACAGAACATTAAACTGAAAGTGAAATAGAATGGTCAATGTTTGAAATAGCCTTCTAAAAGCGAAAAATAGTCTTTCCAATTCCCCATTAATCAATCTCATTCATGCGTTTAGAAGCCATCTCTTCAAAAAAGTCATGCCCCGTTTTTGATGCCCACAAAGCACTTCGCAAAGGGGGCGGGTACGTCCCAACACTTTAGACGTGTAACCAGGAACTGGTATGTACAATGTACACGTGTACGTATTCGTCCTCTACAAGCTCGATCGTTGCATAACCTCTCCCTTTGCTTGAAAATTCAGAAATAATAATTGATTTTATATTAATTACAATGTAAAACCTATATTATCTTGGTATATGAATACTCATTTAATGAAAAAGGGGAATAAAACAGTACAGTGAATAAATTAATGATTCAGCTTTTTTGCATGAAGCAATGAATACCGGCTTGAGATGTAGTCCACTAGTGACCAAAGGTCACACCTCATATCGGAGTTTGCGCACTTTCGAACATCCTTTACTAGACAAGATGGCGGCCACCTTGTTGTACCTTGGCAGTGTGTAATAATCACGAGACACAGTTTGTTTTACATGACTGCTCGGCCAAATAAATAACTGCCAGGTATTGCATGCTGTACGATAGATAACATGACATATGAATTTTAATTTTAACTTGTAATTTCAGACTGAGGTTTTATGCTTCCATTGTAAAACATTGCCGGAAATAGTTTATCATGTTTATTGTCTCGACCGTCGTGCACTGGCACTTGTCCTATCCATTTGTCCGTGCAGCATCCCGCAAAGGAAGGGGGGTAAATGGGGTGTCAGACAACTCGACCGTTGAGACAACTCTACTCAGGATAGCCCCCTAAATGTGGCCAATTTACTGGACTACCTCCGTAAATAAAGGCCACACTTGGGGCGATCGTGTAGTGTAGGGCCCCTGTTTTGACTTTTGTTTTGTTGAACAAATTAGATTAGAGTCAAAAATGTTTTTTTATTGCTAAAAAATTACCTTTACAATCAAAAGCAGACTTTTTTCAATTGCAATGACACCCATTTTGCAATTTTGAACAGCTACTTGTGGTAGAATTCACAATTTTCCTGCGAAGTTTGTGCCTTGCGATTCAGCACGCCGTGCGCACTCGCAGTACATCACGTAGTGATCGCCATCTTTATTTTTGGGTTGTGTGTTGTCGCCGCGCTGTCATTGTCATTTTACCCCCAAATTTCCCTCAAAAATCTAAACCATGCCCTCTATCTATAACATTCCCCATACCTGTTTATTGAGAATGTCGCCAACTAGTTTGGTCGGTGTAATCATTTTTAAGTGGATTCTGTTCCCAGCCCTACACTACACGATCGCCACACTTGAAATGTGTACCCGAAAATGTAGAACATTATTAAATTATCAAGTTTTTATTTTCACCAGACTTTGTACTTCAACACTTAGTCCCTAGAACTTAGAAGCACACTCACCCTCTTTTAAGCGATAGAAAATGAGTCCCTCCCTTTTTCAGACGTCTGCTTCCGTGTAATTTCCAGGTTCATCTGCACACGTTAGCGTATCTTAAATTCCAACACGAAATTACACGAATGGCACATTTCGAATTCAATTTTTGTATCTGCTAGTACCATGTTGAAGATTCCCTCCAGCCCTATATGACAACCCAATGAAAAATATAGGGCTGAGGTAACTTCAGCTATGTAGGGCCCATGTTAAGCATTTAGTTTCGATCAAATTAGAGTCGAGGGTGTCTTTTATTGCTCAATAATGACCTTTTCAACCTAAAGCAGACTTCTCTCAATTATAATGACACCTTTTTTGTAATTTTGGAAAGAATGTTGCAACCTGACGCTACTTCAGTGTTTTTGTGCAAAGTCTATGGAGAGTCAAGAATATTTTCTAAGTAATTCCTAACAAAATTGGAAATGTTTCTCAGTCCCAGATTTATGTCTTATCATCATTTTTGCAATGACCTTCATTAAGACGATATATGAAGAAAAAAACAGTGTCAGGTTGCAACATTCTTTCCGTTAATTTTAACAGTTTCTTAGGGTAGAAATGACAATTTTTCTAAGCGGTGTATGGTTGGTGCCTTGCCAGTCAGTGTGCTGTGCGCGTTCACGGTACATCGCGCGGTGATTGCCATCTTTATTTTCATGTTGCGTTTTGTCGTTGTCATCGTTAAGTTACCCCCAAATTTCCCTCAAAAATTGTGGGCCACTTGTTTGGTATCACATCAGTGCCAGGCCCATTGGTAATGATGTCACTGCTTCCGTATTCGAACGATTGGAACTTAACTTGTCAACGAGTGAACTGTGTAGCTCTTGGGTTTGAATGGGAATTTGTCTGTTACTCTGAACTGTAGGTTACCTAAGCACCACCATTTCTCTACTGCATCCTGAGGTGAGGTATTGGCATAGAGCTATATTAAATTACTAGAGCGCTAAGTCTTCATTCTTGCGCGCGGAGATGCTTTGAAGCCATCCTGGGCGCAGACATTTTGAATTCATGTGCGTGTTTGTACAACATAACGAAATTAGATGGATTGAATTTACAGTACACTGTACTGTAAATGCAACACGCAAGTATAGAACGTAACAACTTAAGCGCGTCACGACAGTTTAAAAAAAGAGTCACACTAATCATTTGCAGTGGAGACATGCATGCGCTGCACTGTTTGCGCAGAGTAAAACAAAACGCTCATTTGCTGATCGTGCGGTGCGGTTCAGTTGGGCATATCGGCCTTGATAATGTATGTTAAAACAGGCATTTTAGAGTTTGTGTTTCTCTGACTATTCTGTCCCTTTGAATTCACACCTTAAACTTACTGTGAAAAGTGCAAAATGAGCTCTTAATTCTGGTTAATTAATGTGATAACAGTTGAAATGTTTGTGATGTTTAATTGATGGGAAATAATAAGTTATTGCAAACGCAGTTGTCTGGTAGAAAGTCTGGTGGAGTTATTGCGCACATATCATGCAAAGTTTGCAAATTTAAATGTGCGTGTGTAAATATTAAAATTTGTGACTTCTCAACTTTCCAAAGTTGTCCTGCATACACCATTAAAGGACAGGAACAGTGAAAGAATGTAGAATCCGGATGCTGCTTCTTTCAATATAATTTAATTGTAATGCTCACCTGAAATCTGCTCACTCATATTTAACATTTGCGTGATGTCAAAATTGCGCTCAACAGAGCTCCAACCATCTGGATGCACATGCTCAAGGAAGGGAACATGTTTGATCTCATGACGTCACAACTTTCAAACAATGTCTTAAAAAAGGGTATCTTTTTGTAAGAAATTTGTAGGTACGATGTATGGGGCATAAATACAAGAACCATTTTAAATCTGACAAATCCAAATGTCACACTGTGCCGATATCTTTTTGGGTTCAGTTTTAAGATATTTTAGGATATTGAAAAATTAGAAACATCAAACTGTGGTGAGCCTTTTATGATTTCTTCTTTCAATCATGGAATTGTTAATGCCATACATATTTTAATAGAACTTCAAATCAAAGTGCACTGCAGTAACTTAGTTTGAAGGTTTTTGTTGTTGAGATTTTCTTGTATTGTTTATAATTCCAGAGGTTACATAATGGCGTCGGTAGTAATGAGGGAGAACAAAGACACAGCAAGTTACTACACAACAAAACACTCGTGGAGAGGAAAGTAAGTTTGGATTTATGGCTCAAAAGCTGAACTATATTTTCACACTTCCGAGTGTTCGCTGATGTACTTGAAATGAGACCAGCTTGCTCCAGACGAGAGGTTGCTTAATTACATAGACTGCTTCAGTCAATTCAGTTGGACTGATTTCCTGTTCCTAAATACTTGACTCTGACTTCGAGTGTAGGGACTGGTACTGCCCCATGGAATTAACATAATAATAGGAAAAAGTAATAGTAATAATAATAATAATAATATTAATACCAGTGCTTATATAACGCAGTTCCAAAGTATTGATCAATGCACTTTACAAAAAGATTACAAAAAAATAACAAATGCAAACAATTACACTAAAAGGGATAAATAGCAAGATCAAGCAAACAGGTGTGTTTTGGGGAGATATTGGAATGCTTGTGGGCTAGCTAGGAGCCAGTCTGATGGTTGATTGGAGATCATTCCACAATCTAGAAGCACAGATAGAGAATGACCTCTCCGCAACCATACACGGGGATAGGGGTGTGCATTTACGGGTAGTACAGGAACACGGTACCCTTTTGAAAAAAATACAGGTACCCGGGTACCCGTCAAAGAAACCCAAGCCGAACATTCAAATCTGGGAAGTTGCTGTTCAGATTTTTCATAAAGGTCTGCATGATAATACTACCACATCGGTGCGGCAATACGGCTAGATAGGGTGTAAACAGTGAGCTATTTAGCTATGTGGTGAAAACTGCAACTCTCACAATCATCATAAAACGTGAAATTGGTTTTGATTTTCCCATGTAACCTGTTTTTTAATTTTTGAAATGTTCCCACTGACTTTCGAAACATTTCGTTTTCATTGACTGAGAAGTTTAATAATACTAAGTAATTTGTAAAGTTGGTTACGAGTACTTACGAGTTCCATTATCTGGAACCGGTTCCTGACATTAAAGGGAAAATACAACATTTGCATACATCAAAAAAATAAAACTACCAAATCATTTTGAAATTCCTTGCTGGACTGTAAGTGAATGAGAGTGTAAAGCATCCTGTAAAGTCATGGCACCTGGTATACTGTCATTTTCAAGAAAAGTGGTATTTTTGTATCAATTTCCAACGCTGGTCGGCCGACCAGCGTTGGAAAAAAACTGGCTTTTTTTCAAATACTGGCCCCAATTGACCATCGCACTTGTTTGCAATCGATTACACACCTATGAACGGGTACAAGCCAGCTAGACTGGTTCCCTGACCTTACAATTCCCCAATGTATGTAAACTGCTCTGTTTCTTCTTATATGGAGTCAGGGAACCAGACTACAGGAAAATGATTGTTTTTCTTGGTTTTTATAGCATTTTCGAACCCAAAACCTCAAAAAGTCAGTGTAACTATATTTGCTATATATTTCCAACCCCCCAATTCCATCCATTTCTGAAAATTACAGCAAAAGCAAATGATGTATATTCCCTTTAACGGTCGGGTACTCGGGTACTCGGGTACTCGGTTCTGATGCTTAGCCCTACACAGGGAGGAGTTCTGCCTGGTGTATGCTAATTACAATTAGCATATTGGCATTCCCACAATGCAACGAGTCTTGGGGATTCTCTCAGTCCCTTGCGTATGATACAGACACAGGGTAGGGAATGTTTGGTCATGCTTACCTCCTTGACTGCTGCATTGTTTCAGAGATTTTAATGCCTTGGGTGTGTGCAGAGGGAATCGTGTACATTTTATAGTGGTAGTACTAGCAGGCACACATAGCCCGTTTTCATATCTACATGTACTGTTTCTGGCTTGCGCTCACAATTAATTGGTCCATGCAGATTACTTCTTCACGTGGGGTTGTTGATGCCACGCAATCTGTAACTGCATTTACCTGGGTTTTTTTCTGTACCATGTGGCAACTGGATATTTGTTTATGTAAACATCATCTCCAAAAATAAAAATGTCTTTCCAAGCACGCGCAAATGTTGTCTAATCAAAAGCTTCATATGTGAGATAGCTACCAGTCCCTTTATTTTATGGGAGTGGAAACCAGTCTTTCAAGTCAGTCCGTAAATCAAATCTTGAGATTTTTAATTTCACTTAAAGAGCAACCCAAGGATGGTTGAGCTTTTCTGCTGAAAATAGGTTGCTATAACGTGCGCATTTACACAACTAAACTACTAGTGTTTTCCTAATGAAGTGCAAGGAATGGTATATTTCAAAGGTGTTTTATCCGAAGCTGCCGGGAGTTGTTCTATTAACCCTTACTCTCTGAGGGTAGTTTACTGCATGTCAGTTGGTTATGCCAATGCCCTCCAGCTGCAGTTTATTGGAGGATACTTTGATGTAGCAGTGAAGGCTCCAATTGGCAGGAGTTGGAGGCCCTGGAGGGTGCCTGATACTGACCAGCTGGGGGCACTTGATTGTTATCAGAGGACTCTCATTGTTCTCTGTGGCATGTATTGGAAGGCCTGTCCAGTTACCCTTGAAATGACATGGCAGATATTGGAGGGCCATGCAAAAAACATAGGAGATTTTCTTGAGGCACATATTGGCATGCGTTGGAGGGTCTAGTAGGGTAAGGGTTAATAGAGGTTGGAAGGTTTGTGCTAAAACCATGTAAATAATATATCTTTAGAGAGGTGTGGTTCAGAGAAAAACCAGTTGTTTTAACTTGACAACTGGTTCCTCTCAGAATTAAGAATGCATGCTTCAACAAAACTTTCAGTGTGACTGTTTAAAAAAAAAGTTTTTAACTGTTTTTTGTGTATGTGACTACAGTATTGCATGCACCTGTCTAGAACCAAAATACTCTTTGTCTGCCATGTCTTGTGTACATAACCTCAAAGTGATCTCATTGTCATTTAGATTCATCCCATGTGGGATCTGAGGATCAAAAACATCTTGGGATATAACTAAAAAGCACTGCACAATTACAGGACAGATATCATAAAGCCAACCGCTGCATTGTGGTAACCCTGTAGTAACTTATGTACAACGTAACCGTTCTGAAACAGGTTAATTCTTCATTCCAACTTTATTGTCTTTAACCGTTTTCAAACATGTTAAATCTTCTTTTTAACTTGATTGTCTTTTATTTGACCAAAGATACAAGCGTGTGTTCTCTGTCGGGGACAAAGGCATAACAACTTACAATCCCAACACACTGGAAGTAACAAACCAGGTAAGAACCAGCACTGTACTCTATCCAACACTTAGGAGGGGCCACACAGATCTATATAATTGATTTCATAACTGAGCCAATTGTAAATGTGAGAGCGACATTTTGATTTTATCAGAATCTTTCTCAAAAGAAGAAAATATAATAATAATTAATAATGATAATAATAATAAACAGTTCTTATACAGTATGTCCCCCAAAAAAGTCCGTCTGACCAGTTTTGAAATAACTACAAAACCTCGAGGTCAATTTTGAAAATGTTTGGTTAGCCTCAATCCCTATGAGTGTCATGTAATTGCAGTCACGCATCGCTACACAGTTGTCAATTGATCACAACATCATTTTTTGACACTGTGTTCCTTGCCTTATTCAATTTCATGACTCTCAGTTCTCAATATCTGGTGATGGACCTCAAGTTTCGATGATGGCCAATGACGCTCTAGGCACCTGAGACTTTACTCAGTTCATTGTTATACCAAAGGTGCATTTGGGCGACATGTTATCAAACGTGATAGAAGGGGGGCATGTTTTTCCAGGAGGTTGCTGAGAACAGCCTCATAATGTGTGATCAAATGATCTAATACTGAACGAACCTAGTGCTAAAAAAGAATGAAACATTGACCATCACTCCAAACAAGGGCCCCCCCCCCCCAAAAAAAAACCCCAACAAAAGATTGTACATGCCCACCCAGCCTATTTTTCATTGATAAAGAAAACCTGACTCTCTTTGTTCAGCTTAACATAGTAGAAAAAAATGCAAGAAAGATTTGCTTACAACACACACATTACATGTACATGGAAAGGAAATGACAGACAAATGATACAAATTGTCAAATGACACTACTTGTACCAAAAAATCGAAAGAATGCATGACTAGTTTGACTTTCTTTTTCTGCAGTGGGCGTATGCAGATTTCTTTGGTATCGCTCCCAACTCCAAATCTCAAACCATCAATGAGTTTGTCATCAACATCAGAAAAGGGAAGAAGACGGAATCCATGAGGTTTTCCACGGATCACCGACCTGACGTTCTCACAGAAGCATTAGTAAGTTATAACTCTTGTTCCATTCAGCTCATATGCACTGAAATTTGCGGAGCACCGAAAAGGTTAGGCTTAGAATAAAAACAAGAGACAAACAAATGAATGAATGATCAAAACGATTGACAAAAATTATAAGCTAAAATGTCATGTGATGTATATTTGTTATAATTGGATTTCAGGTGATTTTTTCCTGCTGCATGAAATTGGAAGCCGGTTATGTCTAACAGGGCTTGCAGTAACGGACCCTATCCAAATGAAATAACGCTTTGAAATCTCTCCTTTTCACTCTTTATAACAATGTTTTTTTTTCTTGGTTTTTTTTTAATATAACATTGACTAGATTGGTTGTCTTCTGTTCTTATCTGTGTTAAATGTAAAAAGAAAAATGCAAAAGGAGGTCTTGTCATGCTGAAATTTCATTGCCACACAAAATGAAGTATATGTAGTTGTAATTTGTGATCAAGTTCTGTGCACATGTGAGAACTGGTTTTCTTTTTTCTCTTATCTCAGAAATTCCGGAAGGATTTCGCGGGTGGGAATAAGTACGATGAGCCGGTAAGTGTTACCAAAAGAGTTTTCTATTTTCAATTATTTGTTTTGTTTTTTATGAGAAGTATGTTTGAAAATCATTTGTTCTTTGTAATGCATAACATTACAAAGATAGAAAAGCGAAAAAAATAAGACACATCTGTGTTAAAGTACACTTGAGAAGTCTTGCGTCTGTCTTTACTTTTTATTGTCTGTATGGGCATTGTTAAATATTATACAAATACTGAGTGGCTCAGCGTGGAATGGGAGGAATATTATCGCAAGGTAAAATCTGGACTTTTCCATTTCACGAGAAGAAGCCGAGTGAACTGGAAAAGTCCAGATTTTACCGAGCGACAATATTTCTCCCATTTCACAATTTATAGCCACTCAATATTTGTTTTATATAACTGACATATAGATCCTTGTCATTTGATATATTTGAACTTTTATTTCAATACAAAACTGGAGGAAAATGTATTTCTCTTTTCCAAACCACCTTCACGAAAATGTTTGAACCCAACGCTGTAGCGCTGGCTCTTTGGAACAATACGCGCTAAGCGCAACGCTGAACGCGCACACCAGCATGCATTTGCACACAAATACCGCGTCATGGAACAAGAATGATCCTAACTGTTCAATAGTATTTCCCATTCCCCATGGGCGGATAGTACTTTTTGAGCCGCGGTGTGAATGGGAGCATTAAGGAATGTCACGTGATGTGAGTTCCACCAATCAAATGACAAGGATCTGTATGTCGGTTATATAACATTGAGTAGTTACTCTTTGCCATAAAAGTACTGATGTTATTTGATATTGCTGTATCTCATTTAGAACAATCAAAGATGACAGATATTGACTACATCATAACTATGGGACAAAGCTACTTTGTCATGATAGCACAGATTTCAGTGGTTACAATGTAGAAGAGTCATGAGATTGAGCCCTGATGTGAAGACATGAGATCATTGATAACCTAGAGTTATGAGATTGAGCCCTGATGTGAAGACATGAGATCATTGATAACCTAGAGTTATGAGATTGAGCCCTGATGTGAAGACATGAGATCATTGATAACCTAGAGTTATGAGATTGAGCCCTGATGTGAAGACATGAGATCATTGATAACCTAGAGTTATGAGATTGAGCCCTGATGTGAAGACATGAGATCATTGATAACCTAGAGTTATGAGATTGAGCCCTGATGTGAAGACATGAGATCATTGATAACCTAGAGTTATGAGATTGAGCCCTGATGTGAAGACATGAGATCATTGATAACCTAGAGTTATGAGATTGAGCCCTGATGTGAAGACATGAGATCATTGATAACCTAGAGTCATGAGATTGAGCCCTGATGTGAAGACATGAGATCATTGATAACCTAGAGTTATGAGATTGAGCCCTGATGTGAAGACATGAGATCATTGATAACCTAGAGTCATGAGATTGAGCCCTGATGTGAAGACATGAGATCATTGATAACCTAGAGTTATGAGATTGAGCCCTGATGTGAAGACATGAGATCATTGATAACCTAGAGTTATGAGATTGAGCCCTGATGTGAAGACATGAGATCATTGATAACCTAGAGTTATGAGATTGAGCCCTGATGTGAAGACATGAGATCATTGATAACCTAGAGTTATGAGATTGAGCCCTGATGTGAAGACATGAGATCATTGATAACCTAGAGTTATGAGATTGAGCCCTGATGTGAAGACATGAGATCATTGATAACCTAGAGTTATGAGATTGAGCCCTGATGTGAAGACATGAGATCATTGATAACCTAGAGTCATGAGATTGAGCCCTGATGTGAAGACATGAGATCATTGATAACCTTATTGTCTCTTTGCAGCGATTCAATGCATACAAGCAGCACTGGTCAGATTCACGCAGGCAGGTCATACTGGAAATCAACGCCTGCGGAATAGATCAGATCAACCCTTCCAACAACAAAGTCTTGTGTTCCTACTACTACAGAGACATTGATGCATTTACAGAGGTACGAAACGCTGTTCATATTATCCAGCAAACAAGTCTATCAAAAAGGACTGTACAGTTTTTGCATGACACCCAACTCTTTTGATTATTATTATTTATTTTTTTTAAACCAAGTCGATTTGTGTCCAATCTTTATGAGCTGTACAACGCTACCCTCCCTCCAAACTTCAAACAGAACATTTTTTTTTTCATTCAGTAGGCTTCATTCTTGTGAACGTTGTTTTTTGTTTCATTCAGTAAGGTGCACTGAATAGTTCTAAGGAGTAAGGAATGAAGAGCTGATTGAATTTTGTTGTAACTTCATGCACCCATGATGGAAATTATAAAGCAGAAAAAGTAGTAGTTTATAAAATAAGAAGTAATACAAATGCATAATACTTGCCACCTTTGCCATGTGTGCAGCCTTACCATGGGTCAACTAACTGCATTCAACTCCTGCATTTAAAAGTAATGCGCCTATCAAATGTTACTGAGGTCACCTCAAGCTCCACCCTGAAGGATATTTTTCAGAGTTTTAAGGGGATCGAAGTGTTATCTGCAAAATCAGCCGACATTTGAAGAAGAAAAAAGTATGGGCAAAAACATCTTGTGTCGCCGCACCACTTTCGGTGCAAACTCCATACCAAAAACCAGAGACTTTGTTTTGGGCTTAAAAAATTATTTTTGTCATAGCATTTGAATGTTTTGTTTGTGATGGACACTGGTTTTCTGATCTTGCATTGTCTTTTCATCTTGAAATTGTTGTTATAGGTTACTGGTTACCCAGGAGGCTTTGCTGTGATTCATGGGGGCTTCGGCAGACTAGTAAGTTGTATTAAAAAGATGCTTCATTTTCTCTCAGACAAATACACATATCACTGCATTGGTATTTTAAGATAGAGTCCCTTTATTGACCCATAAACATACTTCCCTTTACTTTATTACTAGTTTTTGTTTGTTTATTTTGTGCAGCATATATTCGCTTGTGATCGGAGAGATGAGCTTTTAAAGAAAGCCATGGAGTACGCTAGTACCTATGTGGGTGTGACAATCAGAAAGAGGAAAGAAACCATGACCTTGGACCAGAGCATCATCAACAAGATGGGCAAGTACAGGTAAGGACTGCCTGCTTGTGGTTTTTTGTGGCCTTTGATGAACATGACTACTACCTCGGCAGTCAAAATGCATTACTTTCACCAAAGAAGAAATTTACTGTTAAGGGTCATTCCGTGTCACTTCACTCCAAAAATTGAAATTTTAAACCCCATGCCCTTCAAATTGCTTCATGTTTAGTGTATGGGTTAATTTAGGCTGAAAAAGCTTAAATTTTTAGCACCATCGGACTAACGTTTTTTTTCGCTACCGCGTGTCATATTTTTGCAATTTTGGCCAAAAAACGGCATGGTGACCAAGTTTCAGTGACCGTATCTACATAACCTGAGGGCAAAATTTGTTAATCTTTGTTTCGTTGGAAAGGTAACATAATAAGGAATACAAATTTGTTCATGTCAGAGCAGTTTGAAGTGTGATGACCTTTTTTCCCTTGATTTTGACCTTGAATTGACCTTGCAGATCATGTGACCTTGTATGAACAAATATAAACAAATTTGCAGGGGGTGGGGTTTAACCCATCGGGTGATTTGACACAGAATGACCCGTTATCAAAGGACAAGAGAGCACTATTTCTATGTGTTCCCATATTTTGCCGGGATTGATTTGGGTTATCTTGGTTATCTTGCACATTGTAGTAATGATGAGAGCCTGACATCATTAGCTGAGTTCAACGTTCAGAAGTGGTCCAGTCGCCATGAAGAGCCAGCCAAGAGGGTGTTGTGCCTAACAGAGACATGTATCGTGGAGCGAGACCCTGCTAGCTATAGTGTGGTTACAGTCAAACCACTCTGCAACGTAAGTACATGTACACTGGCCAAACAGTTTGATTGAGGACAGTGTCTGGAATTCCAATTCTAAATGAGGGAATTTCTTGTTATTTTCAAAATTTTTGGGACAGCTTTTTTGCTTTGTGAAATAAATCTATATTGAACCGAAACCCTACAGGAAGTACAGTTACGTTATCTGATGAAATTATTATAAGGCGGATTTTGCATTTTTCTTTGGCCTTTAAATCTGATAGTTGAAAGAAATTGAAAATAATGAATCCTACAAAATGCATTAACTAAAAAGTGATGTAGTTATGCGTCTTACTCTTGGACAGGTATTTGCCATTGTGCGGAGCATGGAGAATCCCCAGGAATTCCATCTAGAATCAGTGAAAGGCACAGTGACCAAGTACACATCCACTGACAGGTAAAAATGTATGCATACTGCACAGACCAAGTGCAGCACTCAACTTGGGCCAAGTCTATCTAATCTGAGGCATTATGCTGTGTTATATAATTGACATGAAAATATCTGGGTTGTTTTCGTCCACGGAATCCCTGGTTACTGCAAGCAGTGCTCAAGGATGATTGTTTCAGCCCAATTGCTATCTGTAGAGTCCAGATGTACTTCTGTAAACCCTGATACTAAGGTAGTTGGCAACCAAACCCTCTCAAGTTGTTTTTTGTGTTATTCCATTTTGGGAAATCAGTACAGGAATACAGAAATAATTTTCTAAAAGTCAATAAAATTGCTGTTGAGTTCAATTGGGTTTCTGTGTATGGATATGTCAGCTATTTATGACAATATGACTGACTACCACTGTCACTGAGACTGTACCAGAAATAAAAATTGTTCAATATTACACTTAATGTGTGGCAGAACAAAAATTTACTTTGGTAACATGAAAATTACCTTAATTAAACTAAAAGATGTCTCCACCCAATAAAGATTGTTCTTTAAATACTTGTCCAAGTATCTGCATTGAGATGGCGTTGCTTGCTTGAAGTTTACAGAGTTGCCTATTTGTTGCTAAATTGATTAACCTTTACATTTGCTATCCTTGCAGGGAACATCCCTTAATCCTCTAAAATTCAACACTCCGCATTAACTCAAAGGCAGTTCTTAACACAAACATTTTGAAATATATGAAACAACATCAAGTGAGCTCTTTAGGCCTATATCCAAATTGATCACCCCAGTACATCACCATCAACCAATCTGTTTATTGTGAAATTGAATGAATGATTCATTTTGTTTAAACCATTTGTTTTGTTTGTTTATCAGGGATAATCTGATAGCCAGTGTGCTAGATGGTGTCCGTGCCAGTGGTAATCGAGACGTCTGTGTCAAGCTAGTCATGACTAATCGTGGGCAGAGGCAGGACCCTTTGTTTGTTCCTGTAGAGGAGGAGGTTGAAGCTCATTGCTTACGCTTCCTGGCTCAACCTCCAAGTAAGTCGTGAAACCAAGGATTTCACTGTGCCCCCAATTTACCAACTTTAGTTAGTCCGCATTTTGTTTGCAATCTGTTACACATCCATGAATAGGTGCCAGCTGGCCAGTCTGGTTCCCTGACCTGACAATTCTCTGACGTCTATAAATTGCTCTGTTTCGTCTGAAGTAGGGTCAGGGAACCAGACTACTAGAACAGCATTTTTTCTTGATTTGTCCAGCATCTATGAACACAAAACTTCAAACAAGTCAAAGTAACATTATTTGTTATAAAATACTTACCCCCATATCCATCCATTTCTGAAAATTACATCAAAAACAAATGTATATTGCCTTTAAAAAAACACATACCTTAGTTTTAATATTGAATTGTTTAATAATAAAAATAATCTTGAGAAAAATTGGATTAAGCACCATGAGTTAACCTGTGATTGATTGACAATGAACACGATGAACCTTGCAGATGAGTTCAACATTGGTAATCATCAGAGTTCTTGATGGAAGCTGCTTCTTTTTGGTTATCATGGTATTCAGGGTTAACTACATGCATTTTTCAATAACTTGCACAAAATGTTTTATGTCAATTTGTTCTGTCCCTGCTTGAAACTTTTTGTGTGTCCTCAAATTAATATCTGTTTGAATCCCTAGACAATGACTTCAACTTGGCTGTAATGAGGTTCAACAACAATGTGTCATATAGTGGCCTACTCCATGCCGTTACACAAGATGTAAGTAGCAATCTTGGCAAGAATCTAGGGCTGTCCCGAAATACCGAATATTGGAATATTTGAATAATTGATCATCATCCGAATATTTGAATAACTTTCTGCCGGTTCAAATATTCATAAAAACAATGATAGTTAACGGTATAGAAAAATGCACTGCGGAACTTATCTATGTCCCTTGCAAACATAGAATCACTTTCTCCACCTCCCTTTCGGATGTTTCCACTCTGAACAAATAAAATTTTAAAATAAGTAACCTAAACCTCGCCAATGTCTCCCCAAAGTGAATTCCATACCGAGTCTGTCGGTGTTTGCGGTATTGTGGCAACATCACTCGATATTGTTTGGTTAAAAAAAACCTGCACTACCAGATGCCACATTTTGTCAATGGCAGCTTTTTTGTCATCAGCGGTTCATTGTTCCCATCCCTTGAGCGGATGAAATCCATTGACAGTTATAAAACAATGACTGCAAAGCACTCAAGTGGCCCATAATATCAATGGCTGCATGCAAGCATACATGCAAACTTTAACCAGCGTACTTGCGTGCAACTTTTGACCGGCGCAGCACACAGCTGCAGCTGGCGTGTGCGGAACTTGATCAGCGAGTTTCGAATACTTGAATATTCGGTCAAACACAGTTTCGAATAATTGAATACTTAATTGTTCAAAAAGGAAATTGTTTTCCCTTTTCCCCCCCTCCCCTTTTTTTTGAGGGGAGGGGGTGGTGTCTCTTGAAAAATTGGTCATGGTCTGTGCTCGGTACCATTTGACTTGCTATGTCACATAGCGTAATGCTAGGGGCAGCTATGTCCTTGTGGTTGAAACTTTGATTTTTGTTGTTTCCAGAGTTTCTTTGCAGAGAACAAAGAGAAGTTGATCAGGGGAGCAATCACAGCCATCCTGGCCAGAGATGGTAAAATCTAAGGGTCTTTTCTCATTTTGTAGTCTATGTAGTCTTCACCAAATGTAAAGAATTTATTCAGATGCCTAGTGGTAAAGCTTTGGTTTCAGCATTTCAGTGCCCACACATTCCATTTCTAGTTTCATTTTTAAAATTTTAATAAGGAAATAAATATGTGCTTGGCCGGTTTAAAACAAGCACGTTTAAAAGCGGTTTGAGACTGGACACTGATAATGGCCTGAGCGCACTTGTTTAATACGTGCCAAGCACATATGTATTCCTGTTCATAAATGCCTTTCGCTCAAAAAGTCAAAATAAGTCAAAATTATAAATTTCCACTAATTTTGTTCAACAATTTCACTTCATGTTGTGTGAAACACCCTCTACCGGTAGCTATGTTTATGGTATGTGCCTCACGCGGGTAGTACTAAAAATCTCCTTATATGGAGATTGGTATGCGCATGACGTGTGGCGCGTACTGCCCGATGTGGCGCAGAATGCAGCGGTGCTGGTGTAGTGTGAATTTAGGACTATGAAATACGAACTCATTGGTAGTATTGCGTATGCCTAAGTAAAGACTGTGAATGTTCAACCAATACAAGGGTAAAAGGGACCAGATTTCATTCATGTGACACTGGAAAAAAATGTTTAAACCAATTGGTGTTTTATCAACCATTTAAACCACCCATGTGACAGGCTCTTGACCAGTAGGAATGGGTAAACTGTCTCAGGTATTTATGAATTAAAATTAAATCAATATGTAATTACCTTGTAACTTACACAAATTCATTTGTTCTTCAGGAATTCTGTTATCAATTCTTTTAATTGCACAGATGACCCAGTAGCAATGCCTGCGAAGGAGTTAGAAGGCATTTTCCAAGCGTTACGGAGATTAGTGGCCTCTAAGGCTGGCTTCATGGCCTTCACCTCATTACCAAAGTGAGTTGTCCAAAATACGCATGACTACATGTACTAGATTGTGTTGTAATTTTTGCCTTTTTTGGTCTCGTTCAATGTTAATCCATTCACCTTGAAACCTGAGATCGCTGGCTCGTGTAATGAACGTGTTGGGTGTAGATTCAGCAGCTTTTATGGAAATTGCTATGGTACTGGGAGGTTGAAAACAATTGTTAGCAATGAAGCCTGCTGCACACCTTTCTGATTTTACCGGTTCACCGGATCATCGGACCATTGGACGGGGGTGTGCCCTGAAAAATCTGACCTATCTGACTGTACACCAGGTGACTGGATGATATCCAACACGTGATTTCACCGGATGCGATGTCACTGGAAAGGTGTGCGGGCAACACTCCGATTTCACTGAACGCAATATTTATGTTAACCAATCAGATTCACGAAGGAAGTCACATGATTCCGAATTGACGGCTGCCATTTTGTCATCATGTGACTGATCATCATGTAACCGATTAAAGAATGGAATCATGTGTGCGGGTTAAAATTGTGGTCTTCGCAACGGTCAAAACAACTGTACCGGTGATCCATTGAACCAGTGAACAGGGTGAACCGGTGAATCGGTAAAATCGGAAAGGTGTGCAGCGGGCTTTACATGAATAAGGAGCTTTTTTTCCAATGAAGGCTGTATAGTGTGGAGGTAACACTTGAATACTTGAATAGTCATTGAGGTTTTTGTTATAACTTCAGAATACAACTTATTATTTATTTAAGGCAATTTTTTCAACAAATTTGAATTTGATAATCCTTGATTACAATAATTGAGTTCACACATAACCTTGTTTTGCAATACATAAACTTTTAGCCCAAATAGATAATCACGAAACACTGTAGGAACAATTTTTATTGTTTGTTTTCTTTTGCAAGGTTCCGTGAGCGAGTTGGGTTAAAGATCATCAAAATCTTGAAGAGACAAGATGATTTTGTGATCCATGCAGCCATTGATATGCTGTGTGCCTTGATGCAGGTAGGATAGCGCTGTAGATACATAGAACATCTCACTAGTTTCTGTTCTAATCAAGCTATCTTGCGTGTACCATAACATGTCTTGTGATTGACACGTTAGTGCATTGCTTCCTTGATGCCGCTGCATATTGCAAATGCCTCGAGATGTCACTTATAATGAGCATTAAACACATGACTGCACCCTACTATAAACCACAGACTAAAACAATACCAAATGAAATTTAGGTCCTTAGTTCAAACCATTGTAACCTGTTGTCAGTACCATTATAGATGTAGGTTCAAAGAGACAAATATGTCTTTCGACCTTGAGTCAACAGGCTTTTTCAGTACAGTAGACTGTACCTTGATCCTGATATCCCTCCCCAAGTCTACAAATTTGGTCAGAAATGTAGGTAAATACTAAAATGTCAGTGTTGAATTTAACGTTCATGTGCTTTTACATGAAGTAGCTGAGATATAAATGGAACATATTGGTGGTTATATTTCGTTGAAGCCCATGCATGATGATTACGACCTGAGACAGGAACAGCTCAACAAGTCGTCTCTTCTCTCCTCCAAGAAGTTCCTATCCAGTCTACTGGAACTCTTCAACTTACATGTGGTAGGTTATGAAAGGAGTCTGTCAAAATACTGCATGGTTCCACAGACAATCTGGCTATCCTTGACATTTTGTTGGCATGGTGCAAAACCTTGAGTAGGTTTGCAAATTTTATATCAGGTATTGCGGGTATTATAGGTATTGCACTTCGTCAAGCTATTTTTTATATACCCACTTATCCTGCTTACTAGTACAGACGTCTTCTCTCTCGATCATGCACTGAGCTTGCCATGGTCCGCTGGCCGGTTCAAGTCTGATGTAGCAGCGGGTAACACAGCAAATATTTGTATAAGATGGAATTTGCGTCGGAGAGATGAAAAACATAGGTTTACAAAGTTTTCTTAAACTTGTGAGCACCTTTTCAGTAAGTCATTTTGATTGCAAAACAGATGTTTCTTGTGATATGGTGTATGACTTTTGTAACCCCTCGGGGAGGGAGGAACAGTAGCACCAAGTTTTTGGGCCTTGGTGCCATTTACCGCCTGTGGCTATTTCAAAACTCAATGGAAAATATCAAAAAGACAATTGGAAAGCAGCAGTGGATCTAGTCATTTTCTGTAGTCTGCCTGCATGTTGAGCAATCAGAATGCACCACTTTATTAGTGTCTTATTATTCCTTTGAATACAATGACAAAATTCCAGCTGATCCTATGTTATATCAGATCATGTTTGTCTTAATTGCCCGTTGTCTGTCTTATTTCAGAACCGTGGGACTGGTGCATTGGTCATCACTTCCCTGCTGGACTTCCTGACCTTTGCCCTGTGTGCTCCCTACAGTGAGACCACAGACGGTACCCTCTTTGACTCCTTGCTTGAGCTGGTGGCTGAACAAGGAAGAGTGCTCTTTAGGTTATTTCAGGTATTCAACCTCATTTTGCATATTCATAACATAGTTACTATTTAAGTGGATGAATATACATGTAGACAATTCCATGAGAATGTGGACATGGCTGAAAAATTAAAAAAAGTATGAAGTCTTCAAAACTGCAAGCATCACAACCTCAAATGTGGTATCAAAGTCTGTCAAAATCCATCATTCACTCTACTTCAGGTAATGCTTCAGGACCAAATCCATTGAAATTTACCACTGGTGCTGGTGGATTTTGATGGACTTGGTACACATGGCTTGTTTGCCCAAATCCCCCCGAATGGGGGGGGGGGGGTGGATTTTGATGGAGTTGGGAAGGTTAGGGTTAAGGCAGAAGAGGCTTATTGTGTCGCCTAAACAAAGTTTTGGGAGACTCTAACCAGTCCTAAATTCTGTATGACCGTAGATCCGTAGACCCATATGACTGTATGACCTTAGCCCCGTATGTATGTTAAAGTTTAGGTTGATTTTTTAAAAGTATTATCTTCTACATGCTTTCATGGATTTTGATGTAACTTGGATGCAGCGACTCATGGGTGGGAAGACACAATTCTTCATCGGATTACTGAGATCAAAGGTCATGTAGGGGTCATTAGAGGTCATGTTCAAATAAGCTTCAAATGTTTCTTTGTCTACGGAATTTGATGGATTTTAAATGTAACTTGGCTGGAGTGATCCTTGGGTGGGGGTTCATCACAAGTCTTCTGAAATTGGAGGTCAAAGGTCATCTAGAGGTCATTTGAGGTCGTTGTTTACAAACAATAGAAACGGGGATTGACAGCGGAAAAAGGCGACACATGCGATCAGCGGATCACTTGTATTTTATGTGAAAAGAGTTTTTTTGTTTGATTTTTGTTTCTCATATGCTTTAATTAACTTGTACCAAAGATGGGCCGACAAACTGTAACGCGAGTTACCATAACGCGAGTTTCTGAAATATATCCCTCTAGAGATTTTGTGACAGTTTTTTTAACTAATTGAAATGGTAGCATATTACTTACACCCTAATGATGTAAGGCCAAAAAAAAAGTCTCCAGTTTCTGGTATGCGCGCACGTCGCTGTAGCCATGCGCGTCGGCCAAATTAGAAAGTTTTTTTTTCAATGTAAGATGATGTCTCAAGACCGCCAAACTCACTGGTGTGACTGGAATCCTGCTGCTGCACAATTTTAACGTGTTTTTAGATGGGGTTACGATCAAGTATAAGCTTTATGTGGCCTCTCTGGGCTCCCATATATTTTGCACTAACTTTAGTCGGGCACCATTTGCAGATAGTGTTGTAATTTTGTAATTGTGCGTCTGGAAGCCAGACTGACGGAGCAGATGGTTGTGTATCTGGAACCTGTAAATGCTTTTAATTAGCTCAATATACTTCTCAAGCCTTATGGCCTTACTGAGGTCACCTCAGGCTGCACTCTGAAGGATATTTTGAGAGTTTTAAAGGGATTGAAGCGTCATCTGCAACATCAGCCGACATTTGAAGAGAAAAAAAAGTTTGGTAAAAAAAAAAAAAGGGCGTTGCCGCACCACTTTTGGGGCAAGCTCCATACCAGAAACCGGAGACTTTTTTTTTGGCCTAAGGGCACTAAAATGATGTTTCCATCAAAGCACAGAATAAGGAAGCTTTCAAATACAGGGTATTTACATTTTTGCCATGTCCTTTTCTTATGACGGGAGTTACCAATAAAAAATGCATTGCAAAACCAACATTTTTGTTAGCTTTTTTGTAGTTTATAGTCACTTAACTTAAAGGGATCTTCTGTGAGAAAAATCCACCTGAATGCTTTGACTTTATAGAATAACAGCACTGAGTTGAAAGAAGACCCCTGTTAATTGTAACACAAGTTACCATGGAATTGCCCATATTATATGCTGATTTCTTATGTCTTTTTTAATTTTATTTTTTCCTTTGACTTTTTTCCAGCATCCGTCCATGACCGTGGTGAAAGGAGCTGGTCTGGTCATGAAGGCAATCATTGAGGTAGGGCTTATCATGGAGTACTGTGGTTGTATCATGTTACCTGAACAAGTGTGAATGTATGGCTGTTGACCACTTTCCTCCTTGCCTTACACGTGATATATTGTGCAAATTGTTTTTGTCCTCTCTCACTTTTGTGGCTTGATGGCAAAGGAATGCAAATAACCTTTAATAATACTGAGATACACTACAGAGTAAACTGCATCAATAGTTTTCAGGACCATACTGAGCCAATGTTGTAATGAGTACACATCGGCAGTCAACTTCCAGATGCATATATTGGATGGGGATGGGGCAATTGGATACAAAACTGCCGAGACACTAATGACCTACACAATTTATCACCCACTTGCCAGAATTGTTTGAAATGGTTCCTTGAATGTTCCCGCCTAGGCCCAATGTCATAGCTCTGCTTAGCACAGAAGTCTGCACTTATGGTCACCGTTCTGTGCTTATACATGTAGAGCTAGCAAAGACATTTTGCGCTAACTCCGTAAGCGCAGAATCCTTAGTCATGCACACAAGCTACAATTCCTTGCCTACCCATGAAATATAGTTACCATTCATGCAGAGTTTGGTGATTCTTTGTGTATGGTCAGCAGAACCATGACATTGGACCTTTCATTAGTCACAGTGTGAATGAACTTAGTTATTCATCAGCAACACTTGTCTTATATTTAAAAAAAAAAATGCTTATTTGTGTTTTTAGGAAGGAGATGCCGAAATTGCAGCTAAGATGCAGGAGCTTGCCCTGGCAGAGGGCGCCCTTCCAAGACACTTACATGTTGCAATGTTCACATCTAGTACAGACACACGCATGCTGACAAACAGGTCTGTGTCAACAAATGTTTGTGTGCAGGCTGATTTATTCCTGTGAAAACACAGCATTTCATGATGATAGCAATATTTCACTTGCAACATTCATGACCCTGAAAAATTAATTTCTCACAAACTTGTGTAAAATACAATTCCAGCATTGGGCTGAATATATCGAAAAGAAGAGTCCCCAAACTAAGCCAAGGATGAATCACACATTACTCGGCTACTTATTGTAGTATTTGCCCTTTGTAAGTTATATTTGCTAAGTACCTCAATGTGTATGTGATTTGCTGTACTATGCAGTCTCCTTTTAATAAGGGAATAAATGTGTGCTCTGGAGGTTTTTATCACTCTGTTTAAGACCACTGAGTCTGGGTGCTGATAATTACCCGAGCCGGAGGCGAGGGTAATTATCAGCACCCAGACTCTAAGCGGTCTTAAACAGAGTGATAAATACCGACGGAGCACATATTTATTCCCATTCATAAATACCTTTTCGGTAAGAAAAAATCATATAATTCGTTCAAAACATCCCGATTTTGTTCAACAAATTCACTTTATGCTTTTTGAAACATCCCTCTTGCAAAATAATGGAGTGTTCAGCTGGCGAGTAAGATGTAAACAACCCTTTTATGGAGATTGACGCGCGCGTAGCATGTTCTGCGGGATGTCGCGCAGAACGCACCTGGCGCGTTGTGTATTGAATTTAGAACTATAAAATTCTGACTCCCTGGTAGTGTTGCGCATGCCTACGTGAGGATTGTGAACGTTCAACCAATGAAACGATAAGAGGCACTGGATTTTTAGGAGTCCACATTTTATTGTGACACTGGAAAAGTGTTTAAGACCAGCTAGCCATGTCTTTATCATCCGTTTAAGACCGGCCACGTGACGGGCTCTCGACCAATAGGAATGCGTAAACTGTCTTAGGTATTTATGAATAAGGGAATAAACATGTGCTTGGCCGGTTTTAAACAAGTACTTTTAAAACTGGCTTGGGGCCTACATGCTGATAATGGCCCGAGCCCAACATATTTGTTTCCATTCATAAATATCATTTGGTCAAAAAGTCAAAGCAAGTCAAACATTTTAAATTTCCAACGATTTTGTTTAACACGTTTACTTCATGTTTTTTTTAAACACCCTCTAGCGATGTTTATGGTCTGTGCCTCTCGCAAGTAGCACTAAAAATCTCCTTATATGGAGATTGGAGTGCGGGGGTGCTGGTGTAGTGTGAATTTAGGACTCTACAAAATACGGACTCATTGGTAGTGTTGCGCATGCCTAAGTGAAGATTGTGAACGTTCAACCAATAAAATGGTAAAAGGAACCAGATTTCATAGGAGTCCACATTCCACGTGACACTGGAAAAGTGTTTAAGACCAGCCAGTCAGTGTTTTATCAACTGTCTGAGGTATTAAGGAATAGAATTTGAAGGTTTTGGTCTGTTTTGTTTTGTTACTTACTTTTATAGACAGTTGAGTCGACATCTTGTTGCATTGTGGGTAACCGGCAACCCAACAGCACTAGGACTCCTAAAACGCAGTCTGGTAAGATTGTTGATACATACAATGTATGATGAAAAGATTTCTATAAAAATAATTGTCAAGTTGTAGTTGTCAATCTGAAGTGAAGTTATTCAAAAGTTGCCTTTGTGTGGGTACATTGAATCAAACACATGTAGCCCACCTTAGTTCATTATTTTAGCCACCTTATATCTTGTGTATATGACCTTACATTGATTGTATCTTTTCCTCTGATGGCAGCCTGCTGGGCTCCTGTTGTTCCTTGACTCGGAGGATAAAGTTCCAGAGAAGGAGAGGGACCTCATTCACATGAGAGACAATCTCAAGATGGCTCAGGTAACATTCAAGATCAACAAACAATTGCTTAATTAGATAAAACCCTCCCTCTCTGCCTGGCTAATTCAGCTACGCCAACAGCAGTCAAAATCAATCAAGTGACTGTTTTTTAACAGTTAAGAACCCCCTTGTTAATTTGATATAGCCATGCTTGGAGGTGATTGATATGCCAGCTGTACCTACCAGTTACCTCTTTTGTCTGTTGATGGAATTTGACTAGTCGCAGTGTTTACATGAATGTGATGAGACTGTTTTTTTTAGTCTGAATACAAATGCATGGCAGGGGAAGTGGAAGAAATTGACCGCGTTTACACTGGATCACGCAAGGGGGATTCGAGGGGGATCCGAACCGGCAAGGAGGATCGAAGTCTGCTTAACCGCAAGTGTAAACGCGAGGTGGTTCAAGCCTTTAGCCGGATCGGATCCCCCTAGCTGAATCCCCCTTTCGGGAAGGATTGGACCCTGCAATTGCGGGATCTGATCCCCCGATGTTTGAGTGTAAACGCAATTGGTGGATCGGACCCCGCAATTTGACCAAGCAACATCCTGTCAGCATAGAAAAGTCCGCGAAAATTATGATGTTGTTATTGACGATCAAGTCGCCGGCGCGAGGCCCGCATGAATGCTGTGATGGCTCCCAACGCGGTTCTGTGCACAGAACATATGCGCGGTTGGTACTCGGCCAGAATCCATCGGGGTTTCGTCCACGTGCATGAAAGTGGAGACCGGGACCGTCTTTCGTAGGAGTTTCGTTTTAGTCCTTTAAGTGTTTTTCGTTCCGAAATCATTTCTGCATTAAGCAGTCTTTTTTTTTATTCTCTAAAGTCCATTTTTTTGTAGGTTTGAACATTATCCTTGGTTAGAAAATGCGATTTTCTCACGCATTTTCAACTGATACCATCACGGTTCAGCACGGCCGCTCGATATACTGCTCGCCATCAACATTTTTTTTTTCGTGTTGCGTTTCGTCTTCATTGCTTTTTTAATTTTACTTCCAAAGATTTCTTAAAAACTTCAAACCCTGGTTGGTTTTAAATATTAATTAGTAGGTGGGTGACTCCTGGATCGCAGGGTTACGTTCTCTTTATTTGGAACGGGCCCCTTAACTACACAATCTCCTTGAAATCGCTATACCCACTGTGTAGTCATGTTTATGCCGATTTTATGTTGCTTTAGTTTCGTGATTTGATTCTCTAAATCTTTTCATATTCCCAATAAATATTTAAAAAATCTGAGTTAAATACTGCTAAATTCCTACCTCAATGGTATAAACAATTGCCCTGCAAAGTGGTTTGGAAGTCATGGCTTATAAGTAACGTTACTGCGATGTTATTCGTGGACTGTTGTGGACAATGCGTGGAGGATGAAGCTATCTAGATTAAGACTAAAATCGGGGGACAAGCGTGAGTAAAATATTAAGTAGTCATCAGTAGTCAAGCAGTGAGATAGCGATGAACGATATCTCTTAATTTTTGCAGTGATTAGCGCGCGAAATTGGCCGTCTTCTGCGCACACTCAATGACCTTCCTTCCGTTGTAAATGGGGGATTGGAGGGGGATCAGGATCGGGTGAAAACACGGCCCAGTTTACTTGCGGTTAGCTTCCCTGTAGTTTTACGCGACCGCAGGATGCGATCCACCTTTGCAGGATCCAGTGTAAACGCGGTGATTTTTGACTGTCTTTAATAGGAGGGTTTTAATGAGTGGCTAATCTGTGTTATACTTGGGCTTGTGCATAAAAATTCCATGCATGATTGGGTGAGGTTTTAACCTCACAGTCCTCAAACTTGGTTGGCTGATTCCAAATACAGTAAACTCTCGTTAAGTCAAATTTGGACAATTCGAAACTCAATTTATCTTGAAGTAATACCCCATTCCTGTCAAGAGAATAGGATATTATGTACATGACTACGCCCGTAACTCGAAATGCCTGCACTGGTACCTCCGTTTGTCTCCAATTTTTGTTTGGCCAGTCCATAGAAAACACTGCGAAAACACAGTGTTGTAGTCGAGTACTTTTTTCCGAGTACAGAGTACTGCCGAGTACTTAGGTTACTGAGTATGAGTACGAGTACTTGTACGTCTGAGTACAAGTTCAGGTCTCCGAGTACGAGTACTTGTACTTCTGAGTACGAGTACGAGTACTTGTATGTCGAGTACGAGTACGAGTACTTCTATTTCGGAATACGGCCATACGGCAAATGGTTCATTGTGCATAATTGGCCCAGGCCCAGTCAGACCGATACAGACCCACTCACGGCTAGCTGTTCAATATAGTTATCCTGACGTGCAGAGAGACAAAAATCAGGAAACTTTGATTTCTCTGCAAACAATCAACCATTTTCAACTGAAAATCTCGAAAATAAAACAAGCCCGTGGTAAGTCAAGCTATACAATTTTTTTCTGAGTACTCTTATTGGAGTAGGATTACTTTGATGATGGAGTACAATTTCGACATTTCGAGTACGAGTACTTTGCTGCCTGAGTACGAGTACCGTCGTTTCGAGCACGAGTACTTTGACATTCGAGTACGACTACTTTAAAAAGTACTTGAGTAGTACTTGAGTACCGAGTACGAGTACTACAACACTGTGAAAACAGTCACAAAAAAGTGTGAAAAGATCGTGTAACTTTTTCATGAGTCATTTCTGCCCAACGCACTTCGTCTTTTTATGTGTGGATGCAGCGTGCACGCTGTATTGTGATTGGACTCCAGCCCGTAACTGCAACAAATACTGGCTTTCTAGTAAGACTGATTGCTACCGCAGGCCCATTGTAGCCCCCATGCCGGCAGGCCAATCGCTGGCTCTTGTGGTAGCCAAGTGACCCCATTGAAATCTTTGCGGTGCACATGTGGCAGAGCCTGATCGCTGTTTCAGCTGGTGCGCCCTCTATCGATTAATAGGACCGACCATATGACCGCACATCAGAAAACCCGGAGTTATGTTATGTTTATCTATAGAGCAGATCATGATCAATATGAAAGTTGAGTAAAGTGATGATTTGTGACTGAAAATCATATACCATTAGAATGTAAAAAAGAAGGAAAGTGTATCAAACAATGAGTCCATTACGTTGCGAGTTATGGTGGAAGCCATTCATGTACATACTGTACATGAACATTGTATGACATAAACAATCGGGAACCTTGCTTAACTCAATTCTGGATATTTCAAATTGTTTGTCCATTTCCTTGAGATTTGACTTAACAAGAGTTTACTGTACTCAACTTTGCTAGTCTTACCATTGCAAAAAAAGCAAGATCCTGTGAAAGTTAGTCCAACTATTGTTGACAAACTTTTTGTGTGAACTTGCTTTACTTCATCAATTACTAAAACAAACAACTCAGTCAAAATTTTCCAAACAATTGAAAACTTTCACATAACATTGTCCCTGCTGGGGCACTGTTGGCTTTAACAAGAAATCTCTGCAAGACAGTGGCCTTGGTAAAATATGAACCCTTTGTGAAGAAAGCACAAGACGGATTACCCTCAGATAAAAATGGAAATCATTTGATTGTTGCAGGACCAGTCCGGCAAGAGTAACCGCAGTTTTCAGTTTCATCAGATCGAGGGCGTGCTGCTCCACTGGAAACAACGGATCACTAAGGAGAGGAAGAAGCAAGACGTAAGTTACCATGGCAACAGTATGTCAAGGGGGCACAATTTAGCGGTTGTATTCAAACACTGGTTCAGATATTTTGTATTGGTTGATCGTTGTGGTGACTTAGAAAGAGCGTGAATAATGCATGATTACTGTGGCCTCTGTTCATGAACAATATATGGCGCTTTGTGACAACTTTCAAAAGCCACCATGGGAGGGAAACACCACGTGGGAGGGACACGCCGCGTGGGAGGGACACGCCGCGTGGGAGGGACACGCCGCGTGGGAGGGACACGCCGCGTGGGAGGGACACGCCGCGTGGGAGGGACACGCCGCGTGGGAGGGACACGCCGCGTGGGAGGGACACGCCGCGTGGGAGGGACACGCCGCGTGGGAGGGACACGCCGCGTGGGAGGGACACGCCGCGTGGGAGGGACACGCCGCGTGGGAGGGACACGCCCCGTGGGAGGGACACGCCCCGTGGGAGGGAGACGCCCCGTGGGAGGGACACGCCCCATGGGAGGGACACGCCCCGTGGGAGGGACACGCCCCGTGGGAGGGACACGCCCCGTGGGAGGGACACGCCGCGTGGGAGGGACACGCCGCGTGGGAGGGACACGCCACGTGGGAGGGACACGCCCCGTGGGAGGGACACGCCACATGCGAGTACTGGTTTCCGCACTTGACTAAATTTGATTCTGAACCTACTCAAACTCATGGCAACTTCGGGTGAGCCTCAGGCCCCGTTGGTAATTTGTTTGGATGTCCCTCCCAGTGGTCTCCTCTAACTCTGACATTGTAACGGTTGCGGGGGTAGTTGTGCATGGAGCCTGTAGGAAGTTCATCATGAAGTTACAAAGTGGCAAGATCGAGGCATTTCTTTTGAAGCGTACTGTTTTGTGAATTATTCCTGTTGTGATCAGAATGCACTTGAGTGCCATCATGTGGATAATCATAGCCATTACCCACAGGATGTGTAATAGAGCTCTGAAGTGCGCTCCCCTCACACGACACGTCAATTTTTAATTTGTTTCTATTTTCTGTATTTTTTGTTGGGAGGTGTTTTGAATAACGCTCATAATTTTTTTTTTTAGCCACTTTGAATGGCAATAGCAGAATGAAATTAAAGAAAGATTAGATGGAAACTAGGGAAAGCAGTTCCATGAGTGAATAAGGCGCTTAAACTGAAATACAGCTGAATCCTGTGCCATCAGCATAGAATTGAATGCTTGGGAAATAGTTGTTCTGAAGGTCTGACGTCATGACATTCCCTTTCACTTTGGCATGAAGTGTGAACCGGCCTTAAAGCTTGCAAATGGTTTGTTGAATTGTGCCTGTGCTTTTCAAAATCCATTCCTTCACAGTTATGTCAACTTCCTACAAAGCCAAATCGTGTGAACCTTTCAGGATCTAACAAATCGTGTTAACCTTTCAGGATCTAACAATATGGATTTTTGTCTGTAAAACACATTGCTTGCCTGACATCTTTTGTCCAAACTAATAGCTTCTTTCTCTTTCCTTTCATGCTACAACCCCCATGCTTCATGACCATGGCTTATCACACTAGGCGGAGTTGGTAAGTCACACACATTGCTATGCCATAGTTTATTAACAGATCAAAAAACGTCATGCACTAAACGCTATCACCTGTAAATTTATTAAGGAAATAAATATGTGCTTGGCCCGTTTTAAACAAGGACATGTACGTGTAAAACAGGCTAGGGGCCTGGACACAGATAATGGCCTGAGCTGAAGACGAGGGTCAGTATCGGTGACCAGGCCCCAAGCTGGTTTGAAACGTACTTGTATACATGTAATGCCATCCACGCACATATTTATTTTCCCATTCATAAATACTTTTCGGTCGAATGTCAAAACAAGTAAAAAATCCAAAAAAAATAAATGATTTTGTGAAACAGATTTACCTCATGTTTTGTGAAACCACCCCTCTTACTATGTTTATGGTATGTGCCTCGCGCGAGTAGTAATAAAAATCTCCTGATGTGGAGATTGGTGCGCTCGTGGTGTATACAGTGCGATGTGACGCAGAACGCAGCGGTGCAGGAATAAAGTCTTTAAAACCAGTCGGTGTTTTATCAACCGTTTAAAGCCACCCTCGTGATGGGCTCTCGACTAATAGGAATGGGTGTTATTTATGAATCAAACATAACATAGAGCTTGTCATTTCTACCGTGAAGCTATTAATTGTAACCAAGGTACCTTGTGTTTGAAGATTTGTAGTTTTTTAATGAACTTAAAGTAAAATTTGTTAATTTGTCAAGTGCAGAAAGGTTGTCGCTTTGATATTGATGCTAAAAATGTTGAGCGTCTTATTAAAATCTTTGCTGAATTTAGTGACAATGTGTTATGTGGTAGGTTAAAATCAGGCAAAACTGGGCAGATCTCCAAAGTCTAGATCAGCCAGAAAATGATGTGGGGCTCATATTTAAGGGTTTTGATAGGCATGGAGAATATTTGTGACACTTCTAAAATAAGATTCAGACAAATAATTAGCCTTTTTGAAATGTGACTTTATATTCTGTCATTTTAGAAAATGATGTTTGTTCACAATTTGATGTTTTGGTCACAAGATTAGCCCATCTTCTACCTTACTTTTGCATTAGAAAACCGAACATTTACGTCCATTGTGAAGTGATAGTTGTCTTTAGGATCATTCTGTGTCAAATCACCCAATGGGTTAAACCATGTTGAGGTATACATGTAATTTCATTCAAGTTCGTCTCATGTTCAGACATGAAAAATACTTTGGATTGTTTATGATGTTACCTTTCCAAGGAAACCAAGATTAACACATTTGGCCCGGAGGTTATGGAGATATGGTCATTTGAAAATTAGCAGCCACGCCCACTTTGGCCAAACTTACCCAAAAAATGGTGGGGTTAGTGCGAAAATTGTTGGTCCGATGGTGCTAAAACTTAAATTTCAGCTTTTTCAACCTAAATTACCCTATATATTAAATATGAAGCAATGTGTAGGTGTTGGGGTTTAAACTTTCAATTTGTTTTGGCACGGAATGACCCTTTGAATGATGTTGTAAGAACTAAATTTGAATGGTTCTGCTGAGATTTGCCTGATGTGGACTTACGGTGTTTCAAATTGTTAACAGAGATGAAACTTTTCCGATTTTAATCGGAAAACCGATTTTTTGAATTTTCCAATGAAATTTCCGATTTTTTTACGGTGTGGCCCACAAAATTTGATTTTCTGATGATTTTTTCACAAAATGTCATTTTATTTCAATCATAATTTCGAAGAAAAGTCGATGGAAATGGCGTGCTAAAATCATCGCGAACGTAGTTTTAATCTCTTTCACCAGTCGTTATTGGAGAGTTTCAACGGTAGAAACACAGGGCATAACACTGATTGGAGCCTTTTCCGGCTGGACAAAAGGTTAAACATTGACAGGCGACACGGAAAAATCACTGTGTCGCACGTGCGTGCGAATATGCAATGGTACCAGCGTGCGTACGTACCGCACCACCGTACCGTCCGCTAGCACATGGCCGGCCGGGACGGGTAGCCTTGTGAAGGATCCTGTGGATAAAATCATTATGTTGTGCGATTTTCGGAGGTTTCAGATTCAGTTGTACAAAATGCAATGCTTTAAAAATCATGATGACTATCTCGAGGATAGCGAAGAGAGCATTAGCGAAACATTTCACTGGCATTTGTTGGAAGAGAAAGACGGTAATGCCTGATTTTTTCCCATGTATGAATGCCAGTGGTTGAATCATGGACATGATTGAAGCACCATGAACGGTGCCCTTGTCTTTCGGACTTTTCCCTCGACTTTCTCAAGTAAGAAGTGAACTTCTTTATTGATGACTCCATAGGCTAACCGTAATTCAGGCATTTTATGCATTGAAAACACTGACCGTTTTTTTTTTCATCGTAAAATTTTGTTTGAATCAAAAATAGAGCAGGAGTTGCTGTCCGGAAATTGGGCATGAAGTGTATTGTACATGCATGTACATGTGTATATGTGTGTAATGGCAGCGCGCGGCCCAGATTTCGGACACGTATTTTTGTTCGGCCTATTTTCCGATTTTTTTTGCCACATGCCAGTTTCATCTCTGTGTTAAATAATTTGTTGTCACATGAAAGAATTGGTAATAAACGCCACATGTGTAAAGGAATCCTATCAACAAACAATAAGCTCTTCATGAGACCACAGCTACACGTACATGTAGGTCAAAGCCGTTCATTCCTGATGCCAAATATCGCAATCCAACTGACTTCGGCCAAATTACAATCTGTAGTAAAGTTATTCACAGGATCTTGAGGTCAAAGCAACGGACCACGTGGTCATGGTATGCCAACCTATTCAATAGTCTGGATTCACTTTTGTAATTTGATTTATTTGACAGAAACCCATTGTGTTGAGGAAGCGTCGGCAGAGGATCAAGAGTGAGGATAACTGGGACTTCTTCTACTACAAGTAAGCTACAATGGCACTTAGGAAGTTACACAATAACTATTGGAGAACATGTTGTTAAAACAGGTTAAACATTAGCCATTAAAAATACATGTTGAAAAAAAAGAAAAGGGTAAAAGTTAAGAGGATGGTACTGCAAAAGGTTGGGAGAACTAAAGAAACTGGCAGAAGAGGGTTATAAAGGGTATACAAAAAGCCGATGTGGGAATCAGATATGAAAGAAATAGGAGGACCTAAGGGTGTCTGTTGTAAAAAAAAACTATCGAAATATTCTCATGCAATGAAACAAATTGGTGAAAAAAAAATTGCTGTGGAAGTTACATATTTGAAGGGTCGTGTTCGTAAGCCAAATGGCTTGATTGGATTTGTTTGTTTGATTCCCAGGTTTAACCAGGATCACGCCCTACCAAATCTGATATGGAACTTCAAGGTGAGGTGCTTACCAGTTATTTCTCTTCAATAAACTGAAACTGTCCATACTTTGGAGGTCTCGTAGGCGAATCCAGGTTGATACAACTGTCAGGCTAGCAATGAGGGCTGCAGTCTTACTTATCTATTAATAATAATACAAATAATGTGTTCTTATATATCGCTTTTAACTAACATCCAAGCGCTTCATACCACAACCTGACTGCATTTTTATCAGACTGGACCCTCCACTGGGTCTTACATCAGTAACACAATCCTAGGTGTTAATAATAAATATGGGGCAATCCTTCAACTATGCTTCTCAGTATGCTTTTCTTGTAAAAAAAGTAACAGTTTAGAAATTAAATTTGAGTAACCTTGGAATTTTCAGCAAACATACTTCCAAGTAAATGAGACAAACATTCAAACTGATGATGGAGAACTGAAAGGAGAACATAACATTATTGCTATCCTAGTAATGATACATGTAGTTGTTTGTATTGTATACATTGTATTATATACAGGTGTAATTTATAGACCATGCCTCCTCTGACGTCATACCAACAGGTAAAGACAGGCAACTCAAACATTGAAGCGTCTTTTGCATGTTATTTTGCCCACATTAAACAATTTACGTGAACACTTTTAAACCACTCTTATTTCACGAGATAAACATACAGTCCAGAAGAGAAGAGTTCCATGTAATTTGGCATTACGTGACCACCACATCCAATTTTGTAAACAAATGTTCTAGTATATTGCATGGTCAAGACAATTTCTACCATTGATTGACTGTTCAACATTAGACCAGGGAAGAGCTGAGGCAGGCCCTTGAGAATGAGATGCGATCCTTCCGCACTGACTGTGACCTGAGCAGTGGCCATACGATATCCTGGAATCATGTGGAGTTTGAGGTTCAGTATGAATGCCTTTCCGATGAGATCAAGATTGGAGATTACTATCTCAGGCTGCTGCTGGAGGCGGATGAGAGTAATGAGGAGATCAGTGCCATCAAACGATCGTAAGATTGTTACGCTTACTTCAAGCTAACATTTTCTGTTGTCATCTTGTGATCAAAGGTCATGATGGACACTTTCCACATGGATTTTATTTTGGCAATGTTAAGTCATTTTTAAAAATGGCATTATTTTTATACCGAACAATCTATTGTGGAACTCATTGTGTTCATTATAGTAACTTTTACAGTAATTCCCCCCCCCCTCCATCAATAAAATGTTAAAATCCCACTAAAGCTTGTAAGCTTTTTTGAACTATAGTAAAGATTTGTGTTAAAAGCGAAGTGTCGCTGTCCTCAAGCTAACCATGTCTTTGTGTTGTTCCCTACAGGTATGAGTTCTTCAATGATCTGTACCACAGATTTCTCCTGACCAACAAGATGAGCATGAAGTGCATGTGTCTCCATGCCCTGGCCATTGTGTATAGCCGATGTAATGAAGAGATTGGCCACTTCAATGACACGCGCTACATTGTGCAGATGCTGGAAAGGGTGAGATATTTCTTCAAAATCATTGAGTGTGTGAACTACATCTGAAAGGTGTAACAAAGTCAGGTGCAAAGTTTCCAAATGATGACGTCATCAGACCAGAAGTTATTTTAGGGAGAATTTGAAAATGTCATTTTTTTTCTTGTTTTGTTCCACTCAATCGTTAAGTGCCCAAAATCTTTTTTTGTGTGTGACATGCCAAGTGTGTCAAAGTCACCACACTATTCCCTACCAGATGGGGAAAACACATTGAGTTCATTCTTACCTAGACTTGTTTGTTGAATTGCAATGCTTTAGTGTACAGACAGGCAGGAGCGAGACAGGCTGGTGCTGTTCTTAGACAAGCTTCTATACATCAGACGGAATGTCAAGGAGCTCATTGATGCTAATGGCATCCGCGTCCTGGTTGACATCTTGACGCTAGCTCACTTGCATACTTCAAGGGCCACGGTTCCAACACAGGTCAGTTGCTGTAATTCTGAAAAGATTATGTGGTGAAGCAACTCCAATTACCCGCCGTGGTTACAAGAGTTTTCAGTTATTATCTCAAACGATGTTTGTTCTCTTCGTTATTCTTCAAGTGGGATTGAAAGCTAAGGGGAACATAGGTTGTGCACTGTACATTAATTTGAAGTAAAACTGCTTTTAGTATGTCAAAAACAGGCACAATGGACAAGTGAGTTGGTAACCAGGGAAGACATTTTGATATTCGTGTAATTGGATTAACTTTCAGACCAACGTGATTGAGGCAGCCCCGGATTCCCAAGAAAGCAGTGAAAAGGAGTGGTACTACGGCAACGTGGAGAGGGAACGGCTTGGCCCATTCAGCTTTGGCCAGGTCAGATTTTGTTCTTAAGTAATAAAGAGTTACATGTCTTTTACTGTGTTTTACCTTTAACAGCAGTTTTTGTCTTAAATCTTCTCTTCTGTGTAAAGGCCTTATTGTGTTTCTTATTACATTTTTTTGAAACCTCACATTGAACTGACTAAGTTGCTTTCTTACCCTTGTAATTGTGCCATGAAGTGCAGAATTGAGGTTAGTGCTTCAGTTGAAACTAACTAAAATTGTCCAAGCATTTACACAACATCGGGACAATCCCTAGGGTAAAGATGGCACATTTGAGAAATATGCTGAAAAGGAGTGTTGTTTTGAAGTTATTTCTTCAACCTATCTGCTACATAGGTATTGGCATCAATGTAATAGGGTGTCCCCAGCAGTCCCTGCGTGTGCCTGTTGATGATTGTCCGCAAGTGCCATGCTTAACTGCATTTGATATTTCTCACAGCACTCTCTTCAGGTACCAAAGCTTAAATGTTTATCCCCTTACTTCACCAGATGAAGGATCTATGGAAAGAAGGCAGCATCAATGCCAAGACACGATGCTGGGCCCAGGGTCTGGAAGGCTGGAAACCCCTGCATCAGATCCCGCAACTCAAATGGGTAGTGCTGGCTACAGGCAATGCTGTCTTGAATGAGAGTGACCTGGCTACCATGATCCTCAACATGCTCATCAGAATCTGTGGCTACTATCCCAGCAAGTAAGCTAGTATTCCAGCAATAAAACTCTTTCCATGATATCATCCCCCCTTGTTGATGTGCTTTTAGCATTGACTAAGTAATAAATCTAGTAGTGAGATACAGAACAGGTACACCTGCTTTTCAATACCTTTTAGATTTTCAAAATAACATCTTTTGTTATTGAATCGTTTTATTGTAATTGTATTGTGATTCCTGTTCATAATTTGTTATGCACAATTATTGTAGTGTATTTTGGCACTGGAAAATGCAAAATTTTAACACCTGAAAGTGTTATCATCTGTACTTAAAACAACTTTTGTTTTATCAAGCAATTTTTTTTGGTCAAGCTGATATGAATATGAAATCTGAAATTCCAAATCTTCCATTTAATGCAAAGAAAACGAATCTTGTGTTTTTAACATTTGTAAAAAATTATACAGCGTTTTTTTTATCAGGAATGTACATGTGTAAGTCCTCCAGCAATTTCCTGATTTCAGGCTTTTTTTCAAATTGCAAGTAACTTATCGGCACCACACATGTGTGCATACTTTTCCTTTATACCTCAAATTTCAGGCAAAAGTGTTATAGTCCAATAGCATCCCTATTTTATGGCATCACATCTGTTGTTACCAAAATGTAACACACCTGCGTGCATGTGTGCACAGACATGTGTGAAATGCAACTCAGTAAGTATTGGTAGTGATCCCTCCACAGTTGCACCTGATGTTGTTGGGGACCATAACTGCTCCCAATGATAATCATGACAGACTCCAAAAAGAGTTGAAAAGAATTTGCAGATTTAAATAAGATGTGAATTTGTTGTTGTTGACACAACAGAGATTTAGATGGAGCCATTATCCGCCCATTACCAAGACCAAAGAGACTCCTGTCAGATGCTACTTGTCTACCACACATAGTCCAGGTAAGCAAATCATGTCATTTTTATCTGAACCACACTGATAATCGATATATCATTAAACTAATATTGATTATTTTCCGATATATATTGAATAGTATTTACAATACCCGTTGCAAGTTAATTTCTTACCAGCCAGGCCAAAAAAACCATGTGTATCGAGGCTGACGTATGTACGTTTAAAGAAAAGAAGGTTAAAACGGTATTAAAAATCCTTTATGTCCATTTGTTTAACTGAACATGCCTCTCTCAACAACTTTCTCATGTCAAAGACAATAACATTTCGGCTGTGCCTACTTTTGTTAATTTACAATCGATGAATTCAAATTCCCTTATGCACAGTGCAGCGACAAAGGAGATTTTGTCAAGAATTACAACAATTTGATTTCCACATAAGCGTGGGGCACACTATAAGCAGCGTATCATGGAAGTCTACATGTGCAGCGGACACTACCACAACCTAAATCTCACTACGTTGTAGACATGGTAGATGTTCATGTACATGTACATGTATACATACTCCATAGTCCTTAGCGCTAAATAGAGAACGAAATACATATAAGACCAGTTGATGACCTAATGTGAAGTCTGTCAGCACACAATTGTTTATCTTGAGCGCAAGCACATATTGCATGTCGTTGGCTGCCAAACTGTAGACGGCGATCACGATAGCCGTTGGGAATCATTAGTTAATTACAATGTCGAATCCTTTTGCATTTGGCTTCATTGGCGGAAAGAAAGAAAAGCAGATGCAAAGTCCCTGTAAGTCAAATTAACAACCCTTTTTTAAGCTGGTTCCAAGAAACAATCCAGGCTACTAAGTTAACATCATGGGCAACCATTTTTCAAGCAAACAGTTGCTGAGTTCATAAGCTGTTGTTCTGATATGCATCAAGCATCCACAATGTATCTTTCATTATCACTGCAGCTCCTGTTGACCTTTGACCCCATCCTAGTAGAGAAGGTCTCTGTGTTGATCTTTGACATCATTCAGGACAACCCAGGCCTGGGTCGGCTCTACTTAACAGGAGTATTCTTCTTCATTATGATGTATACAGGATCCAATGTACTACCACTGGCATGGTAAGAACTACCGTAATTTTCAGAATATAAGCCGCAGCACGCACAAATCTGCAAATTAAGATTTGAAGTCGGCGTATAAGCCGCACCGGCGTATAAGCCGCACCGACCGCAGCGGTTTCAATTTTGCCCGTCCGGTTCCCTGTTAGTACATGGCCCGGTAGCCTGTGCCGGGGAATGATAATATTTTCCCCCAGCACTTGAGAGAGTATGCAACCCACCGTGTGTCACTGTCGTCTGACTGGAGCGCTACACATGCTGCTTTGTGGCAACAGACGCTGATTTCTTTGGTCCTAAGAATAAACAGGTCCGTTTTTACAACAAAACGTATCAACTTGTTGTGATTACTAGCGAGTAGTTTCGTCAAAAATTCAAGTTTCGATCGTAAAACAGTCAACAAGCACGATGCTGAAATTTTTATGGACGAATCCATTAATTTCGTAGGGGGTGATTTAGCCCCTGTTTTGAGATTTACATCGTTTCTTGAATACATTTCAAGAAAAAAATGATATTGTGACGTTAAACAACTGATTATCGAATAAAGAAATGTTTCGAACTCCATAAAAAGTATTAGTTGTCTTTTTTCTTTTTTTAAACAGCGGAAATATTGGTAGTTATTGTTCCCAAGAAAGTACACCCCTTTATTACCACAAATGGTGTGGTCCATGGGGAATGCATACAGCATGCATGCAGCACTATCACGTACGTTTCGGAGTGACAGTTTTCGATTTCACTAGCCGTACTTTTTACCGCTCGGTACCTTTTCGTGGGACGTGCTTTCGGTTTGTTAATGACTTTCTTAATTGATGATTCATTTCAGCAACACATCTCTTCTTGTACCAGTACATTAAATACACATGTGAATCTTGTTTTTATTCTTCAAGGCTCGGCGTAAAAGCCGCCCTGTGTATAAGCCGCAGCAAACATTTTCATGGGCAAATTCAACGTATAAGCCGCGGCTTATATTCCGAAAATTACGGTAGTATTCTACTGACTGACTGTCTCTTATGAGTCTGGCAGTACTATCATGTATCCCGAGTACCCCGTCATGTCAATGAATGGGCCAAGTCCGGCCCATTATGTAGACCAGATGTACTTCCATTGAAAAGCCATTCTGAATCAGTTGGTTAGATTGTTTGCGGTTTAGGAACGTTTTTACTCCGCTTGCCATGTCTTGTTGTGTACATTTACCATCCAAGGCTGATCAAAGTGTTACATAGGGATTTAGTCAAGATCTTCGTAGAATTAATTTTACAAAGTTCCACTGCGAAGGCAGTGTGTAATGTCATGTCCCTGATGTATTGAAGGTTTTATTACTGTGCTAGGGCAACAGGGTAATTTTTTTAATTTGAGGACTTTGATCTTTGCAAAACTATTTGCTTTTAAATACTGTTTTATGTCCTGTAGTGTGATATGGTCCAATTAAACGTGACAATCTCTTTAGATTCAGAGCATATAATAACTCTGAATATCTGAAATATATAACCAAACACCCGTGTGTTGATAGGCTTACATTCGTCTTTAATGAAATGCTAGAATTATTTTGTATTTTGACAGAAAAAAAATCACTTGAATCTCTTTTGTGCTATTATTATTTTGTAGGTTCTTGAAGTACACCCACATGCGGCAGGCTTTCAGGTCTGATGAGGTATGTCAACGTAGACTTTGGGGGAGCAATATTGTCTGTAGAACACTCACAGTGGGATGTGATTTTTTCATAGAAATAACTGAATCTAGTTACATTCCACATGTTACTGATGATTCAAGATTCATAGCTCACAGCTAGGCATACATTTTGTCCTCTTGAAACCATTAAGCCATTGGACTTGATACAGTGCGCTGAGCACTTTCCGCAGCGAGTGATTGATTCGTGAAATACTTAGTGCCTGCAAGCAAATATTTAAGTACAAGTCTATTCACACAGTGGTCAAGTGTCCTCACAAAACATCTTGGGCCTGGCTCCTTGTGTGTGCTGCCTCTTGGTAACTAGCAATATGACCAGCCTTGCTGGGCCGATCCTGAATACTCAAATAGACTAGTTCAAGGCAGCTACATGTAGCTTGTGTTTTAAGGTAATATACAATATTTCCTTTTTCACTAATTTTCAGAAATGGACGAATTTAAAGGGCGCTGCGTCCTGAAATTTCATGTGTTAGATTATTTACTTATCCTATTTCAACGCCTGGTTGAAAGGAAACCAACCTAATGTCTTACCGTTCCCGAGAACAATGAACGATATACGTTGTGTGTGTCTAGTATTACACACGTATGTACACCCACCCATGCTTACGCCTCACAAACAGCGGTGACCAATCACCAATGCACAAAATGTGATTTCTCTTACACGTCCGCAAAAGGCGAACCCTTACAGCTGGAATCAAAACTAGCATGAACAGCCGGACTTTTTGGTGTCACAAAAGTGGACCCCAAAAGTAATTCTCGCACGAATAACACAAGCATTCTACAAAAGTGCCCAATTTTTAAAGGATAGTTGTGTGAATGTTTATATCCTACTTTTAAATGTTCTTTCGGATTGACATCATTTCGTTCAAAACGCGTTTTATTGCCAAATTGGGCGTATTCCAGGATGAAGTATCCCTTTAAGGGTTAGTATTTTGCAGTAAATATCTTTCCACTGACCTGTTTTAAAGTTTTGTGCTCATGGATGCAGGAAAAAAAAACAAGAAAAAATGTATAGATGTATGGGAATTGTCAGGTCAGGGAACAGACTAGCTAGCTTCTGCCCATTCAGGGATATGTAGCCAATTGCTTCGCTCATAACCCCCCGCCCTGCAATCAGGACGCTGGGAAGGGCTGATCTCTTTGAGCTCGCATTGGATAGATTTTGCGTGACCTGTGACGTAGATGCAGCGCACAAACTCGCTGCAGGTGCAAGCCATTTTTTTTCAATGATGGTTTCACTGAACCATCCTTGGAAAATGATACAAACTTCCACTTTTCTTGAAAACACGACAGCATATCATTTTTTCGGTTTTTTAGTGTTTGCAAATGCTGTTCCTTACCTTTAAGTGAAGTGAGTCAAACTATGGATGTTGGCAATCAGATTCGCTCAGGGTAGAGGGTAGAATCATGTTAACAGCCGTATCTCAACGCTCACAGGTCATTGTTCACAGCTGTGCACACTTTATCTCTTGTGATTCAGACTAAGCAGTCAGACACCATGCATCGCAGCATTCTGGGCCACATACTACCTGAGGCCATGGTTCATTACCTAGAGAACCACAGCGCTGAGAAGTTTGCTGAGACATTCCTGGGAGAGTTTGACACACCAGAAGCCATCTGGAGTGCAGAGATGAGGTCAGGGGTTAGAGGTTAAAGCTCATAGGTCATATCTATTGGAGATAGATTGATTAATCACAATGTGAAAAGGACACATAGCTGAAGTGAAGCGTACTAGTTTCATTGTATTTATTGATTATTTCAAATTACAAATGTTCCAAACATGAAAAAAGGAACGCCAAATTTGAATTGCAAATAATGTGCTTTTAGGTGAACATATTTAGTTATTACACCATTGTTATAACAACTTAGATATGGGTCATTATAGAAATGTAAGGTCCAAAGTCTGACATTTTCCTGTCCCTGTTACTTTGGTACTTTGTTGTTTGCCATTCAAGCATAATTAAGAAAGACTTAAAACTTTTTTTTTTATTTGTTAGATACGTAGTTTGCTTTTCATAATCATCTTAGAGGATGACTACATTAACCCTCCTAGTGGGAAGGCAATATTCAGAGCAAGTTGTAAAACCCTGTAAACCCTGCAGGTCAGTTTCAGGTGAAGGGATGTGAAGTAAACATGTCGCACAGAGAGTCACTGCACAAAAAACGGCACTGTGGAGAGCAGTGAAGCATGACCGTGTCTGCCTGCTCGCCCTGAGCTTAACCACACCAAAGAATTGGTGGTAATTCTATCAGCAAAAGTGGTTTTGCAAATGAAGGGATGTGAAGTACGGAAGAATAGGAAGGTTAAGGAGTGCATCCATCATTATAAAAAAAACCAACCAATGTCAGATGCAACAGGGACAGGTAAAAGTGGACCCCAAGTTTATAGAATGGCCCAAATGGCAGCTTGTGCCCCAGGGAGGCACATTTGCAAAACCTGAGTAGTTTTGAAATGTAACTCTATGGTCCATATATTCCTTCATTCTCAGGCGTATGATGATTGAGAAGATAGCTGCTCATATAGCTGACTTCACCCCACGCCTGCAGAGTAACACACGGGCCATGTATCAGTACTGCCCCATTCCTCTCGTCAACTACCCTCAGCTGGACGGAGAGCTGTTTGTCAATATCTATTACCTGAGGCATCTCTGCGACAAAGAGCGCTTCCCAGATTGGCCCATTAGAGAACCCGTAAGACAACCCTTAACCATTAGACAAAAAATGAATTTATGGCAGTTTGCGGTGTGGGCACTTTGATTTTCCCTTTGCAAACAAGCACATTCTGCAAGGCAATCTCTTGCAAGTATTTTGATACTCTGTTCTGCCCTTAACCAGCTTAATTTATTAGCACTGTATCAGTGTGTTCTGAGGGCTTTCAAAAACCATATTTGAAGGGCTTTCAAAAACCAGGGGCATATTACTATATGCTTCATTGGAATGTGGGAATCTAATTAAGTGGCAAGGCTGATTTTAAATGCAACAACAAGGCAGATTTTAAGTGCGACAAATGTTGCGCATGTTGTTGACAGTGCCGTAGAGAATATATGAAGACCAATCTCTCATAGTTTAATTCCTTTGTGTAACCCAGAGATTAAAATTTCCAATTTTAATCTGAAATCCGATTTTCTAAATTTATTTCAAAAATTTTGATTTTTCTGACCATCTTTTCCCCACAAAATGATTTTTAAAATTAAATTTAAATGGAATTTGATGAAAACGGCCCCATGATATCTGTATTGTGAGTGCAATTGTTATGCGTCCTACCAGTCATCAGTGCACAGATTGTATGGTAGAAGTGCATTTAGAAGTAAGCCCGGATTGGAGTAGTTTATGGAAATAAGTTGAAGCATTAACCTATGACATGATTGAAACTACGCACAGAGCTTTGTGGCTGTATGTTGGGCATGGAGTTCAACTACCATGACTGACAGTCTCATAGTGCAGTAAAATCCACATGTTGTGCAATTTTCACAACAATTTTCTGAGGTCTCAGATTTAGTTGTACAAGATGCAATGCTTTAAAAATCTTGATAAAAGATCAATTTCACTGGCAGTTGTTGGAGCTGAAAAAGACGACGGATAATGCTGATTTTTTTTTCCACCTATGTTAGTCTGACTTTTCCTCGACTTTCTCCCTGATTTTCAAGTAAGACATGAACTTCTTTGAAGACGAGTCAGTAACTCTAACCTTAATTCAAACAGTGAAACTTTTTCACATCGTAAAATTTCGTTTGGATCCAAAATAAAACAGGAAGCGGTGTCCGGAAATTGGGCACAAAGTTCATTGTACATAATGTGCATATGTGTAACCCAGCCCAGATTCGGGACAGAGATTTTTGTTCGACCAATTTTTGATTTGTTTCCCCATAGGTCAGTTTTATCTCTGGTAACCATTGATGTAACCATTTCTCCCCCCACTTTTTCAGGTCAAACTACTGAAGGACATCCTGGAGGAATGGAAGAAAGAAGTTGAAAAGAAACCTCCATCCATGTCCATCGAGGAAGCCTATGAAGTCTTGAAACTCAAGACAGCTGTTGGAGGGTACAATACCAATCCCTGTCACTAAAGGCCAACCACTGAAGTTTTATACAATTTAATAATGGTTGGAACAGCTTCAAAGTTTTATATCAATATTTGTGAAAAGAGAATTTTATTTGGTGAGAGGAATTTGACTAGTCACTTCAAACATTTGTAGACATTTCTATGGTATTGCACAAATGCAAGCAGTCGCATTTCTAGCAACTTTTTTTGTGATGAGACAGCTACATTTACTGCCAACTGTATCTTCTATGTTAAGAATAAAGCATTGGTTGTCTATTTTTAAAATTGTCTTTATTTTGATGTACACGTGATTCTTTTTCAGCCATGAAGAGTCAGTCATCCGCAAGGCTTATTTCCGTATGGCTACAAAGTACCATCCTGACAAGAATCCAGAGGGCAGGGTGGGTTCAACTTCTCTTAAGTAAACTTACCGTAAAAGACGAAGTCTGTTTCTGTAAAATCAAACCGAAGTGGAGTAAAACGGTGACACGGCATTTACTTGAACCACCCCCTCCCTTCTGAGTATGCCTGAATTGCGTTGCTTACAGGGCCTTATATCGTGGCTCTGCTAACCACGCAATGAGGACAGTAGAAAGTGGATCAGCATGCTGCTTACACAATGGAAATCTTACCAAAACCAGTCGGCTTCAACAGATAAATGTTGCGGTTTTTTTTATTTTTTAAGTTGAACAAAGAAATTGACCGGATTGGAGCGGGGTTTGAACCTGTGACCTCCAGATAACCGTTCTGGTGCTCTACCAACTGAGCTATCCAGCCCTATATTGGTGGTTCCCCATTTTGTCAATGTCTTTGTTCAAGGGGCGCTAGTCAGAAGCCATGAACCCGTATATTCCATGCAGCCAGGCATCACGCCCAAAGTCACGATGCAGACCTGGGAAATAGCAAACGGGGATCACTCAGAGAGGATACGGCTTTTTATTACAACTTTGCCCTTTGTGGTTCATTTGAAAATTTAACAAATAAACTGCAAAAGGATAATAAATACATTAGCATGCCACATGTTTTAAATTTACACTTCTACCAGTAATTGTAACTATTTTGTGGATGTATTTTTTTATTCGGTTTAGGATATGTTTGAGAAAGTCAGCAGTGCCTATGAGTTCCTGTGCAGTAAATCCTCCAAGAACATGGATGGGCCCAATCCAGACAACATTGTGCTTATCCTACGCTCTCAGAGTATCCTCTTTGAGAGATACAAAGATAGTAAGTCAACATTATGACAAAGTAGACACCAACGAAACCCTTACACGTGTTAAGAGGGTTTTGCTATTGACTTCTTGGTGCACTGATTTCAGTTAAATTTTAGTGTGATACCCTGTTTCTGAAGACATGCTTTATAAGTGCATGGATATATCAGTGTAGAGGAACAAGACACAAGACCACGGCCCAATCAGATCTGATCACATTAGGCCAAAACAAAAAGTCTTTGGGTGTCTGGTATGGAGCATGTGCTGCAAGGCTGGTCATTAGTCTGCTCCCTTAAATATTGCGCTAATTAAAAAGCATTTACAGGTGGCCAGATACACGACTATTGCTACCTCAGTCTGGCTTCCAGACACACAATTACAATATTACATCACCGTCTGCAAACGGTGCCTGACTAAAGTTAGTGCGAAATATATGGGAGCCCAGAGAGGTCACATAAAGTCTATACTCGATCTTAACCCCACCTAAAAACACGTTAAAATTGTGCAGCAGCAGGATCCCAGTCACACCAGTGAGTTTGGCAGTTTTGAGACATCATCTTACATTAAAAAAAACAACTTTTCAATTTTGCCGACGTGCATGGCTACGGCGATGCGGGCGCAGACCGGAAACCGGAGACTTTTTTTGGCCTTATGAAACATGACAAACGACCAAACTCTTGAGCAAAATCAGTGCTACAAACCTCTGACTTCAAGACATGGGTTGTATGTAGGCGGAGGTGTGGGGGATAAACATGACATAGGTGCAGCTCTTGAATACCTTTGTTCAGTTCAATGTTTGGAGACACAAACCTGTTAGTCACACCAAACTAGATTCTAATTTGAGCTGGATGCTGCTAGTTTCTTTGATGACCTTTTTTTAAGACTTGCTACATTTTCAGACCCACTGACACAGTTATGCAGCATTTGATTTCAGCACTATGGCACTATCCATTGCACTGTTGCATTGTGTGTTGAAGTAATGCCATCTATTGCGTTCTTGGACCTCAATCCCCACAGTTCATTTCCTCTCTTTGCATTTAGATTATGCTGTGGTACTTGCTGTTGTACAAATTAAGCCTGCCACAGATCAAGTGTTTGCCAATCCTGAGAGTTGTGTTTATTGTCTGTTTGTCTTTGGCCAGTCCTGGAGCCATACAAGTATGCCGGTTACCCCATGCTCATCAAGACTATTCAGATGGAGACTCATGACGATGCACTGTTCTCCAAGTCTGCTCCACTGTTGATTGCAGCCAGTGAGTTAGCCTTCCACACTGTCAACTGCTCAGCACTCAATGCAGAGGAACTGTGCCGAGAGAATGGCATTGAGGTGAGATTGAGTATAGGCCATGTCACCCTTGTGTAACAGCATTTTGCCTGTGGGTATGACGGCAAACCAACAGGCATGATGTCATATGACATTGTCCACAGTGTATATGCTGTTGGTTGTCTGAAAAAAAAATTGTCAAAAGCCTAGTAAATAAATGCATTAAGGTGGAGAACATTAGCCCTAACCTTCCTCAATCCAAAGTCCTCCCAGTGGTTTTTGAAGATTTTGGAGGATTGAGGCTGAATGCAACATACAATTTTGGAGGATTGTGGAGGATCGAGGGCATATGAAAATTCAGTATTGGTTGATTTTGGAGGATTGAGGCTGAATGCATTTTGAGAGGCAGGACTGTCTGATGATTTTAAAGGATTGAGGTGCTGGGTATCCTATGCATATATATATGGGTATAAGTGCATAATTATGGAACATTTTGGAGGATTGAGGAAGGTGTCTAGCAAAAAGGGTCTGGGGGGGTTAGGGTTAAAAATGGAACAATTTGTGGATACATTAACCACATGTAATAAACTTTTTTAAAAACAGAGTGGTTTGGAAGAGATTCAAAGGTGTTCATTTGACTTTGTTTGGAAATAGTCCTGGTATCCAAATAATATATTTATTATATTCACTGTATTATATTCACTGATATCCTTAACAGACATAATGGGTGTTCTGTTGTAAAATAGTTCACAACAGTTTGATTTTATAGAATTTAAATGTTTTCTTTTTGGTCCTGGTTGCATTTTAGGTTCTGCAAGAAGCCTTTGTACGTTGTGTGGGTGTACTAAGTAAAGCCAGTAAACCTCATGACTTGGCTGTGCAGGTAAGCTTGCCACATGAGACCAAAGCTACATGTCTCTACAAGTCTTACTATTCCTCCATTTGCCTTGCTTCAGACTCTACCTGATTGTGGGTTTTCCTGTCTTTAATTGCACCCAAATTGTTTTGTATTTGGAATTCTACTACTCTTTAGTTTCAGTTAACTTGTTCAGATAAGGTATGATAGTTTGTATCACTAGTGGCGCCCTTCCAGCCCCTATATTTTATGCATAGCAAAGTTGTATGCTGCTTTTTTTCATGTGAAGGATTAATGGCCAAAACAATTGGATGCAGGTACACGTACTATTTTCGTACCTTGGACCAGATAACAGAAATGTTTTGTTGGACTTGCCATAGTGAGGGATTTCATGTATGCATTTTCTGTCGCTAAAATAAATTGAAAAATACTTTGGAAGCTTAGAGAATTTCTGTGATTTATTTTTGTGTGTGTTATGAAATTAACTAATTGAACAGTTTTCCTTTTGTTTTATTTTTGTTTTTTCTTGTGTGCAATATTTCTATATCAACCATTTTAACCCATACTTGATGCAATTGTGCGTTTGCTAGGTATGCATCAATGTGATCAAGTGCTATGCAGTGGCAGCCCAGTTTGAGATGTGTCGTGACCGAATCACTGAGATGCCAGCTATTATCAAAGACATATGCAGGACACTCTACTGCCAGGTAAACCAGACTAGATGCTTGGACATAGGTCAGGCCCCCTTCACAAATTCTTGGCCCCTGAATAAATTTAGTAGAGGCATTAGGTTGGTGGAGTCATACTTTCCTTGCCTGTGACTCTGGGTCCAAATCCGCATACACTGTCTTGTGGATTGGTTTCTCAATCCATGTTTGATTTTGTATGACTGTACTTTGCTTGACTTTAAAGAATGAAGTAATACAAACTGGATAATTTTTGCAATTTTGTGCTCAGGGAGCACTCAGAGAGCCTCTAAACAATGTGAAAAAAAGTAAGACATTTGCCCACTTCTGTGATTTTGAAAACCTATTCCAGAATTGTGGATGTTCATTCTTCAGTTAATTGCATTTTCTCCTTAAACACCTCAACAACCCAGAGATACACATCACAATATCAATAATGTCGCAAATATCAATATCATCAACAATAATTTTATGGATTTAAAATTTTTTTTCTTTAATACATTTGATAAGTAGACGTGGTTTTGTCCAGTCCAACAAAATGTGTCTGTGTAGCTTATGTAGTTTTCCAGCCTCGGTAATAATTTTGTTAAGTTGTCGTTTGCACTTTTTCCTTGTTTATCTGTTTCCTCCAAATGACCTTGCAAATTGGATATTGTTGGGTGTGCATTTCAGCATCTGAGCACATTGTGCATTGAATCCTGCAAGTGTGTGAGTGCCTTTGCCGTGGATAAGTACCTCCAGGATCACCTGCAGCAAGCGGGAGTACTCTGGCATCTATTGCTGTTCCTCTTCAAGTATGACTTCACCTTGGATGAGTCTGGAGTGGAGGTTGAATCTAGCACCAACCAACAGGTCAGTTTATGTTGTTTAAACACTCTGTCAGGAGTAAAAGAGCAATTCATTTACTTCAAACACAAAGCTGTGAGTGTCTCGTATCAACCTTGATAAGTTGTGCAATAATAGACTTTATGATGATCACGATTTGCTGGTAAAATAGTTCATATTCAGTAGGTTTAAAATTATATCTGTGTTTTTGGGATGCTTCATGTAAACAGTGAAGGCTGGATGACAAACTGCAGAAAAGCATGCAGGAGTTCAACGGCCAAGTTCCATAGTGTCTTCATTGCACAACACTTGGTGCCTACTGTAGCCACAGTTGTGCACAGAGCCTGTATGTTCATGTCGCTCGTTTTATACGTTATTCCTACTTGTTTAATCTAATTATGTGTTTATCTGGGCAGCAAATGGCCAACAATCTTGCCCGCCTGAGCCTAATAGCTCTGACCAGGTTGGGAGGATACCGTCAGGATGAGGAGAAAACCCCAGAGAATCCTGCCATCAGGAAATCATTGTCAGCTCTCCTCAGTCCCTATCTGGCCAAACAACTCTCCCTGCAAACACAAAATCAGGTCAGTAGACTAAATTAGAATTAGATTGATCACTGTCAAATGATTTCTGTCATATTTGAAATTGAAGTACCTTGAAAAATAACTTGATGAATGTAAACTATCACATCCTCAGATTAAAGTCCTAAAATGTACAAAGCCAGACAATGTTGTGTTTGCAAATGATTTTAAACAGATTTTCAGTTATTTATACAGGGTGAACAAAATGGTAACCTGCAAATAATGGGTTAAAATGTTAAAACTATGCATAAGTGGTTGTACCGTTAAGGATGGCTTACCAGCTTACCATTGATTCCTGCAAACCTAGATGACTGAGTACCACTCATTTCAAAACGAAAGCATAAAAGCTTATGTGTACTCTCACTTTCACAAAAGAGACATAACAACTTTGTGTTGTTGTTTTGTTGTTGGATATCAAGCATTTACCTTTGTCTTGTACTTACACATTGGCTTATAAGGCAGCCATGGTAGACCTAAGACACATTAACTAACCTGGCTACCAAGGCTATGGCTACCACATTGGCTTATAAGGCAGCCATGGTAGACCTAAGACACACTAACTAACCTGGCTATGGCTACCACATTGGCTTATAAGGCAGCCATGGTAGACCTAAGACACATTAACTAACCTGGCTACCAAGGCTATGGCTACCACATTGGCTTATAAGGCAGCCATGGTAGACCTAAGACACACTAACTAACCTGGCTACCAAGGCTATGGCTACCACATTGGCTTATAAGGCAGCCATGGTAGACCTAAGACACACTAACTAACCTGGCTACCAAGGCTATGGCTACCACATTGGCTTATAAGGCAGCCATGGTAGACCTAAGACACACTAACTAACCTGGCTACCAAGGCTATGGCTACCACAGTGGATTATAAGGCAGCCATGGTAGACCTAAGACACACTAACTAACCTGGCTACCAAGGCTATGGCTACCACATTGGCTTATAAGGCAGCCATGGTAGACCTAAGACACAATAACTGATGGTCACAATGGCTGGTTCATTGGCTAGTGGACTATTTATTGTCCTTAGAACATTTGCAACCATGTTGGCAACCATAGGTACCGTGTTGACTTAAGGCCAGTTCATACTTCAAGTGAAAGCAAGTGCGAAGCGAAATTCGTGTCGTCACTATGGTGGATGCGCTGTGAACTTATTGTTGATTTCGCTTCGCATTCGCTTTCGCGTGAAGTATGAACCGGCTTCTATATGGCTACCAAGTTTGCAAATGGCACTACAGGTTCAGGCAAAAGAAAGTGACTGAATAAGAATAATGTTTTTTAAAATATGCAGTACGCTCCATTTCATTAAAGTAATATAGGGATAAAGTACATGTTATTCACTAGTAACTGAAAATTTCACTTAATTTGCATACTCTATTCCCAAGTTAGTCTATTGTAATAAAACGATCAAACAATTCAGGTGTCCACCACTGATCATTTACTGTTCTATGAATTGATGAATAAAATACAATTAACATGGATGTTTTCCCATCACCATGAATGAACAAAAATTTGCCATCAATATTTTTAGGGGAAAAAAGCTGACTTGTTCCTCATATTCAAAACACAAAATCTGACAGTAAAAATAATGGTTCAGTCTGGACTGAAATGATTGAAATCTCTTTGTATTTGAATGCCTGTGCGTAATCTGTAATTCTCACTCAGCTCAACAGCTTCCAATGACATTCCATGGACAGCTATAAATAGGTTCTTTTAGTAAAACATGCACAACTTCTGATTGCATGGATCAATTTCAGTAATTCCTTTTTTCAGATGAGTGGAAGAATATGCTCTTTTAAGACATACTTCATTGGTGTATCATTAACTTTGATGGTTTTGTAAGAAAAATAAATCAATAATCCAGGTCACTTTCTTTTTGACTGACCCTGTACTAGCGCTTCAGACTATGGGCTATTCATCTTAATTCACTGCCAACCATTTGTATATTTTGAGCCTTTTTAGTTCGCTAGACACAGTGCCTTTTTCCCCTCATCGCTAATTCTGCTGATCATGTTCCCATGCAATGCTTTGAGTGCCCATAATGCTTTGCTTCTTTCATTCCTATGCACACTGTGGTTAGGATGCTGTGCCTGTCAATGAGGTAAGATATGATATCATCAATCACCTTAACATCATAAAGCATTAACACAATCAACCTCTCCATGTAGATGAGTTGGAAACAAAAATGAGGAATGAAAAGAAAAAGAATTCAAATGTTATCTCTGCTGGGTCTATGTCTAAAACTGAGTGGTCTCTACTGTCATGTGACAAATTTAAGGTGACAGATATAGACTATTCATAATGTAACTATGTGAGAATATTAAATACCACTGATACCATCCGTCTGACTACTCACACACATTAAAAAACAAAATCTTCAAGAATCTGATCTTTCAATATCTGTCACAATCCATGCCTGGTTTTTCCGGATTTTACTGGATTTAGGACAATATGGGCTATTCATCCTAATTCATAATGTGACATATGGATCAGTGTCTAAATTTCTGGAGAGAGTGTGTTGTTTAATTAAAGGAAGTTATTAACGTAGCTCATTAAAACAAAACCAAAATCTGTTTTTGACCTCTTGTCTGCTTTCTTGGTAATGAAATTGAGATTTTGCAATAAATGGTGATGGTATATTTACCCAACTCATTTCAGTTTTTCGTATTCACTCTTCAAGTTTTGTTGACAATTTTACATATAATTGTTGTAAAGTTCTCTGTTTAAGGAAACAAGTATATTTGTTCCTCTTGAAGGTTAAAAAATAATTCTTGGCCTTATTGACAACAAAAACTAAAACAAACAAACATCTAAATAAATCAAGAGAACAAATTCAATTGGGTTTGGCTGCTGTCTTGCATTGATAAAGGTATCATACAAATGATTGAGAATGATTTGTGCAAGCCCTAATGTTTTGTTCATTGGTAATCATTGTATTGGTTAACATGTCACTGCATCATGACCTTTGTGTATATGCAGATGTTATGAATCTTTTTAGCATAAATCCCCCCCCCCCCCCCCGTGCTTTTGTTGCCTGGTTTGTCCTATGAAGACAAATGTTATAACTTTATTGTGTGTAGTTGAATTTCTGAAGATAATTGAATTCTGTTATGATCTGCAGGTTTTGAAGATCATGAACAGTAACACAGAGAATCCATATTTGGTATGGGACAACTCAACTCGGGCAGAGCTGACAGATTTCGCTGCCAACCAACAGCACGACCACATAAGAACGGTCAGTACCCACAATATCCTTCTCTCCACGTTTATTCGTAAAAGTGTTATTTTTATTCCAAGGGTGACTTTTTTTATTTCTATTGTTGTCAATTTTTTTTGCCTGTGAAATCAGACTGGTCAGTTGGCAAAAAACAGAAATCTGAAGAAAAAAATTGCAGTTGCACCAATATAGATGGCTAAATTAAATGATGCCAAGTACATATTGTCTCTAGTTTTGCTAAGCGCAATGACTTGATCATGAGTTGATGTCACCGGACAACATAATAAAACCATGTACAGTGTAGTTGACTTGCATTATATCTGCACCATGACGCTCACTAATGGTTGGCTGTAGTGGCAGCCATGACATGATAGTAAAGGTATTACTATAGACCCCAGATATGATGAGAGGCAACATCCTCGCATCTTGTTGGATTGCATGGGTTGCTGTACATCGTGCATCAAGTAAAGTCAAATATTATTTCCATGGTTTTTAAAATAACACAGAGCCTGATTGCCAGAATTGCATATTCTTTTTTTTTCATGAATTTATTACTTTTTTTGTTAGTGGGAATTCCAAACGGGGTCTGCGGTAAATACATTTTTGTTTGGGGGGGGGGGGGGTTGGAAGCCCAAAATAGGGTCGGTCAGAAATGAAAACCAAAGAATAAAAAAAGGATTCCATAATGCAACAAATCACTTATAGCCTTTTGGTCTATGCATTTTGCAAAACATGAAAATCCCTCTAATTTCTAGATGAGATTATTTGTGCACAGAAGTCACGGATGACAAATGAAATCTTTGGGATGATTTTGAATGACAATCTCATCTTGCATCTCGGATAGGGAGAGAGTGATCCTGCGTTTGGTGCAGATTTTGTCTTCACTGCCCATGCCAAAGAGCTGATCATTGGTGAAGTGTTTGTACGAGTTTACAATGACCAACCATCCTTTCCCTTGGAGGTGAGTTTACATCTAGACTTATGTATGTATTTATTTATTTACTGTTATTCGTCAGTTGGCCGGCATAGCCTATGAAAGTGTCTCAACTTACTTCCAGTGGGTACCTTTGGTACAAGATATGGAAGGAAATTACAATTTAAGAGGTGGGAGGAAAACCCCAGAAGAATAGTCTAGTAAAAATCCACGGAATCAAGTAGGGACTAAAAAGCATCAACCTAAATGGATTGGTAGAACTGCACCCGATTTCACAAAACTCTTCGTAACTTACGATGGGACGCATCTTATCCCTACGATGCGTCGCAGCTGCGACGCGTCCTGCGATCCATTTCACAAAACACGTCGTAAGTGCGACGCATCGTATGTGTATTTATAGCACAACTCGGTGACTGTTTTATGTATTAAGTCAGCGTACAGTAAATAGTCATCTGGTATTCAACAAAGAGTCGTTGGATCTCCGCTCGAAATTTGTTAAAACGTATAGGACAAAATGGCGGCCGTGCGATGCAATTTCAAAAGAAAACGAGCTCTCAGTGGACTGTGTAGCTACTTTGGAATTTGGAACTGCCAGGGTAATTCATAATGGTTCAATGAATTTTCTATTTAGAACTTTACACACCTTGCCTCGGTATTATTATCTCAATTATGTAATGTTTGTGGCACAAAACTGGCTTAAAACGGACTCTTCTTATTTTGCGACGACCACTAGACACGTCGGAACTTGCGACGTGTTTTAAGCCGTTGTCAAGCAACTTATGACGCGTTCAACACATTGCAACTTTCGTGAAATGGATTATACGACGCGTCGCGAGTTGCGACGTGTTACAAGTCGTAACTCGAGTTGCGACGCGTCGCAGCGCTTCGTGAAATCGGGTGCTGCATCTGAAACCAAGACACTTTTAGGGTTGTTCTGAATGACAGCAACAGTCAATCTTCAACAAATTGCTCCTAGACAGTTTCCCTCTTGTGGTTTGTTTGAATATTTGTAATAAAAAGATGTATCCTCTCTGATTGATCCTCGTTTGCTATTTCCCGGGTTTGCAGCATTGCTAATGTTGCTAGTGACTTTGGGCGTAATCCCTGGACACATGACATATACGGGTTTATGGCTTCTGACTAGCGCCCCTTGAACAAAGACATTGACATAAGTGTGGAACTGCCAACATAGGGCTAGATAGCTCAGTTGGTAGAACACCAGAACGGCAATCCGGAGGTTGCAGGTTCAAACCCTGCTCCCCTCAATTTCTTTGTTCAACTTTAAAAACAATTTTGCTAACTGTTCCAATTTTTAACTTTGACAAGATTTTCTGTTACCAATGACTTTCAGTAACGCTCCCAAAAAATAGAAATAATCAGTCTCAAAAAAGCAAGTTGATTATCCTTTGCTGGATACTTAACAAACAAAAATATAGTTTTAGTGGAAAGTTGAAGCAGGAAAGTTTTAGTAATGCTTAGCCTCCTTCTTGCTAATTGTTCTCTTTCACTTTTTAACAGGATGCCAAGGGGTTTACAGTCAGCTTACTAGATTATCTAGGCTCCCAGGCTCAGGTAAGATTAGTGCTTTATGATAATAGTTTTTCTGCAAGTGCCGTTGTAAAAAAAAAACACATATAATGAAAACATAAGCAGGCAACATTTTTAGGTTCAGTCATTTCCATTGTTGCTATAATACGTGTAAATAAGGCATTTCAGACCTACTTGGTTTAATTATTTTCAAACCCTGTGTGAAAATGATGTATGACACATTTTAAAAGTCATTCTATGAGAGTGTTCCACAATTTGGTGTTCTTGGAACATTCCACTGGTAATATTGGCAGTGCTAAACGGGAGCACATGATGAACTCGGTTGGAATGGTGTGAGAAGTAAGCAAGCACATGCAGGCATCGAATGCTGAATGCCAGTATTATTTCTTCTCTCATGCTGTCTATGTCTAGTACCTGCACTCCTTAATGGCCCTGACATCTCAAGCAGTAGACACTAGTAAGAACAGCACCCAGGCCAAGCGACTGCGTGATTGTGAGATGGCCTTAGAATCACTTGGAAATGTCATCAAGAACAATCCAGGTTTGTCAGCACTTCCAATCTTCAATTTACATATATAATTTTCCGGAAAAATACCTGTCGCCAAAAGAAAAGAAGAAAAAAAAGGTGAAGTTACTTGATAAATAAATCATTTTTGGTTAGCATAAATCCTTGTCATCTGATTGGTGGGTCGTTAATCACATGTCATTGAACTATTCATCTCAAGCCACGGCCCATCCTTACCGCAAAAGTAGAAGTTCTTTTCCACGGTCAATAGAAGTTCCATTGCACTGTCACATGTTTGGTGGCTCTGACCAATCAGATGACAAGGATTTATTCAGGTGGTGTACAAAACAAAAAATGAATGTTTCACATTCATGCAATGGTAAAAATAATTGTGTGACTGTGCAATGGAACTTGTAAGGTGAAGCCGAGTGGAGTGGAACATTCCATCTGTCACTGAATAATTAAGTTATTCTTAGCATTGTTCTCATAAACATTCATTATTGGTATAAAAGAATGATGAAATGCGAAGTTATGAGTAATTTTTTATCTACCTCTTTCTACTTATAAATGTTTTAATGTAAAATTGTAGTTTCCCAGATGGTCTCTTTGTACTTTCCTTCCTTATTTCCCCAATGACAGTATTGTGTCAACCCAGACTGTCATAACAGGCTATTTAACAGTTGAACAGGAAAACTTATCACAAGATGTTAACATGAAATTGTAGCAATTGGCAGTAAGAGTGCATTTATTTGATACGATTCTAATTGGTTACAGGTACCGAGTTACAGTGCAATGGCCATTACAAACTGCTGTTCTCCTTGCTCAAGCTGACTGGGGCTACCAAGCTACAGATGCTGGCATTGGAGGTAATCATATGCCCAGTGTCTGTTGCTTATGCTTATTCAATGTTGGTTTAGCATGGTCTAGCATGCTGAACAAAACAATGGACCTCTTTTGTGAATGACTGAAACGTGCATGCCATTGTAAATGCACAACAGAAAATGTTGAAAAGTGTTTATGTAACTCCAACATTTATTCTGTTAACTTCTAAAGTAAAAAGATGCGACAACAAATTTCATTCATTTTTCTCTGAATGACTTTTTCAACCTGAGTATTTTATTTTGATGGAAACCTTTTTTTTCCCATTTTAATGAAAACCTCTTTTTTTTGGGGGGGGGGGGCATTTGCAATCCTCTGAAGAAAAAAAAATGTGTTGCTTCACAATAGATCATGGAATCGTATCAGTGGCAGGAACCAGTTGGGCCTGCGAGAACTGAAGTATTGTAGGGCTGCAAACAAGTCAAATCAGTAAAGTAATTATGTCAGAACTAAAGTTAATTTAGTGTCTCATTTTGTATAGCTCAAAAATAACAATAATACTCTACTGCTTGACTATAAATGTTTCTCTACTAGGTTGTAAGGAATGTGACAACCAACAGGGAATGTGTGGCCAACATTGCTGACTCAGATGTACTTCCCTATCTGCTACTCACTCTTCATTCATTGCCATCAGGTCAGTCACTCCCGCCCCTAGTAACAATTTCATGCTTGAATCTTGCTGGAAAATGAGTATTATGGCAATGAATCCTCCTATTATAAAAAGGAGCGTCTCAAAATCAGACCACTTGGAACAGGGAGTGCTGCCTTTTCTTACTGGTAGCACACATTTCAACATTGGTAACACTTCGCCTTGGGAAAATGAACTTCTGTGACAGGAAGGCTAGTTTTTTTATTATATCAATTGAAGCAGCCAATATTTCAATACTTTGAACCATAGCAGTGACCCAAACAAATTCAATTGGCTATAAAAGTGTCCTCTATAAGCTGTGAAAAAAACAATAAGATTTGTCTTCATATGGGTGCCTGCTTCCCTAAGAAAGGACCAGAAATAAAACACAAATGGTGGTCTAACTTTATTTAAGTTGTCTGAATTACTGGCTAATTGATGTGGTTGTATTGTAATTTGATGCCACTTCAGATATACACAACAAGCCATTAGTCTATTAATCTAGGAGTGCAATGTAATAATCTTGATTCTGTGTGTGGATAGGATGCTTGACGGTGATTGAAACCCTGAATGCCTTGTCTTCCAATACCAAAATCATCAAAGAGATTACCGCCAAAGGTATTTATATTCCTTCCTTTCATGTTAGTCCCTTCAAGGGTATCCCCCACATGTCAACATCCTTCTTTAGTGTAGCATTTCTCTATGATACCTAGGGAATATAACAAACAAGAATGTGTGATATCATTTTAGTAGTCCAACTTACACAATCTATTTGAGCAATTCTTTGCAACCAGTTCTGACTTCCTATCTCATCCTAAGTCTCAGCAATTTGTCTTTCTGTACTTATAACAATATTGTATTACATTTTATGAATGTAAAGTGATTTAGATATGCATCCCAGTATAATGTCTAGAATGCATTTCCAGTCTTTGTTCACAGCCTCAGGTTTCAGCCCTTGCTGTTTGCCTGCCTTAGTAGTGAACTTTTTCATGAGATTTCTTTTCCAAAATATTTGACAGAGACGTTTATTTAAGATTCTCATATCAGCATTACAGGAGCGACTGCAGAAATGTATTTATTTAATTTTTTGGGGGGTGGGGGGGGGGGGTGTTTTCTGTTGTTGCAATCCCCAAAATTGAAGAAAGAAGATATTCCATTGAATTGAATTGCTGTGTCCTGTCCAGGTGGCCTGGTGTATGTTCTAGACCTCTTCTGCAACTCTCCTAACCCCAATGTGAGGGAGAAGTCAGCCGAGCTCTTTGCCAAGATGCAGTCAGACAAGTTGATGGGACCACGCATCAGGATTCTCCTGTGCAAGTTTCTGCCCCCCATCTTCATGGATGCAATGCGAGACAGCCCGGAGGCAAGCATTCACATGTTTGAAGGTAAGTCAGAGAGACAGCCTGAATGACAGACAGCTCAATGGATGGGTGGATATACCAGGGGTGAGATTGGTCAGGATTTTTGGTCAGGATTTTTCCTGATTTCAAGATTTTTAAAGAATCTGGAAATCAGGATTTTTTGTGTTTTAACCTTTTGTCTTTTAATCAGGTGTTTTAACCTTTAAAACTTTATGTAGAACAAATGCAATGGGTAGTGTAAGGGGTGGCTTGAGGCAAACACAAGCATATACCACAGACCCTAACATTGCTCTGGGCCCTCGGAGACCTGCAAACCCTCTTCCAATCATCTTGTGGATTTTTCAACACCCCCCCCCCCCATATCACCCCTGACATTCTTTGCTAAAAACACCTTCCCAAGCTTTGAAGGTTGCATGAGAAGAATTACTTAGGCTGCAAAATGGACATGCCTTCGGCACTGAATGGAGTAGTTGTTCCAGAAATTATGAAAAATGATGGTTTAAACGCTTTGATATTAAAGTAGTTATAATTTATGTCAGAAGTATTGAAATGGTTGCGAAGGCTCGACCTTCTGATCCTATGAGAAAGCCTTTCTCTCACATAGGGACTGTGATGAGAAGAATGTTGGAGGCAATTTGTTATTTGATGTATGTTTATTATCTCTCATATTAAGGTGTTCATGAAAATCCAGAGTTGATTTGGAATGATGAGGCCAGAGAGAAGGTCTCAGTGACGGTCAAGAGGATGAAAGATGAGTAAGTAGTCTTTGTTATATTTGCCCTGGGCTCCTGTTTGAGACTGTAGTCAAAACAGACCAAAGTATTCAAAATGAATCAACCCAGTTTTTACACCAAATATCTGCAGCTCTACTAACCTTTGTCATCAACAGTGCCCAACTGTTTGTTCATAAAGTCACCGTGGTCACCAGCAATGACTACTGATCATTTCAACTGCACCATGATGGTTGCATGGAGCACTGGCCAGCACAATGCTTTTGTCATTATTGGGAACTAGGGCTCAACCAAATATCCGAATGAATTTTTTTATCCTACCATTTAAAGCTACTTTTTGAAACAAAGCTTTGTTGAAGACCCAGCATTTTATATGACTCAGCAGCCAAGTTCAAGAAACAGTGCACGGCTTACGCCGTGCATAGGACTTCTGCAACAAATTTATTGCACAGCCGCCTAATAAACTTACGATCGATTTCACGAAACTTGGCGTAGCTGCGCAACGTTTTAAATGATCTAAACATCTTGGACTCGTGCGGCAATTCTAAAAACTCTGTCATGAGTAAAATAGCAATTAATTACTTCAAACACAAAGCTGTGAGTGTCTTGTATCAACCTTGATAAGTTGTGCAATAACAGGCTTCACAACGATCACGGTTTGCTGGTAAAAAAGATCATTTCAGTCGCTACACACTGAAAATTGTCATAAGCGAATGTTGCGTAGTGTGAAATGTTGCGCAATTTACGCAGTAAAGTGTGGTTGAAGTGTGTAAAGTTTTGTGAAATCAGCTGCTGGTGCTACAATTGTTTCTGTTCTCTCCTGTAGACACTACAAGAATCAGAATACAGACATTGACGTGACATGGAAACTACCCGAGACCTTTTCTGTTGCCTATGTGGACTCGGAAGGTGAGGTGGTGGTTGGTGGTGTCTTCTTACGTCTCTTCATCTCCCAACCTACATGGGTTCTACGCAAACCAAGAGAGTTTATGGTGGCTTTGCTGGAGAAATTTACCGATCTCATCACGAAGAAGTCACCCAATGTAAGCAATGAATACATTACATAACACACTGTTTTTTAAACAGTAAAGGTTGATAGGTGTTTGAAGTGGTTTTGAATCCAGAAAATACTGTTTCGCATAATGTTCCGTTTTTGTGCATACCTTCATTCTGCGTCCTTTTGGTCTTCCAAAAATATCGTTTTTGATTTTATAGTATGACCAAGGTTAATATACATTGATATTGCTACAATTAGGAACAGATGATCCTCATTAACACATTTTTAAATGTAATTTATCCTTTTTTTTGCAGGGGCTCATTAAAAAAAACACGGGAATTCAAATTGAAAATTTTTGGGGAGTATAAAGTTTGAAAACGGAAAAAAGTGTCCTTTTTAGACGTTATTTAAGTTATGCACTATGAATTATGAGATCCATGTATTCAGTCAGCACCATATTGTATAACTCTCCTTTTCTGGAGACAAATTTGACAAAGCCATCCTGGCTGTTAAAATAAATCAAGTAACTTGTTTTTAAAAGTTTAGTGCTTCATGCCTACAGAAAGCAGGATTGACTGGCTGTGACTGTTTATGTAGCTGATACAGCTTTGCCTTGACAGTAGGTGATTGATATTAAGCCAGCTGTACCTACCAGTTTCTTGCTTTTGTCTATTGATGGAATTTGACTAGTTACAGCGTTTATGAGATACATGATCTGACTGTTGGTGACTAGCCTGTGTACAAAAGGCTTGTATAACTGTCTGTGACTGTTCAGACAGTATGTATGTACAAAGAGTAATGCACTCTTTGCTATGCTTGCTGCTTACAGTCTTCATGAAATATACTTGGATGCTATGTTAGCAGGAAATCATGTACTTAGCGGGGATATGACCTGGGCCAATAAGCAGATAGAGTGTGTGGATTTTAAAGTAGCTGTTTTTATTTAATGACAGAATGAGGAGTTGGAAATGGTGACGTCAGCCGTGGTGAATCTGTTCAAAGCCCAAACCAACCTTGCCTCTCAGTTACCCCAGCTGGGCCACATACCCACCATCTTGACTGCCATGAAGTCCAAGAATGATGCCATCCCACGCGCTGCATTAATCACAGTCAATAGCATTGTGGAAGATGATGTGAGTATCATGGGTTATTTGAGCAGATTGAAAACTTAATGTAAGCTCAAAACAAATTTCATTGTTTTTGTGTGTGTGATGACTGCAGCATGGGATGCATGATTGTGCATCCTCTTGCCGGTGAATTAAGCCGGAGAATTAAGCCTGGTTCATACTTCATGTGAAAGCAAGTGCGAAGGGAAATTCATGTCGTTAACAATAGTAGACGCGCTTCGAACGTATTGTTGACGTCACGAATTTCGCTTCGCTTTTGCATGAAGTATGAACCGGGCTTTAGACAGAGACCACATGTCCAACACAGTATGCAAAAGGATCAATATGTTATAATCTGATGTGTACTAAATATGTTATGATTCATTTAAACGTTTCTGAAATAAATTTTTGCAAGTTGCCAGTTTCAATAAGCATTTATAGTCAACAGTGATATTCTTTGGCTTTTATAAACAAAAATTCAACAATCAAAAATCTGTCTGTAAGGTCGTTAAAAAGCTCAGGATCTGCATACCGTAGTGAGACAATGACTTCCATTTTTTAAGATCTTCAAATTTCAAAGGTATCACGGTCTACTTTGTGACCATTGTCATTGATGTATAGGTCATCTTAATATTATTCTTTTTGTAGTCATTTTGTTATTGACATTTTGTTGTTGTTTGAATTGGCGATGTAGATCTGTGTGCGTAGCATGGCTCAGAGTGAATGCATTGGGCCAATGATTGCAGGGATGAAGACACGGCCAGATATGACAGCTGTGGCATGTGACAGTCTGCACAAAATGTTCCAGAAAGATCAGTCAGACCTAGTCAAACAGGTATGGAAACATCTTAAGAATTAAGGCTTTCCTAAATGAAATCTACAAAGGTTAGGGTGAAAGTTCATCTGTGTTGGTGATTAGATTTCAAATCTTGTCTTATTTTTTGATCTCAACACAATAAAATGTCATACCTGAAAGTTTCGGCTAGAAGCTGCAGTCTTCATTAGCAGGGTGACCTGGACATTGTGTCGATGACCTTACAGACACGTGATCTCTAAATTGGATCATAGATCATAGGATGTTATTCAACTTTGGATATGCCAATTTTAGGTATGAAATATGTATTGTGTTGAGATCAAAGCTAAGATAAGAGTTGAAATCTACAAGGGTATTTTCCATGTCAATTCATTTTAAAAAGATGTTGAACATTTTTGCAGTTTTCTCACCAACTTGACAATCTTTTGTGGTCAAAGCTTTACATGGAAATCTCAGATTGAACTAAATTTACTAAAATGTATATTTACTATCATTGTAATAGGCTTAATATTGTTTTTTGCATAACACATTTGAGTAAACAGTTAGGTCTTCACCAATATACTATAAGACTGTTTAATCAGTGTTTTGAGAGTTTGTTGGAAAAAAATTGAATTTACTGAGTTTGAACTTTCCTAAGAATTCCAGTCCAACAATGCATCTTGATATGTGACTGTCTGTTCATCTTGGCAGGCCTTAGATAATGATCTGGTGCAGTTTTTGCTGGGGCTGCTGTCTGACAGCCTGAACTCGATAGACAACCCAGCAGCAACCAAGGCACAGATTGTGAAGTCACTCAAGGCTATGGCTAACTGTCTAGAGTATGGAGAACAGGTTTGTAGCGGGCTGTCATGGGTTTAGGGAAAGGATTTAAGTTAGCTAAAATCTATCAGTCATAAGGCACAGATTGTGAAGTCAATCAAGGCTATGGCTAACTGTCTAGAGTATGGAGAACAGGTTTGTAGCCGGCTGTCATGGGTTTAGGGAAAGGATTTAAGTTAGCTAAAATCCATCAGCCACAAGGCACAGATTGTGAAGTCACTCAAGGCTATGGCGAACTGTCTAGAGTATTGAGAGGGGGATGTGATGGGTTCAGGGAAGGGATTCAAGAATCCATTAGCCACAGGGCACTGATTGTGAAGTCACTTAAGGCTATGGCTTAGTGCTTACTGTCTAGAGTATGGAGATCATGGTTTGTAGCCGGCTGTCATGGGTTTGGGGAAAGGATTCAAGTGAGCTAAAATCCATCAGTCACAAGGCACTGACTGTGAAGTCACTTAAGGCTATGGCTAGCTACCTAGAGTGTGGAGAGCGGGATGTGATGGGTTCGGGGAAGAGATTCAAGTTTTCTAGAATCCATCAGCCACAAGGCACTGACTGCGACATAAATGCTAAGGCATTGGGAAACCAGCTCAAAATATAGTACACATTGTTTCTGAATTTCAAAGTGGAATGGAAAGAGCATCAAACTTCTGAATGTAAGTTGATATGTGACTTGTTGAAACACATTTGATATGATGAGTGTAGACTCATGACTATCATTCACCCTTCATTTGTTTTGCAGGTGACAGAAATATTAGAGAAGTCGTCAGTGTGGTCATCCTACAGAGATCAGAAGCATGATCTGTTCCTGTCTAACACCAACGTCTCTGGTTATCTCACAGGTCGGTTGCCTTGTCTGCTAACTATCAACCAATTTTGTCATTCATTTATTTATTCATTAAATCAGCTGGTTATTAGTGTGTCATTTGAATTTGAAATCACCAAAATGTTCGTGTTTCATATTCGCTAGCCATGTTTCTAATGTCCGAGGCACAGAAAATGTAATGTCTGAGATAAAAAGTTGAAAAACCCAGTTTGTTTACATCTGATGTGGCAGTGATTTCCTAACTTGCTTATAAATGTTTCAAGTAGGAAATACAGGCATTAAATATGGATCCAAAACTTAAGACTAGCACTGCATGAAATGCATATTACCCCGGTATGTCAATGACAATTCAGTGATATCTCACACTAGTTAATACAGACTTACACACATGGCAATCCTGGTCCACATATGCGTCTAAAGCAACGTTTTTAAAAAAATCTGTGTGTGACTGGAATGACAAATATCACGCCAACTGCTCCAACTGTTATTTTTTCCGTCCCCCTAGTTCTGGCACGGATAAAAGGGCTTTGAAAACAAGAATAATATTCACTTTTGCCATTCACAGACCTTAGCACTGTATACTTGGTGCTGTATGAGAGCCTATGAATTTAGCTGCCATCTTTGTAGTCGGAGGATCAGGCGTTCACATGTGCAGAGCCACACGAATGAACGTCTGATATCTCCTGACATGCAGATTTTATGTGACCCACATGCCAGCCAATCAGGATCGACTTTAGAAACTGTGACATCATTTCAATCAGAAATGTGGACTAAGCTGTTGATTGGTCAATTTGGCTGCCATGTTTTAGTAAAACAACAACGGGTTACAGAAGACCCGCTAGAAGGCGCCTGCTGAATGGTCAGAATCTCGAGGTCAAGACGCAGTCTTGCTTTACATAATTAAGTGCCGAGTCTACGTGAATATCATAGACGCTTGTATGCAAGAGACTATTCCATAGGCTACCATCTTTGAGCTGTTTTTTTTTTTTTTTTTAAATTCACTAACAATGATAGCAAAGGAGGTCTACTCGTGTATCTTAATGGAGCAAAATCACGCACTTCTAATAGATGGCTACAATGCAAAGGATCTGTGTCTGGTTTGGTAGAGATGTACAGCTTCATATTGGCTTTTTACCATTCACCCAAGTACATGTATTTGTTTCATGACAAGATCTCTTATTGGATTTTCTTTGAATTTGTTTCAGGTCCTGGGGTGGCTGGTTATCTCACACAAGGCACACCCTCCACCGTCCCAAGTGCCCCGCCTCCGATAGATCCTAATCAAGAACCAGCAGATGAGTCTTGATCAGAAAACTGGCTCAGATTTGGAAGCAAGATTTGAAGTCTGAATAGACGCAAATAGAGTCAGAACAAATTCTGGGGAAACTCTGTTCACAGCTAATTTTGAAATGGCAATTTTTGTTTTGTTTTTAGCAAAAGTATTAATTTGTTAAAAATGATTCCCTTGTTCAAACAATATCCTTTTTTTATAACAAACAACAAAATATAACATTACTCCAAAACAGTAACTCAATAAACTTATGACTGTAAACTTGATCGTTTTTGGAATAAATTAATACATGTAGTTCTTTTATTAGTTCTTGGCAAAAACTTTTAATTTTTAGCTAAAAAATTGATGGCACCCAAAACGTAATGAAGGACACAAAGTTATATTTTCATTTATTATTTGTGTATAAAATTGAAATAACAGTTACCTGGGAACTTAAGTTTAAAATTGAACAACATCATTTGAAGGTGAGTTGAGAGAAAGATTGGAGTATATGTTCAAATTTAATGAGATCTGGAATCTTGTTCCCCAAAAATGGATTCAGTATGAATTGTGACGGTCGCTTATCAACATAAAAGATCACACTGAATGGCAAAGGCTTTAAATTTAAAGCTTGTGATATTGAAGCTTGTATATAAAAAAATATTTTGTTGAAACTGAATCATATAAGATACAAACAAAACGTGCAGCTTTATACTAAAATATTTTATTGGAGCCACAGCTTTTAGATAAAATTCATTTTTGTTCTTCTTTATTTGATAACCTCAAGCAACATCAGGTTTCGAATGCTAGCAACTGAGGACTAAATTTCACTTCTCATGTAGAAAAGGAGTATGTATATCATCAAATGAAGTCTTAAGTTATCTTTTTTTCTGGAATGTACTTGGAGCAGTCCTTAACATTGAGTCCAAAACCATCGCTTACAAAGTCCCACCCAGCATTTTTTTTTTGGAATGAAGGAATATTGCAATGTTGTGCGTGGTTGGTGCTAGGCTGCCTGTTGGGCGATTCAAGATTGTCTTTACTGTCTATCACTAGTGCAGTGCCCGTCTAAAATGTGCATGTTCGGGAAACGCAAATTGCTTTGCCGCTGGTATAGGTTGCATACTTGCAGAGTTTTGGAGAATTGCTCGTGCAAACAACGCACGCGATTCAATGGTGTTGTTTTCACAGGTTGAACGCACACTTACGTCAAAGTTGCCTGACGATGGTTTTGCATGCAGTGTTGCAAGTTACTCTGAGTTAAGTTCCAGAATACGTGTAGATTATGGATTTTTCATCAACTTGTTCCTGATGACAGGTGTATGAGGAGTAATCATCACTTGTGGAGCCAAGAAAGAGTTGGATTTTTTTGCTTTTATGGAGAAAAGCATCCATAAGAAGACAATGATGATATGTCTGCAGAATGAGTTCAATAAGATCATGTGTATCTAAGGCAAACTATTGATGAGTTTTCTTTCCTTGATAGTTTCAATGGAGATCATGCCACCATCAGACAGAGTGTCCAATTCTTCATACATGTAGATACATTAGGTTGGGCTGTTCCCATGTATTCCCCACAAGCATTCCGACTGTCTGTCAGAAAGTCGGAAATGTTGGCATGCTGACACTTCCGATGGGAATACCGGCCAGTGAAGTATGAAATTTGGACGCAGTCAATTGTGCTATGCAGAAATTGTTCATACTTCCCAAGTCAGACATAACTAAAGGGGATTAGATATGCAGTACAGATATTGTTTTAATATTAGTTGTTTTGCAAGGAGTACTTCCCAAATGCCAAATTTGTACATGTATTGGCAACAACATTCAGTGTTTCAATTATGTGAATGATCTGTTTCCATGACCTCTGTAAAAAAAAATTGTCTGATGAAAATGTTAAACTAAAAGAAATGCATTTCCTTTTAAACAACTCTTGATAAGCTAAAGTAAGAAGCCTCAGTGTAAGGGCTGTGTGCACAAGTACCCCCTCAACGGCAGGAAAAGGAGAGACCACTGGAAGAGACATTGGAACGCATTGCTGACGATGCCTGACGCTCACGCACAGACGCTATGGCACTGTGCACATTCAGAGTGCTATACCCACACAAACCAGTACACACAGTTGTGAATTTCTATACCCCCGAGGACAATACTTTGTGTTTCCCTTTGTCCCTGTAATATAACACTCTCCCATAGACTAAGCACATAACCCTATGATCGAGGACAGTTTTCAACAAAAGACCCAACACTGGAGGACTGAAAGGATCTTTTGTTCTCCCTTTGTGTGTCTGTCCTCTATCGTAAAGCCATACATGTATACACACACACACACTGTATCCCGTCTGCAAGGCTCTCGAAAGTGGTAAAAAAAGAAGCTCTCTCGTTCGCGCACGGAGCCCATAGGGCGATTCTGCGAAACAAACCATATGAAGCTAATGTCTTTCACTCAAATATGCTGTCCTCACAATTTCTCAAGCACTTTTCTTGTAATAATGTGAGAGTTGTTTTGAAGACATGCTACCTTTTATACAAAACTCGGTTTCATATAAGCAGGTGTAGCGGCAGAATGATATGTGTCGTCAAGAATTGACAAGGACTAGAAACAAGTTGACTCAGTTATCTCGGTTACCTGTCACCATTATAGCAAGTCCCCAAATCATTGTTCCCAGTATGTCACTCTACCAAACTTCTCTTAGCCTAAAGAGTTCAAGCTTTTCAATTTGAGGACAAATCATTTTAGACAGTTTTTCCCTTGTATTTATATTTTGACTATTTTGGTCACTAGTTTTGCAGTCAAAAGAAATTGATATTCATATTGTGGAAATGCTTTCCCAACTTTGTGTCACTGTCAGTACATCTCGATTGTCTTTGGCAGATCGACAAATTGCAAAATAGAAATTGTGATGGAATGTTATGTGTGGATAGAGCAAGGGAAAAATCTATACTAAACCACATTGGCAGGTAATTAAAAAAAACAGGCAATGAATAAAATGGTAATTCCTGGTAACCAATTATTCCGCATTTGTAAAAACTGGCAACTTTTGTTGTGTGGCATATTTTTCAAGCGTTTATTGGACCATTTTATATGGCAAATTGTTCCATGTAAAAACCAGTGAATCAGCTCTTTTTTTTGCTGTCTTCTTAATATGATTCATTATTCTCAAAAAATATGTTTTCTTTTATACTATAGACATAATCTTAACCATTTGATTGTTGTGACCCAACACAGCACCCCCTCCCAGAAAAAGAAGACATTTATGAGGGGAAAAGTGAGAAAGTGTAACATTCCTTATTTTCTATTTACCTGACCAGAAAATGTCGCCTTAATAATCACACGTTTGAAAACTGATTTCTGTATGAATGACAATGATATATATATTAAAAACTTATTGCAGAAAGATGTAACAAATTAATTTTATGCATCGTAAGCTCCTATAAATAAACGGCAAATAAATGATTATATTGTACAAATGAAATTATTCTCTGTGTTTTTTTTTTTTATTAAACATGTTAAAATTTGTATAGATGAGATTTCACATTTGACTTTGTATTCATGGGTACTTATCTCTACCCGTGGTCTTTAACACAATCCATTTTTTCCCCTGCTCACAAATTTGGGATTTGTTTGTTTTATTTAAACGGAAAAAAAATACTTTCTTTTATTATGGATATTTTCGACCCTCTGAGAATGTCCATTTATTTTTCACGCAATAACTTAATTTTGTAAAGTACTGTCGAACACCTCTATAAAGAGGTCCTTGGGAATTTACAAATTACCTTGTTATAACAGGTGCCTTGTATTAACAGTAAAAGAAAAACAAAGACTTGGGACCTTATATTTGGCTTGTTATGAGCAGGATGTTGTATTAACAGTACTCTTCTTATCAGGTACCAGATTATGGGATCAGGTACCTGTTACCAACTTTACAAAGTACTTAGTAACTTCTCAGACAGTGAAAACAATGTAAACAACTTTATTATCGTTATCATTTAAAAGAACACAGGAAACACAGCAGCAGATGATTATTCTACCTACAATTGGTTATTGGAATTTTCTCTGCTGTACTTGAAATCTCAATTCTCAATTTCAATTCTCAATTTACCTTTTCTACGGATACTCATTTATAATTCGAAAAACAGTCACTGAAATAAGAGAAACACAGTAGCTTGAAAAAATTACCAAAGTTTACATTTGCCAGCAGCAGATGTTCAGCATTTTGTAGATAAATGGGAACCAATTAAGGAAATGTTGCCAAACATAGCAGTGTAGGCTCCCCAGGATGTAAGAACGAACCAAGGTATTGGCCCTATGTGGAATACAAGTATTATAATTGGAGTCCATGCTTTCTAAATGCCACTCACAGCAGCTATTCATCTGAAGTGCTCAGCTGCTATGATTGGCCGACTACAGCAGATCTACTTCCATCATGTCCTCAGTATCGGCAGTTGTTGTGGTAATCCCAGTGAGGCACGTGGGGGGCCGGCAGGGCAAGTTCACCAACTGGTACCTGCTTCACGGGTAGGTTGATACCGGTGAACTGTGGTAGGTTACGGTAGTTGTGTACATCACGTAGGCCTGGGTGAACTGTGAACGAAAATCAACATGAGGCTGAATGTCACTTTCAAAAACCACAAAATAAAGAAAAAGGGGAAAGAGAATTTCTCCTACACTTTGGAAAAAACTGAGGATATCACAGATAAAACAATGTTACTGCCAAATTGGAGTTTCTTAACAAGTTTTTTTGCCCTCAAAGCTTTGTCTTTCTTTAAAAAATAATTGGGCTCTGTAGAATATGCACTTCAATCTTTTGTCTGTGAAGTTGATTTAACAGAGAGTTGCACAATGAATTTCTCAACATGTTTTGCTGTATCTTATGTCAAGGCAGTTGGACATAACTAATACTTGGTCCAACTAACGATAAGGAAATGATTGCAATGGATCAGTAACAAAAAGCTCACCAAGCGGAGGTCTTGTTCTCTCCATGATAGTAGGCGGTACTTTCTCATCCTTGGGCCAGTTCTCTAGATGAATGTCCTTGCGTGTCATGTCTCGGATGTGCTCAAAAGCACCTGGTGTGCTTGGATCTGCTGTGTCACCCATACTCCCTGCTGTCCACACCTGGACGGGCTGTTCCAGTGAAGGGGATGCCAAGCCCGTTCGGCCTGTGTATCTCTCTGATGAGGCTGATGTTACAGCGGCAGTGTTCAGGGGTGTTTGTCCATTTTCGGCGGTGAGCTGATCGGCAAATGTAACTCTTGAGTTGGCCGAGCGGGTTTTGTTGGGGGTCATCTTGCGTGTGACTTCATTGTCAATGAATTGTGTGTCTTGACGGAAGACTGTGTGCTTATAGAAATCATTAAGTGCCTAAGGGTAAAAAAAAACACAAATAATTAAAAAAATTAATTCATGTTACTGAAATTTAAATAGGGCCTAAGTGTGCAATCATCAGATTGAACCTGCCATCTGCAGTGTAATTAGATATTGTTTTGAATCCCGCATGAAAAAGCTGATGTGAGGAGTACTTGGACTGAACAGATAAACCACTCTACAAATAAACATTTTTGCTAGGGACCCACTGGATTCTTCCTAAATTGAACACTGTATGAAAACCTATGACGTACAATTTTTACATTTAATCCAGAAATAGAGCCAATTCTGTTAGAAATATAAAGATATCTCTATCAGAAACTGAGAAAAAAAAAAAAAAATAACAATTATTTCTAATAGAGCTCCCTCTATTAATTAATAAAAATTGAAATATCTCTATATCTATAGATGCATGTATGTCTCTGTTAGAAAAAGAGGTATCTCCCTTACAACAATTTCTGAATGTGTACCATTGAGGTACCATTCAAAAGTACAATTGTGGTACATTAGTGCCACCCAAATGGTGTTTTGGAACGTTTTTGAATCCAATGGTAATGATACATGTAATACCATAGATTTTACTGTTGGTCTAAATTCTGAATGATACATTTAAATGGTGTTTTCTAGTGGTAGCCCTAATGGTAACAGATGTCATTCCTCAGTTTTTGCTCATTTCATGTCACTTATGGCCATATACACAGACTCTAATACATGTACCTTGTGAGAATGTGGCTATAGACTCCACTACAATACTACACAAACTTGACACAAAATCCAACCCCAGTCAGCAACACTGCAAATCCCAGGGTAACTTGGAACAGTTTTACTGTTGAGCATTAAATGATGATCTGACTGAGGGTAACAAGCGGATTCTTACATCCAAGACTGATTGAATATCCTGATGATGTTGCCGACTATGTTCCTTGCAGTATTCAATACCATGGTAGTTAGCACTTCTCTCGCTACAGGTACGCTTGATTTCCTGAATTATGGCTTTAGCCTTGGAGATGTTTGCCGACAAAACTGTGGAAAAACAAACAAACTTAAGAATATTTTTTTTTCTCATGCACCACAGTGAGGAAAGGTTTTCTTTTTAATTTTGTTTTATAGGCAGTGGTTACTGTTCATTATCATATTTTTGTGTGTGTGACAATTAGGGCCTATTTTAAAATTATATTGTAACTTGGCATATTTCTGAAGTAACAACAAACATATTATTTTGTATGATTATAAATAAATTATTAAGTATTTTTTTATTATTTTAACCCTTTAACAAAATTAGGCCGACTTATAGCACCATTCGCAACCAGCCAAGACCTAGACTTAAGCTCTGGACTAGGAGGTTCAGCTACGACAGTTAAAATTAATTCTGCACAGATGCATACAGCAATAATTACATTATACAGCTCATTGACATTATGCGCATGATTGACACACACAATACTCAACTGCTACTCTGTCTCTTAGTCTTACAACTACAAAGTTGCATGCTCCAGAAGCCTGGAAAAGCCATTGAAATTCCTGAGCTGGGATTGGGAGAGCATTGACCTAAAATATCTGCTTCATTTAAAGTGTTATTGTGTGCTTCAATGTATAGGATATATTGAATAGTCATTCAGCATTATTTTAAAAATCGAGATTTGGAGTGGGTGGGTGGGTCAAAACAATTTCGAAAAAAGATGGACATTTTTTTTTTACATTGACTCTTCTGATTCTGAATCGCCCCTCAACTTACATCTCACTAGAGGACCATCCACATAATACTCCTTGTTGTTGTCGATCTCCGGCCGTAGCGTGTTGACAACCTGACCGAGCTCTTGCAAACTTTCTGCCAATTTGTCATCAATCAGTGCCCGTTGTCTAGCTAAGCATTCAAGTCCCTGCAACACGCTGGTGCAAGCGTTCTTGAACTCTGCTCGCGTCAACGGGGTAGCTGGATTTGCTGAAGTCATTCCGTGGATTTGGGCTTCTTCACCACAACAATTCTTCTCCGATAGGTGCTGTAATGTTGCTTAGACACTTTGGGATATCCTCGTTACATATAAAACAAAATATCAGTGAAAACTTAAACTTTGCCTGAGCGCGACATTCCACTGATCTTGCTGCAACTAACCCCTGCTAGCAGACGATTGCTAACTCTTGTAACTCTTGTTTACATCCGCTGCTAGGCATGATACGCATGGGCAGTGACCCACTCTGACCTTTAAATAGTCTGGTTGTGGTATTATCGCAATTGATATGCGAGGCGGTACTCAGACAACAGTTCAAAGGTTGTCGATATGACAACATTATACACGTTTCCGTCGTGTTGTTGTACATGTGCAATACGTACCCGGACAAGTTTTGCATAGATGACACCTGTCTCGACAATAAAAGATAAAGATCTTCGAAGTTTTAATACTGCCTAACTGTTAGCGACCAAATTTATTTGCCTAAAACTAGTCAGTTCAGCTACTTTGCAGCTGCATTCTTTAATCCCTAAATTCACCGTTGTGATTGCAAGGTTAATTCGGCTGCTCGAGTTTAATTCCACACAGTCAGTGTGCGATGCAGACCGACACAGCCGCCCTGCCAGCGGTGCGGATCCCGGTGGACAAGCCCGTCCGCCTGGTGGGCATCAGCCACAGTAACAACAGTGGTAGTCTGATCGACCATGCGTCTGCCGCCGAGACTATACATGAAGCAATGGAAATGGTCAGCCAAAATGTCGCTGGGATCTTGGCTGATACACAGGTAGGCTGAGGCAAACGAGACAAACATAGACTAGAGTCAGACTAGAGGCCTATTCTTTCTAGTCCGAGTAGGACTCTACGAATCGCCTTTTTTTTAACATTTGACCATCTCCAAATGTTAAAAAAGGCGAATCGTAGAGTCCTAGTTACTCGGACTAGGCCTAATTCTTTCTAATGACGGTAACTTAGTACTAGTAATAATAGTAGACATGGTAGAACTGGAGTGGAATTAGCCCGACTGCGTCTGGCCGTACAGTACTATCGCAAGCTCGTACTACAGAGCTTGCGATAGTACTGTACAGCCAGACGCAGTCGGGCTAAAGTGGAATGGGCTAGGTTGATCGAGATTACGTAGCTCAATTGGCCCAATTCAAAATAACTAAATTAGGCCAACATTCAACAACTTTAATGCTTACTTTTAAATGTATTTTTCAAAATTAATTTTACTTATAAAAAAGTATTTGAGATTCCTTGAAGCATTTTGTCCATTCCAGTGTTTTAACTGTCTGATTTTATCCGTCAAGACTCTCATGTGGGCCTATTTCCATACCGCACTAACATTAAACAATGAAGTTGGTAGAAAAAAAATTTCCATTGTCATAATTATTATCCATTTTTTTATCAGTATTACAAGACGAGCAACTTGAGAGAGGAGTTGATTGCCCTGCGTCGAGATGTTCAGGAGTTGGCCAGAGACAGAGCCTATGAAGAAACCAGAGACAATTACCATCATCACTTCTGGAGAGCAGACCACGAATCAGAAAATAAATGTGAGAAATGGAGAATACAAACTTAGTTACTATCAGTGATTGTTTTGGCAGGAGTCAGGGGCTGTTTACAAATATTAAATGTTGGTATTTCATAAGTGTATACTATTACTATCACTTTTTGTTTCGACTTGTAATTTACTTTAGTAAGGAAGACATTACTTCAGTTTAATGATACAATATGAACAACTAGGGACATTCAATCATTTAAGACAGTAATATCATACAGGCTTAAAGTGATCAACATATTTTTCAGAAATTGATTTGATGTTTACATTTAATTTCAATACTGATTTTCACTTTTCAGATTTGATCACCAAACTCTCTGAGATTGCATATGCCCTGGTTGACTTTAAGGGAGACTGCTGCAATACAAGTCGTGGTCGACGGGCTCTGGATGAGGCTCATCTGGAAACAATGTGCACAAAGCACCTGTATGAATTCCAAAATTTCAGAAGGGTAAGGGACACACAAAGTGATTAAAGCATTTTACTTTTTACCTGCTGAACTTGCATCCTGTCCCCTGCCAGATGGCTTAATTCAATTTTTGTACTGAAAGTGACTCATTTTTACATTAAGAAGCACTATGCACTGTTCTCTACGGGGTTTAGCACAGCTTGGCTTCCCTGTAATGTATACGTGTAAATCCACCTCAAAAATTTAATTAAAAAAAAAAATTAAACATTGAAACAACCAAAAGTGGAAGAAATCTTAAAGGCCAAGTCACACAAAGCAATTTTCACAGGCAACCTGAAGGTAACCAAATGGACTTGGTAAGAAAAACTGCAAGGTAGATGAAGTACATTATTCTAATTGTTCATGGAAATTCCTCAGAGCAATATAGGAGTTTGCCTGCCGTTTTCTTTTTGGAGATTGCCTTGGACAAGTTGCTTGTAAATTGCCTATGTGACACGGCCCTAACTCTCACCCTTGATCTTAAATTACCCAAGTACAATGTATACATGTACAGTGTACATTCAAAATGTAACATACAAAACCCAGTATCAGATTCAACCATTTATTCCTTAGCTTTGCTTGTTTTCTCAATCACAGCAAATAGCTCCCTATGTTAACACCAGCATAGACCGCACCAAGACCATCCCTCGCCTGGCTGCCCCAATCACCACAGGTTTGGAGTGGCAAGAGTTCATGTCTCCATTGGACAACCCAGACCGACGCAGGCTGTTGCCCAATGAGTGCACTGTGACCAGACGAGAGACCATTCACCCACGCACTGAGCCACCCAATGTCAGGGGGCATTTGTCTGGGGTTCATATCATTCCCAGCCAGTATGATGTGCCAGACTATTCTGGCAGGCCTGGTGCCATGAATTCAGGTCAGTTTAAAGAACAATGAGGGGAAATATTGTAAATAAGTCTTTTTTGTCGATTAGTGCCTGTGTGCTTCACAGACTCATGCTAGTTCAACAATAAAGATTTACATACACGAACTGAAATATTTTTTTCACTTAACATACTTTAGAAAACTTCCTTATGTTATCAAACATCCTTTTTCTTTTTAGTTCATAAAATATAGAGTTAACTTGCTCTACTCACACAGTGGCGCACCCAGGAGTTGGCTTTGGGGGGGGGGGGGCTCACAAATTTTTTAGAGGTTTTTTCAAATTGTTTAAAAAAAATGTTGCCCAAAATGTTTGGCCGCAGAAAAAAAGGGGTTTTTTTTGGGGGGGGGGGAAGAATATTTTGACTTCGGTGGCGCCACTTACACCCCTATTATACTACTTGAAAAAAGGCTACATACATATCACCTAGGTCAAATCGTGGGACTAAAAAAAAAATTACCCAAAAAATATAAAACATTTGGGGGGGGGGGCTCAATCCCCCCGAGGGGCCCCCCCCCCTTGGGTGCGCCACTGTGCTCACACCTTTAATCTTCTAAGCCCTCTTCTATGACCACAGAAGTTGAATCAATTGCAGGTACAATTATTGTTGTTATTTTCAGGCACCGATGCAACTCTGTCCAAGATGGGCCGCTACGGAGGAAGACAGATGTATGAACAATCCATCAATGCAAGGACAAGACCCTTGCAAGTGGAGGTGCAAGCTGTATCCAGCAGATACAAGCACATGGACGGCTTCTGTGAATAGAGAAAAACCTCCTACTCAAAATAGGGCTGGGTCTGATCTGGCTTAAGAGGGAAAGCCACATGGCGTAACCCTCTCAGCAGTGATGTAGTTGAGTCCATCACAACTCCAGTCACAAGAACAAGTCCATTCACAAGTCCATCACAAGTCCGGTCACAAGTCCGGTCACAAGTTCGGTCACAAGTAAATTTCAAGTCCATTTGCAAGTCCAGTCACAAGTAGAAACAGTGGATGGACAATAACAAAGGAATGCCTTTGTCAAAGTTAATTAGCTTTTGTGTTGCCTGGGGACTGGAGGACTTGTGATGGACTTGTGATGGACTTGTGATGGACTTGTGATAGACTCTACTACAAGTTCACAGCCTTTCCGTCCCATAGCCAGCGTTCCAGATTATGCTTAAAGAAATATAGGCTCAGTTGCATTGCATGCATTTTGTTCCTCTCCAATAATAACACCACTCAAAATCCAAAGAAGAACGTTCTAAACCTAACCTGTGAAGTTTCAGCGCAGTGGATATTACACTTTTGAGAAAAAAAGTGACAACCATGCACAAGCTTTTGATCACAAAATACGATTTTGTCCATACTCTCTGTATTTCCAAAAAAATCTGTCAATTGACTGATCATTGGAAATCACTCACATTCTTGATTTCTTCTAAATGGTAGCAAGCCAGATGGAATAATTCCACGGGGGTGTTAAGTATGACCTTTACTCGCAAGTAAGCTTTATGATAATTATTTGATAGGTTACTTTTGAGATAAATGGCCCTATGTGCCTTGACTGCCTGTAGATCCTACCCTGCGGATATCCCCAGGCTATATGGATGTGTACTAGTTCATGTCTGTGGTACTGAATGGGTGAAATCGGATTAGGTTGACGAAGATGGGACAATTTGCACTGGAAAACAATGGGTCTGAAAAGATAAATTGAATATTCCACATGAATATTTGCATTGTATTGTTTTTGAATTGTTTTGTGAAAAGTTTAGTAAAACAAATAAAAACTGCTCTACTTCAAAATTGCATTACATGTATATAATTATACTAAAAATGTATTTTAAGAGCCCCACTGTTTAAAAATATCTTCTTTTTTACTAGATTGTCCATTTGTATAGCCTGAAATAGAATATTGGGGTTATTTTACATTCAAATGATTTTATCAACACAATGTGATTTGTTTTTAAAATTCCAGTTCATTTACACATAATTACACATGTTCTTCACTTTTAATATGACTTTAATTTAAAATCTAACATTTCTATAACTTGTACATTGTATTTGAATTGTATTATGCATTCATCTGTTATAATAGTACAAATCGTGTTTGGAAATACATTGCACATAAGTGATAAGAATGCAACACTGGATGACAACATAAATTTGTAAATGAAGAGTGATTCAATAAAACATCTAAAGTTATCTTCGGTCTGCAACCTCTCAAAGTCACCGCAGAACTAGACATGTACTGTAACCACACAAAAAAAACTGCTACCGGTACATTTTATTGAAGGATATTTCTCTATACACAAGAAGTGCACCAAATGCCAAAACCTTCCAGTCCAGACACCGAAGCTCACTTTAAAACTTATTTTTTTTATATTTAGAACTTGCACACGACCCGACAGTGCACGCAAGAACCAGAAATTGTGTTTTTACATACACTGCAGATACAGATACGAAGAACTTGGAGGGGGTCAGGCCTAAGCCTTTGAAAAGGCTTATTTCGCTTTAGGTTTTCCCAGCTATGTTTAACACTTGTATCACACAAACTTATTTACATATAACGACACTTTAATTTCGTCCCCGAACATCCTCGAGCTCAATTCTCAATTTCGATTTCAAAAAAGCCACTTATTGAATTCATTTTAGGTGCAGAGTAATTCGTTGTTTTTGGCCTTCTATAATTCTTCCTAATTTCGGTAAATTGTCAGATGTGGTGATCGTCGTTGAATTGAGAAAGCAAAAGTGGTTTTTCAGACAGTGCATTTTTGCATTACCTGACCCATTGGAGGCCTACATAATTATGTACATTTATAGGTATTTCTGCATTTTCTTGTCACTTTTCTTTGAGCCTCGACCCAGGAAAAGATGGATGTCAAGACAATAAGGTATCAAACCCGGACAGAACCCGTATCATGTAGATGTCTTCGAAGGAGAACAATTCAATTATCTGACACCGTCGGGTCGAAGCGCCTTACTGCTCGCAGCATCACATGCCCACTTACCTTCCTGAGAACAGAAGAAATGCATTACCAAGAGGAGGGAGAAGAAATTCGAAAAATGATCAAGAAATGATTAAAAACCTTGTTAACCTTGGGCTTACCAAGTTAACCTTGGGCCAACCAAATGAAAGACTACGCCAGCAGCTCCTTGACAAGTCACATTACCAAAGTACAGTAGCTCGGAGTGACCATGGGCGTCGCGAGGGGGGCAAGGGGGCGCTCCCCTCCCCCCCCCCCCCCCGAAAAGCAAAAATATGTATATATAAAATATAAAAAAGGAAGAAAAAAGAGAAAAAGAAAAGAAAAAGAGGCGCGAAAAAATTATTCGGTCTCTGGTCAGACCAAAGTTCCGGAATTGACGCGGCCACGCGGCTTTTTTTTTTTTTTTTTTGCTTTTTTTTTTTTTTCTTCAAGCTTGGATTGTACAGACAAGTGGGTACTATTTTGCTTTTTTGGTGTCCTCATGTACATTGGTGTCCTCCATAATTTGCCTTGGTGCTTTCGATCATTTGCCTTGGTGCAATTTCCCATTCCTTGATCGACGTGCATGATTAAAATCGACGCGCGCGCTGACCAGAGACCGACTTATTTTTGTTTTTGGCCTAACCGTAACGTTTCAAATTACTAGAAACGAAATGGAATGAAAACAGCAGCAAATAAGATGACAAACACGAATTTGCTTTTCCAATACAACGCCAATCGCCACGCGTGACGAATTTACCGAAATTATGACGAAAAAATAGCAAGACACCCCTCCCCCTAAAAAAGGGGAAGGTTCATGCACCAGATGAGCGGGAAAGTACTTAACTCTTACAAATGTTTACGAGACTTTCAAAGGATTCTACAATTGTCAGGTTTCAAAAACATTTAACAGAATGTTTTTTCCGGAAAAGAAATTACAGACACCAAATTTTGTCGGAATCGCATAAGTAACGTTTACCTCTTTCACTAAAGTGTATATGCCTGCCTGGTTTGGGCAAGTTATAACCAAAACGTTGTTTCCGCAAACAATGGCGGAATTTTTGGAACATTTAAATTAAACAACAAATCATGGAGCAGCACAGTACAAAGTCAAGAGTCGCAAAACTTGGACAACAAAAAATGCATACCCCGCGCTCTCTAAAAAAATGATTTTTCTCTCCTAACGAATTATCAATTTGTAGGCCCTATGTATTGTTTTAACGAGAAAAAAAATAATTCTGCGTCTGCAATAATATAAACGGCTTTCATTTCGCACCAAAAAATAAAGAACCCGCCAGGCGAGAGCCGATTTTTTTTTTCTGGCAGCCAGTCATTATGAAGACATTTTATGAAGAAATAATTCAATAAACGTATAAAACACAAAGTGATTAATTTGACTCATTATCGTAGAAAAATGAGTCATTTTGTCCGTGTAGTGACACACTTTGGCTCATAAACGGATAACATGACTCATTTATTACGATAATAGGTTAGATTACTCACTTTGGGTTTTCAAAGTGGATTTTTTTTTGCTTGAAGTGTCATTCACAATTGAATTAATTTACACTGCTAGGAAAATGACAATTGGAAAAAAAAAAAAATTTTGAGGTGAAAAAAATAGCACGTGGAACGCATCTTTTTTTAGGCAAACGTATTTTCGTTTCGTGGGATTCCTAGAATTACTCAAATTGTTGTCTACACCAAACTGACCAGTCCTATGGAGAACAACGGAAGTATTAAGAAAGCTGAGAGGAAGCTAACATATGGGAAAGAACCAAATTATCCAAATCAAAGAAGACTATGGTATCATCATCACCGACTGAAATAAAACCACTGAAAAAAAGAAGAGTTATTTGAGACCTATATAACCTGATAACAGCAAGGTGACCATCTCATAGGTTGAAATCCAAGGAAGATGAAGATTTAGAAGAGGGTGTTACAACTGATGATGTAGTAACCAACGGATAATGTATCACCAACCGTCACATAAATTGATCGATACTGTATCACTAACTGATAATACAAAAATGACGGATACTGTAGTAAATGTTACACTATCAGTCAATTGTTGTTACATTATCGGTTAGGACCGATAATGTAACACAACACAACTGATAGATTCACTTTTCACCAAATGCTTGAAAACTAGCACTGTACCAACAAGCTGATGGGGAAAGTGGCAGGGGGGGGGGGCACAACACAACTGATAGATTCACTTTTCACCAAATGCTTGAAAACTAGCACTGTACCAACAAGCTGATGGGGAAAGTGGCAGGGTGATAATACTATACAAGAAAGGGGACGCCAAAGACCTGCACTACCGTCCAATTAGCTTGTTGTCACACAGTTATGAACTCTTCACAAAAGTTATCATGAACAGGCTAAGTAAAAAACCTGACGAAATCAACCACCAGAGCAAGCAGGATTCAGGAGCAACTGCTCAACAATCGACCACCTACAAGCAATGAATCAAATTCTGAAAAAAATCAATATTAGCTTCATAAAAAGCGTTTGACTCTGTAGAAACAAATGCTGTTATTCAAGCTTTACAAAACCAGGGCATACTGAGAATCTCCATACAACATCAGAATCATCAAATAATATCCTATCATCGTAATCATATCAGGAGAACCAACAGAGATGGAGGATCGTGTTGGCAGAATTGAATACTGAAAGCAGAATTGTGGGACTGAAAATGAATGTGTCAAAAATAAAAGGTGATGTAGAACCTACTTGAACGAGTAGATGTATGCAGAACAGAAAGAAATCAAAGTCGTTAATGAAGTGTTATATATTAACTTCTACATGAATATCTTGGACTGGAGATTTGGCCAGATGGGAATCAAGTACAGGAAATCAGGAAACTGAGCCTAAGAACACAGGTGGGATGGGCAGCCTTTATAGTATACATAAAAAAATTCTAACAAGAACCTATAAAAAAAAACTTCAACCATGTATATTACCAGCATTGAGATTGGAAGCGAAACTTACACTCTGAGCAAAGATATGGAGAGGAAACTTCAAACTTTCCAAAGAAGTATGGAAAGGATGATGACTGCTTGCACTGTACTAGGAGGGATCGTAAAACAACGAGAGACCTGACACTACGTGATCGGATGTGATGGTCAGCAAAAAGGAATAAATGGAGATGGGCTGGACACCTGGCAAGGAAAGAGGATGAAAGATGTAGCCGACTTATAACAGAATGGCAACCACTTAGAGAGTCTAGATGGAGAGATGAGATGGTGGTGGAAACAGGGACAACAGCATTGAAGAGTTATCCGGGGACAGAGAGAAATGGCGTGATATGGGAGAGGCCTTTGCCCAGCCATGGGCGTCGCCAGGATTTTTCCGGAGGGGGGGGGGGGGCAAAGCAAAATGTTCCCCAAAATTTCTTATTGTTTTCATTATATTCTAAATTTATCATTCTTCCGAGCGTGAGCACGGAGGAGCATTTGCCCTACCCCCCCCCATCAAATAAACAGCAATATGGCTTCGCACGTTTCTTTTCTTTTTTTTCCTTTGTTTTTTGTTTCGTTTTCGGGGGGGGGGGGCAAGCGCCCCCCCCCCCCCCTCTCGCGACCTGAGCAGTGGGACGATAGTGGATGATGAGGATGGGGTTTATGATGATGGTGCGTGTTAAGTCGTGTTCTGCAGGGGGGGGGGGGGAGGAAGCTGTTTTGGGAATCATTTTTGGATCATGAGTTTTGCCCTCAAAGCTGAATCCTAGCCTTTCTTGGATTCTGTTGGTGGCTTCGTCACCGCTGAGATTCTGACAACAGTTGTAGCGGCGATCGTATGCAGTACGTACATAAACTAGTTGTAGGCCTTCTGTACATGAATCAACTGTAACTGCTAAGATACAAAATTTCGTCCATGATTAGTTTGGTCGACCTGCTGGTAATGTACAACCACGGACCAAGTTAATGTACACTCGCCAACTCTTGATTTCCAAAAGTCTTACAAATGGCTACACCGCTAATAATGGAGCGTGGAGCGAACGCACCCCAGATAACACGCCAGGGCGCCCTCACAGTATAAGATTTCAAGTGAGGGCGTACTTCGACATATGATTTTCAAGATGCACACGTTGCTAGCATGTATGCACGTGGCATGCATATGGCGCGCTATCGTGCCATGGTACTGCCGGTATTGACATCGATTACATGTCTAACATGCATGACATGTAGTTGTCATTACATGTGCATTAAAGATCCTGTGATCGTGCCACATCGTTTACACAGTCCTTAGTAGGTCAGCTGTTTTGATTTCGTGAGCTGATTTTCTAGTCACAGTAACGTCGAAAGGGAAACAAACGTGCTTGACCGTGTTCTGCTTCTGAGTCTGACTGACTGACAAGCTGACCTTGTTTTCGTTTGGCTTCACAGTACATTCATCACAGTACTAACTACACTTCTAGCCTAACAAACCAGGTGAGGTAGGATGCAGTGATGTAGTGCCTTGATGCTGGGCCTTGGCCTTAAGGCTGGATTTTAGGGCCTTGGCCTTGGCCTCGAGGCTTGAGGGCAAAAGCCTTGGCCTTGGCCTTGAGGGTTCAGGGCCTTGCAATTTTGAGTCAAGGCTCTTCAAGGCCCATAGATTTTTGCATTTTCCAGATAAATCTGTTCGAAAGTTTGCTGTTACCATTTTAATCGTATTACCATGGAGGAGGGAAGCACCCCATAGATTTGTGTGTTGGGCACACTTCCACTTTTGTTGCATCACATTTTGTTACCATTGTAGTAGATTTGCTGCAAAAATATTCCGTACACTTGTGGGGCTAATGAGATGATCACTTTAATTGCATACAATTATGGAATAGATCTGATTGGTTGTATATGTCTCTCTGATAAGTGCTAAAGATTTGCATGTATCTGTTTTAGATAATGCTGATATTTCTGACCATGTTGGGCCAGCAAATAAAAATTTCCTAATTTCCTAAATCAGTTTCTTGGATCCCCCTTTTGTTACACTTGGGAGAATTGTGTGTCAATATAGAAGTAACTCATTATTTTGTTTAGTTAAACCATATTAAAGACCTGAACTTATACTTTAATAGATACAGTGCAGTCATAAAACGGTGTAGGCCTATGCGAGCATGTTGATTGCAATTAAAGAAATGTTGTTCTTCGTAACGAGCAATTCGTGATGATAAGGGCGGATCCAGGGGGGCCAAAAGGGGCCATACCCCACCCCCCCCCCCAAAAAAAAACGAAACCATTTTTTTTAATGTGATGTCGTAATAAAGGCAGGCAATGAGTACACCACCATCTTTTCCGCCACGCTCTTGTACATGTTCGAACCAAGCGAAATCGTCCTTCTGTGACAAAGACTGAACATTGCCTTACCGTGTGATAAGTATTCACATATCAAGCTTTCTTGAACATGTTGAAATCTGCTTTTACGCCAAATCTGGCATTCAAACGAAATTCAGGTAAAATCTGGCAAGATCTCGACGTCGAAGTAGAAGTCCTGCAACCTCCTCCTGATGCATGTGATTTACTACCTGATAAATGCTGCGGATAATTTGGTATCGCACTGACGCTCCCGGCATTCCTTTTGTCCGGATCGTATTAAGTGCGATTCCAAAATAATTAGCTGCGTTTATTACGTGGCCTCGTTATTGGCCAATCAGACGCCGCCTATCATATGCGCCACATGAAGCAGACGGGTAGCTCGGAGGGCTCCGATAATTTTGCATGCAAATGACCCTGGGTACTTGTCCGGGGTCATTTGTCAGGGTCACTTGTCAGGTTAAAATCTAATTTCTACACGTTCGTATGGGTCTTCATTGATGACAAATTTCGTCGAAATGACACATCCTGAACACGCGGGAAGGCAAATTTAGATTTCTAGGTGAGTACACCATACAAAATTATGTATGGCGGATCGATTTCGCTAGGTTCCAAAATACACAACAGCGTGGCGTTGTATACAACGCCACGTTCACGGGTCTAGCCCTATCTAAGCAGCTGTTCACTAAGCATTGCCCGCTTTCTAACCTGCCTGCTCTTCAGAAAGGAAAGTCTTTACGAGCGCATAGTTGGCAAAGCCATAGCCAAGAGGGGACGTGGGGGTGGGTGGGGGGGGGGGATTGCTAATCCTTTTTCACAACCTTTGTGCATCGATGTACTGACACATGGAATAGCCTCCCGATTTGTCAGCTGACACACACTGCGTATTGTTTAGTGTGGAATTGAGTAAATGTACTTCTTGGCATAGGGCCTATGACTTTGATCTTTGTGCAAGAAGTAAAATCCAATCCAAAATCAGGAATGAACTGTTTAAGAGTCTTAAAGAGATCGTTCAAACACATTGATGCCGACAGTTTCTCAATCCTCTATAAGACCTATAAATTAGACCACATTTTGAGTATTGTGTGAATTTGCATCCAAGCGTGGAATCCCTTGCTGGAGAAGCACAACTTTGTGCTGGATAAGGTGTAGAGACGAGCAACCAAGTTGTTACCTGAATTGAGAAAACTACCTAATGAACAATGGTTCCAAGCCCTGGACATCTACTCACTAGAGCAAAGACATGTAGGAGGAGACCATATAGAAACTTTTAAGCTTTTTTAAAAGGATTTGAGACGTGGACAGTAGAACATTTTTTCTGAAATTGGAACTAATCTTTTGGAATTCAACCCAGCATGAGTTCTTGGCAATTAAGAAATAAGTGCCAAGATTGAATAGAAGTCTCTCACATTTTCATCCCTGAAGGACCGTTTTTTAAATATATGTGTACTCAGTTCAGAATTTGTAACCTTAACTGACATTATGCCATGGAACACCACACAAATTTTAGCTGTGTTTTCGTGATAATTTTAATAAAAGAACAGCAAATCTGTACATCTCGTCACTGTGGCCTGCTGGTTCTTCTACATTAAAACCCTCTTATGGAAACGTGCATTGTGAGCCTTGTTATTACTTGGGTCAGTATTGGTCAAGACCCCCATTGGTTTGTTAACAGTATGCCAGGAGGTGAGGAAGAACATTTTGACCGTTTGTGACCTCTTAAATAGTAGGAGGGTTGTTTAATCATGTTCATGTACGTAAGTGACGTGGGGAATTTCCTTTGGAAACCTGTTGAGTATTTACCCATTTCCAAATTATATGCCCCACCCCTTGTTTGCATGTCATTACACTTATAATCCTGATCAAGTAAGTCATTACTGTCTTGTTATGTTTTTATGTGTTATTTGTAACAACCGTTTATGTAAATAACTCAGCAATTTTCAAATTGCTATCATTTGTACTGCAAACAAAGATGTGTTAAGGATATTTTAATAGTCTTTTTAGTTCAGTAACACAAAACACTTGAGAGCATGCAGAGATGAATGATACAAGAAAAACAAAACATCATTAAATATATAGCCTACATTTTGTATTCTGATGTTCAGTGGGAAACTTATACAAGAATATGACAAGACAAGTTAATGTACTTGTAATGTAATTGCTTGTGACAGCTGAGTGACGATGGTTTGTCTAATAATCGGGAAATTAAAAGCAAAAAGATAGCAAGAATTATTTCTCTATCTCAACCTCACAAAATAATAATTCACTTATTTTGGCATCATTGAGTGCATGTAGATCCTTGCCCTGACTGGCAGGGGCATAGTGTTTTCCTTAATTATGCAATACTCCTCCAGGCATATCCAGGGTATTGATCCGTACATATAGAATGCTGAAATCTCTCAGCTTGTCAATAACTCTACAATGGATTTCCGTTTGTGCTGAACTCGTGTTACCCTCATGGGCCATTATTTATTTCTAGGCCGGTCACAGACCGACATGCAGATATCCTGGTTATGAGTCTAAGCATGGAGAGTACCCAGCATAGGACTTGTTTGAACACAGAATTCTTTGATGACACTGAAGGCTGAAGTGTTTATCATTTAATTGACTGAAAGGAAATTTATATATAAACAAATTTTGTCATTTTGGACAATTCAACACGACAACAGTGTGCATACAAGTACATATTATGTAATAATAGTTAATCATAAAGTGGATTTTAATTCTGATAAAATGTAAGGATGTGACTTTGTATCTAATTTTTGTAAATGTTTAGCAAAGATTTTAAGCAACATTTAAACTTTCACAAAGGCTGACATGTTGCCATTATGTCTGCAGATTGGCGTGATTGACATGATGAATCAACAGTGATTGACATAATAAATTGTATGCAGCCATTGAAAATAAAAACTTAACTATGTGTACCTCAAATGTAATCAAATAGGCTGTTGCAGTGCTTCTAAGGTTTCGTAAATTAACTACATGTAGGTTTGAAGACGTTTTTAATTATTTGTGCAATGTATGTTACTAAACTGAACGGAAGATTGCATGAACGTAGGTCCCTTTTTCATGTAATTTGCGTTTCACTTAAACATTTGGACAATTTGTAAACGGATTTAGAATTTTGTTGGTTTGTTTAAATGTTAAATGTCACATCCTTCATAAAATGTATGAGTTAAGTACTGAAATGATTTAGAAAGGAAATTATTCATCCAACTTTTTAGCTGTAGTAGAAATTAGCTCAATACACCATGGTGTCGGACGTACTCAGACAAATTAATTTGATTGTTTATCCATTTTCATGTCAAAACCTTTGTCATGTGTTTGGAGTTGTTGGCAATCTTTTTCCTATTTTTAGTTCATCACATACTAATAAATACACTCCATGGTAAAACATGTTTTTGTTTGATTGTGATTTAATAATAATAATAATGATAATAATAATGGACATTTATAACGTGCAAACATGTCCACCATAAGGTGCATACATAACTTGCAGTAATGGCATTATTTCGCACATACATTTATTGGTGTCAGACGTACATGTCTGAAATTGCATTACAAAGCAGAAAATTATCAGTTTGAATGATGTTTTTCTTTTGCAAAATCTCTTATGGCACAAAAACCACTTGCATTTTGCATGCGAAAACAAGGTGCCAAAATGAGTACATAAAATCTATAGTTTTTGCCCCAAAACAGGTTTGTTTTAACAAAAAAATACATTAATTCCAGGTACCATCTCACTGGCGCACCACTCTAATAACAGGCCTTGTGTCAATAATTTGATACCATATCTGAGGTTCTGATGCTTGTATTTCTGAAGATTTAAATTTTCTACTGTCCAGCTGGTTTACTTTTGTGCGGAATTGCCGTTTTATAATTTCTGATACACATTAAGATGATAAATGGCTTGATAATTTACATTATCATGGCAGCATCTTCTTTAAGTTAAACATAAATTATGATACATTTTTAATGCATACATGTCCAAGTACCGGTACTTGTGAGTTTTCAAATGTCAATTGGAATTCTGTCTGTCAAATTACATACATGTAAATGCATCCGTACTATTCCACAGTTTTAAGTACATGTACATTTTTCAAAAAGTAATCCAGACAGCATGTTATTTAATGGCAGAAAGTATTTGAATAAATAATGAAGGAAAGAATAAATAAACAATTGACACGCTAGTTTCATCTGTAACTTCAAAATACAAATGTAAGAAGAAATGCTGGTGTGCACTGTGCACAGGGTTAGGGATGTCAGAATGAAGGTGTATTAAAGAAACACCCCCACAATAGCATGTGGAAGGGAATGCTAAAAGGCACAATAATATAAGCTGATGATGATGCAATCACGTCGTGCCTGGCGTGAACGCTGCATCAAAAGCAGTTCTCCATATGTATACAGTTATACTTGTCTGGTTGTGCTTCACATTTCATGAATGTAGAGAATGCACATGTATGCAAGATGTGTGAGTAAAATCATTTTAATTTCATTAACACCACTTTCATCAAATGTAAGTTCTCCATTCAAATACAATAGCCTACTTTTTATGAATAATATTGGACTAAATTGGCAAATTATGTTGTACCAGTTTTCTGCAGTTTAAACTCATTGTTGACTTCAATTTTTTATTCAATTATATGAATGATTTCCCCCTATTTAGACTTGCAATGATGGGTGGCAAATTTACCAAAGTCTCAATATCAACCTTAATTTTTTCTTTTATGTATACACAGGTACATGTCAAAAGATAATGTATTTTTCTGCAATTTGTCTTCTTTTGTTCCCTTTCTTCAACTTTCCTTTGTTAACTTTAACATTTACACTTTTAACATTTACACAATGTGTTCTTTGTATTTCTTTTCCAATTTTTTTATATTTTTTTTATATGTGTTTCTTTTTCCAGGGAACTGGGTGGGGGCATGCAATATTAAGTATACAAATTATAGAATTATTAAGTACAGCAACCCTGCACTAACCAATCGGTCTTGACCATCTCGGCTTTTTGTGTCCTTGAAAATTCATGTTGAAAGAACAAAATGCTGATAAATTTCAAGGAAACTGTTTTAATTTCATTTATGAATGTAACATTCAATCACTTGAAACTGTAGCATTTGTCCAGTTCATCCACCATCAACCCTGAAATGAATCAAAAGCTGATTGGTGAGACAACTAAGCCTTAACCCAAACCACCCCTTACCCTTTAAAATCCAACTGCATGTTTTGTTGGAATCGGTTGAAGTGAATATACATTGTACTTGCTCAGCTAGTAAACTGATTATGCTTTACATGGGGTAAGGCATACAACCAATATTCAGAGTCCAACAGTTTGGGTGTTGGATTTTGCAAGAGTGAGGAAGGTTCCTAGTTAATCCCTCAAGGGGGTTGGGGTTTTAAGATGACAGGCGATCAGCTTGTAAGATTACTATACTCCAACTGCACCTGCTTGCTAGTCTCCTTACTAGGCCAAATCATGGATCTTCTGAAACTACATGTACAGTAGGCCTACATGTAATGCGAAGCAGAAAAATACAAAGCTACATGTACATCTACATGTATCTTGAATGGGACTCATCTGTTGCAGATCACGTTTTCTTTAATAAGTGCATGCATTTGACCTTCAAGATTTCTGTGGTCAGCACCCGATTTCACGAAGCGCTGGGACCTCAGTTACGACGTGTAACACATCACAACTCGCATCGGGTCGTGTGATCCATTTTACAAAACTTGCGATGTATTGAACGCGTCGTAGGTTCCTTGACAAACGGCTTAAAAAACGTCGCAAGTAACGATGTGTCTAGTGGTCATTGCAAAATAAGAAGCATCATTTTTATGCCAGTTTTATGCCATAAACATGACATAAACGAGATTATAATACCGAGATAATGTGTGTAAAGTTGTAAATAGAAAATGCATTAATAATAATTGTGAATTAGTCTGTAATATTGCAGTTGAATTTCAAAGTAGCTATACAGTCCACTGAGAGCTTGCTTTCCTTTAAAATTGCATCACTTTACGTTTTAAAAAATATTTTGAGAGGAGATCGAACGACTTTTTGTTGAATATCAGATGACTATTTACTGTACGCTGAATAAATACATAAAACAGTCATCGAGTTGTGCTATAAATACACCTACGACACGTCGCACTTACAACGTGTTTTGTGAAATGGATCGCAGGACGCGTCGCAGCTGCGACCCATCATAGGGATACGATGCTTTGCAGCGCTGCGATGCATCGTAAGTTACGATGAGTTTCGTGAAATCGGGTGCAGTTTCTATAGTTGGAATCAGACAGGCCTAGTATGCAAGTTGCACTGCTCAATGTAAATTACATTTAGAAAACCAGTCAAATAATGTGTCACCCTATTGCAAAATTTTATAATTCAGTTTGATTTGTCATTTTGACAGTCATTTGTAAGGTAATTTCTCTAGATTTTGATTAGTGATGGTAAACTTAATTAAATGTGGTCTTGATACTAGAAAGTAATCAGTCTCTGGGTTTTGTGTTCAGGTATATTGAGCTGATATTATTGTTCAAAGGGGAAAAAAGTGGATATGTTGCAACACTGCAAGTATATTATACACAGCATAATATACTTGCTGCACCTGTCAATATCCTGAATACAGGTGTAGGCCTGTATTCATACATGTAGGCACTTTTCCCTTTCTTTGTTGCTGAAGTGTTTGCCAGTGAGATTGAATGGTAGTAGAACTGACCAGCCATAGAAGTGCTTCCATCAGCAGAGTTGGCTTTATGAATGTGAATGCCCAAGATTCAAGGAATATTTCCACAGGGATTACATGTACTGGTGCAGCACAAGGTACACGTGGGCACGTGGCTAATTGTATGTAACACTTTATGCCATCATATCATAAGAGTACAGTTCACTTTGCTTGTAGATTGACTTAAATCTACAAGCCAGTCAGATGTACATGATGTTTTTCATAATTTATCAAGTTCCTATTGCCCATTTTCGTCAGGGGCACACACATGCTGTTTGGTGGCCCATTTAATTCCTGCGATCCATTTTATTACAATCGGTGTGTGCATACATTGTACATGCAATTTCTGTACAGCAATTGCCAACCAGCATACACAATTGAGCCTTTTGAGGCTGGTTTCAACTTTGGAATATTCAAATAATTAAATTCTAAATTATTCCAAAATGCACAGCACTACTTTTTATGAATAACATGTAAAGTTGCATTTCTGACGGTTTGTAAATTGTTGGTAACGTAGTTCCAAGATATAGTTTTATTCTTATGAATCTGAATAACAACAAATCCTATAACAGCAACAATATTCAGAAATATCTCAAAACTTTAGGTTTTCCTGGCTATTTTCAAACATTTTCCTTTCCAATTCAACCATTCTAATAAAATTCGTCCAGCACTTCCAAAGTTTAATTTCGTCCTTTCGCACAATTTCAATTTTAGTTCAAGCAAATTAAAACCAGGAGCATATACTCATCCAGGATTATTCAATTTCATCTTGTTGTCTACACTGAACAGTGTTATTCAGAAACAAAATTCATCCAATGTCACCCAATTAATCCTAATTTTGTTCAATTTCATCATTCAGTACTTCATTGTGACATCTTCAGTAGAAGGCATACCTAGGCTGCTGATAAGAATAACTTTCCACTTATTTTTATTCCCTTGTTTCTTCATAATCTATTCTTTCTTCGTTTTTATATATTCCTAAAAATGCGCTCAACTCAGTTTTAGGCACACACAAATGTTACACAGGGATATAAGGGTCATCGTAGATTGTGACGTTTCCTTCTTTCATTTTAACGCTTGTTTTATTCGTTTTTATGTTTTGTTGTTCTTGGTAAACTACCTGAATTAAGCACATACTTTATGTAGTCTTGGTCTGATAACATCATGCGAACGAATGTGCTGAACTGTGCTCGAAGACACAAGAAAAATGCTTGAAATAGCGCACACCAGACTAATTTACTTAACACACGTTTTAAAGTGATTGATATAAGATGAATTTGATCTCTGAATGCTGTCATTCAGCAATAGCTGAGACGAATTCAATCTGTTTTGACAAATATTCTTGACCAAGTAGTTAAATAGGTGGACCAAACTTTGAAATTGAATGATGACTCTGAAATTCTTCTCAGGTGAATCTTAATATTAGATTTGGTGAATTGGAATGAACAATTTTTAAAATAGTGGGAAAACCTATTGAATGCATGAAATTTATCCATAATAGGACGATTTTAAGACAGCGTTATACACACCAGCACAAGTATTTACATGGAATTGAGTTGTTGACAGTATTTTCAATTAAGACTTGGCCATTAGGCTGTATTCCTTAATGTTCATGTACAGTTGTATACATGTACATGGAGGCTGATTTGGATCTGTGCTCCATTTTATGGCATCAATTCTTGCATAAGGGGCCGGGAATGGCATCTGAATTATCCAAAGCCAAGTTTAACAGACCTTCCTCAAATGTGGCTCAAGTGTCTGCCAAGTACCCTGTAGACACGTTGAACCCTTTTTTAATATCAAGGTGATATCATCAACGGGATGCTGCAGGTCAGAAGTCTTGATAAAATGTGGTTTGAGCATCATTACTGTGATGCCTGTTTTAATGAGGTTTGGAAACTACATGTTTATAATGTCTGAGATATGGCGAAGATTAATTGGTACATGTACGTGTATTTCACATATTTCAAAATATTCAGCTCTTAATAATGTCATCCTAAAATGGTTTAGAAATGTATGTAGGCTTTTAAAGAAATGCAACTAAACAAATGATCTAATTTGTTTCGCAGATTTCCTTGATTATGGCCCTATTCATGCTGTCATAGACCTGTTGCAGTTTAATCTTCAAGAATGGCTCATCTGACAAGGATCGCATCAGCTTTCAAACATCATGTGAGTCCACAGCTTGGAAGCCTGAAGCTACGATGGCTGTCCACAAGTACATCAGCATGGGCTAGCCTGGACAAGGTATGTAATGATGGTCTTGAATTGGCAGAAATGTAAACAGTTTCCCCTGTATACATATAGGGTGCATTTGATTAGCTCACACAGGTCGACTCGAGTCAGCCCCGTGCTGTTTGATTAGCTCTGGCGTCATACTCGGGGCAGCCGTCACAGACCCTGCTCGCAGAGCAAGGCCTGTGGTGCAAATTCGTCACACGCTTTCATTGTTCATTCCAAGAAGCTGACAAATATGGCAGCCAGATCGGCAAGTGTCAAGTGGACCCAAAACATCTAGTTGAAATCTTAACTTGGTTATTTATTGATGTTATTGCGACTTAAAGAGACTATTATTCCATTCCAACATTACTTTCTGCAAATGATGGAAAAGCAGTCAATCTCAAAGTAAGACTCGGTCTGAAAAGGGTGTTTTGTCAGTGACTACGGCCACGGCTACGGATGTCGCATGAGGATAATGGTGGCGTGCTTGTGAGCGTTTGATTAGCCCAGCTCTTCTGGCTAACCTGTCTGCCTGTACCCGAGTTGACTTGGGGAAGCTACTATGATGGAAATGATTGAGTTTTTAAAATGTTTGAGATTTAACTGATTACATTTAGTGAAAGGCCTTACATGTAGATATTTTTCCCAGTTGTGTTAAAAATTATTTGGCGAACATGTATTTTGCTTTCTTTTAATCACCTGCCCATCTAAACAATTGCACAGTTTGCAAAACAACAGGCTCATAATTGATGCACACTCGTGCAACTCATAATTCATGCATAGATTTCCAACCTCTTGTTGAATTTCCTTGTTATTGTGATCCTCACATATTTTTACAAAAACGATGGTAAACTGGATCGATTAAACAGTACATCTACCGTAGTGTTGTTTAAACCAATGTGAATTTTGCCGTATGGCCTTCGTGACATGGAGCAGTATTTAATAGTAATGAGTGCATTCATAAATAAGTGGGTTAGATGTTCTTGCAAACCTGTACGTAAAAGGTCTCTGTACAATAAAACAAAATAAAAAGTATTTTTTTTAAAAACAATTAAAATGTACATGAATGAACAACATTTAGATGTGCCCCCAATTGTACAATCGGACACTGTGTTATGTTTGTGAATGTTTCAATTTACTCCTTTTTGGAAGTGAACTTGACAGTACTTTAACTTTCGAATTGATCTTTGCCGCAGCCAAGGCAGGCCTATTTGGTGCTGGATGATGGCAGCAGATACCAAGGTTATTCCTTTGGCCATGAGACATCCGTTGCTGGGGAGATGGTCTTCAATACTGGACTCGTTGGGTAAAGCTTCCATTTTGTATGCATATGTTAGGTTGATTTTGTTTCTTTATGTGTACTTAGGCCTGTTCATCACTGTAGGCATAACTGCACAACGGACGGACGCAAACAGACTGAAAACGCTCATTTGGAAATGTGGCTTAAGAGTGCATCTACTGCTCTTGTCAATTATTGACATGTTTTCCTTGTTCACTTTTTTTTTGGTTTGCAAGAGAGAATCGAATTACCTAGAGAGTAGTAATCTGAGAATGCCATATTTCAGATTCTTAATTTGTACCTGCTGTAGGGGGTTGCATCGCATCATTCAATCTTTCAACAAGGCAGTCTGTTATGACACCTGGGAAGACGGTTCTTTATAGAAATAATGTAGATACCCCGGCCAAACAATTAGATACAGGTACAAGACAGCTTGAAGAAGGGTTTCATATTCAGTCCATAATGTTTACAAGTGTTTCCTATCAATTTTGCTTTTAATTTTATGTGGAAAAATGGGGTGTTTTTTTTTTCGTGTTTCTGAATTTCGAGGATTAATTTCCTTTTTTTTTTCCATTTTTTTCTCGTTTTTTGGGTGTGTCATTCTTGGCATTTCGTCAAATTTATTTCGGCATCATTTTGAATTTTCTTTGAATTTTTGTTGGGGGGGGGGACCATTAACTGTTTTCTATGCATGGCACTGTCTACATAGCTACAATTTTTCCCTCACCATCATGGTACACCTGCAAATACTTCCATTTTTTCCTAATTAGTTATCCAGAGTCCATGACTGACCCCAGCTACAGAGGTCAAATTTTGACTTTGACCTACCCCCTTGTTGGCAACTATGGCGTGCCGGACACCAACATTGAGGATGGGAATGGCCTCAGGATTCATGCGGAGTCCGAGAAAATACAGGTGAGTGTAAAATATTTTTGGCACGATATTTCTCTTTCACTTCATACGATTTTTCAGTTGCCATACAATTCCGAGGGTGATTTTCTTAAGAAATCAATGTACCAAAACTAATGTCAAAAACTCTTTGTCTTTTACACATTAATTTTCCTTTTCAAGGGGCCCTAAAGCGCTCCAGCAGGGGTAAACTTTCAGACTCAATACACGTTTTACATGTATGCACATTGTTGTTTATGAGACGCTCTATAAAAGAAAAAAACATGCAGGCTAGTGAAAATGCCCACGGGCTAGTTAAGAGTCTCTTTCAGTAGCCCGGCTGGCTAGTAAAAAAAGTTAAGGTTGAACCCCGTGCTGGCAACATTAATGTATCCCTTTTTATTTCTGTGGTTCTCATATTTTTTGGCCTCTGAAGTAGGGTCAGTCTGTCAGCAAAATAATTAAAATCTGGGGAAAAAAATAAAATGCAGTTGCATCCTTAACAATGCCAAGTGCATAGTGTCTCTTGTTTTGTTTATTGCAATGAGGTTATCTTATCACTGAACAAAATAATAAACCATATTTGCCAAGATATAGTTGACTTGCATTATCATGCAGCTGACTAATGCTTTGGCTGTAGTGGCAGCCATGACATTACAGTCGTCCCCTGATATGATGAGATGCAACACCTTCACATCTTCTGGGATTTGCACTGGTTGCTATATGCTGTGCTTCAAAAAAATTCGCATCTTATTTTCCAAAGTGTTTTTCAAATAACACAGACCCTTAGGCCTATAACCTGATTTTGATATCCATTTTTTTTCTCAATAATTTATTTTTTGTTAGTGGGGGTTCCAGACAGGGTCGGTGGTAATAAAAAAATCTTTTGTTTTTTTAGGTAGGGAGCCTAAAATAAAGTCATTCCGTTCTGAGAACCAAAGAAAAGAAAGAAAAAAATTTCCTAAGAATTAAAAAAAAAAATAGAAATGGCAGTCAGAGATAACTATAGTAAAGACTCAGTTTTTGAATTAAAATAAACCACCTGGTCGATTTATCTTAAAGATTTCTTTTTTGTCTTGTTTGCATTGGGAACAGATAACGGGTCTTCTCGTACAAGACTACTCTAAGAGACCAAGCCACTGGGCGTCTGTCAAGTCATTGTCTGATTGGTTGAAAGAGGAGGGTGTGCCAGCACTCTACGGCATTGACACAAGGATGTTGACCAAGAAAATCCGAGATACGGTAAGATAATTACGGCGCTCTTTGAGTGCCATGCACTTATTTAGATACTGAGATAACTTGTCACGTCATAATGACATAGCGTGGAAAGTAAGGCAACTTAATTACATAAATTATCACGAAAAATCGTCGTCTCGACATTTCGGCAATTTAACTTGACGAGATAAAAGAGCTTGACAAGTTGTCATCTAGACTTTGGGAGGTTGAGTTGGTGAGATAAAATATCTGACAAGTTGTCAAGTTGAGTTTTGGAAGTCGACTTGGCGGGATAACTTATGCGATTAAGTTTCCTTACTTGTCTGCAATATGTCAGCATGAAGTGACAAATTATCTCAGTCTCAATCAATTGTAGTGACCATCTCTGCCCTCACAGGTACCCATTCAATCCTGGATTGGGAGTAGGGTCTTTCCATAAATTTGGGGCCCAATTTTTGGTGTCCTTTTCCCATCTGACATGTATAAGATTTTCTAATTCAGGACACACTCTTTAATGCCTTCTATCTCAAGAGTGATTACATAAAGCAAAGTACCTGCCAAACAAATAGAACAGGTCGGGTGTAACAGGGACACCAAATAAGTCACATTTTGAACCCCAAACTTATGGAATGACCCAGAAGCCATTAGTGACGAAGTATCTTGACGAAGGAGACATGCAGAACAACTCCAGGCTGGACTGGAATCAACAATTACCCGCAGATCATGAGTTGGATAGTTTACTGGGTATGCTGGGATGAGAATGGATCACAGTATACCCCAAGAAGTGTTACTCCACTAGTCTAGTGACTGTTGTTTTTAGGCTCTGTGAATAAGGCTTTGAGAATGAAAATTTAGATCCTGCCATGTGAGACAGTACCTATGTCCTTGGGCAAGGCAGTTTACCACACTTCTCCCCATCTGTGGGTGCAGTCATTTTACACATAGGTTGTTAAATTTTAGAGCACCCATCACTACTACACTCTGGCGTAGATTTGTTAATTTTGCAAGATTTCTGTATTTCAGGGAACCATTCTTGGCAAGATTGAATTTAATGATCAGCCCATTGACTTTGTGGATCACAACGCAAGGAATCTGATGAGCGAGGTGTCAACGACGGAGACCCAAATCTTTGGCAAGGGTAACCCCCACAAGGTCATTGCCATTGACTACGGAATCAAGAACAACATCATTCGCAGCCTTGTGAAGGTATGTTACCTATCACACACTGTTGGTGGGGAAATGTATGCCTTCTGCAACATATGTTGCTGTGAGTGTGACATTTTCCGATTTTTCAACAGGTTTCAATTTTGAATGTTGGCATCTCTGCTCTATGAATCACAGACTCATTGGTAGTATTGCGCATGCCTATTAAAGTGAGGATTATAAACATTCAACCAATAAAAGGGTAAAGGGACCAGATTTTGAAGGCGTCCAGATTCATGTGACACCAGGAAAAAAGTGTTAAAAACCAGTTGGTGTTTTATCAACCGTTTAAAACCACCCACGTGACAGGCTTTCGACCAATAGGAATGGGAATACTGTTTTGGGTGTTTATGAATCCTGCATTAAACCTACACAAACAATTTGTATGATCAATATGCATTTACAACATCTCACAGATCAAGTAATAGGACCTAATCTGTCAGGTTCCAAACAGTCAACTACTCTAACTGTCATTGAGCATGCAAGGCTCAGTGTCTTTGCAACAAACTCTCGTTTGTAATTCCTGTTTGAATTTATTATATTTTGTTCCATGGGTTTATACGAGTAGCCAAGTGATGCTATTATGGGGTTTTTTTGTTTTCTAGAGAGGTGCAGAAGTTCACTTGGTTCCTTGGGACTATGATGTGAGTAAAGACACTTACGATGGTCTCTTCTTATCCAATGGACCTGGTGACCCAGCCCTAGCAACAGCGGCCATTGAAAATCTCAGGAAGGTACAACTTTTATTTAATTAACTACCTGATTACAAAGTGACCAAATTTCTTGAAAGCAAAAATGTGTTTTTAAGAAGGAATCGGTAAGATAAAGAGTTACGGTAGCACCATGTGACATATCTCTTTTTGTGAGGTTCTGAAAAGAAGTGGGGGAAACTCAACATTTCAGACAGAATGCTCTGCCCATCGTCAAGGGATTCCAACGGGATAATCTAAAGGGATTCGAATGGTGAAGGGAGGTCAGTATGTCGGGAAGAGCATACTGTCGGAAAAGTCGAGTTTCCCCAGTTCTTTTCAGAACCCCACAAACTCACAAAGAGATTTGTCACATGGTGGTGCTACCGTTAACTTTATCTTATTGCTACCTTCACCATGCAAACCTTCAAATCTTATGGAGGAATCTTTTTGTGTGTTTAATTTCTTTAAAGAATGTGAAGCAAACTTTCTATCTAATTATATGCAAACTTTAGGAATGGAAGGTCAATATACATGTAACACAAAAGATTTATTTGACCTGTCCTGATTGATTGAGTACATAAATCAATATGATCAACGTGTGATTTTACTGTGTATTAGCTGATGGTTAAACATGAATGTAGATTTTAACCCTAATCATCCCACAGCCTTTAAAGTAAAAATCCACATTAATAGTGATAGTGGAGGAATTTGCAGTAAGATTGAACTCGGCACTATGGACTCTGTGCATGAAGAGAAGCATTGTGAGCATATTCGAGAGCCCCCTTGGGCGGGACGCACTGCATGCGGCATGTAGTATGGACTCATTTGATTTTGAACTGCACAAACGCATAGCGTCCTTCCGTGAGTATCAGGCTTTATCGACAATGCATTCAAATGTTTCTCCCAGTGGTCTCCCCCACCTCTCCCTTTGTGACCGTTGAGGGGGTACTTGTGCATGGAGTCCATAAGAGTACAAAAACCGTCATCAAGCTGCTGTACATTGGTAGATATGGAAGATTCAAGAAGGTGCCCAGCAAAAATGTCAATGGAGCGACAGGCTTCTGCCCAGTAAGAGATGGCAAGGCTTGCCTGATGACATATGGTCTCGTTTTCCCGCAGGTGATAGAGCAAGACAAGCCCAAGCCAGTCTTTGGCATATGTATGGGTAATCAGCTGACAGCATTAGCAGCGGGGGCCAAGTCCTACAAACTGGCCCTGGGGAACAGGTAATGGCCCCATTTTTTGACAGTGATGTCAAATTGTTTTTATGCCCCGCGGCGAAGCCGAAGGGGCATACTGTTTCCGCCTTGTCCTTCCGTGGGTGGGTGGGTGGGTGGGTGGGTGGGTGGGTGGGTGGGTGGGTGGGTGGGTGGGTGGGTGGGTGGGTGGGTGGGTGGGTGGGTGGGTGGGTGGGTGGGTGGGTGGGTGGGTGGGTGGGTGGGTGGTGGGTGGTGGGTGGGTGGGTGGGTGGGTGGGTGGGTGGGTGGGTGGGTGGGGTGGTGGGTGGGTGGGTGGGTGGGTGGGTGGGTGGGTGGGTGGGTGGGTGGGTGGGTGGGTGGGGGTGGGTGGGTGGGTGGGTGGGTGGGTGGGTGGGTGGGTGGGTGGGTGGGTGGGTGGGTGGGTGGGTGGGTGGGTGGGTGGGTGGGTGGGTGGGTGGGTGGGTGGGTGGGTGGGTGGGTGGGTGGGTGGGTGGGTGGGTGGGTGGGTGGGTGGGTGGGTGGGTGGGTGGGTGGGTGGGTGGGTGGGTGGGTGGGTGGGTGGGTGGGTGGGTGGGTGGGTGGGTGGGTGGGTGGGTGGTGGTGGGTGGGTGGGTGGGTGGGTGGGTGGGTGTGGGTGGGTGGGTGGGTGGGTGGGTGGGTGGGTGGGTGGGTGGGTGGGTGGGTGGGTGGGTGGTGTGGGTGGGTGGGTGGGTGGGTGGGTGGGTGGTGGGTGGGTGGGTGGGTGGGTGGGTGGGTGGGTGGGTGGTGGGTGGGTGGGTGGGTGGGTGGGTGGGTGGGTGGGTGGGTGGGTGGGTGGGTGGGTGGGTGGGTGGTGGGTGGGTGGGTGGGTGGGTGGGTGGGTGGGTGGGTGGGTGGTGGGTGGGTGGGTGGGTGGGTGGGTGGGTGGGTGGGTGGGTGGGTGGGTGGGTGTGTCCGGAAAAATCTTGTCAGCGCGATAACTTGAGAAATACTTAACATATGAACTTCAAATTTGGTTTGTGGATTGTCCTTGGTAATCCTAAGAAGCCTTTTGCATTTGGGGCCGAGAGGTCAAGGGTCAAGGTCACAGTGGCTGAAACAATAGAAATTTTGTCAGCGCGATAACTTGAGAAATACTTAACATATGAACTTCAAATTTGGTTTGTGGATTGTCCTTGGTAATCCTTAGAAGCCTTTTGCATTTGGGGCCGAAAGGTCAAGGGTCAAGGTCACAGTGGCTGAAACAATAGAAATTTTGTCAGCGCGATAACTTGAGAAATACTTTACATATGAACTTCAAATTTGGTTTGTGGATTGTCCTTGGCAATTCTAAGAAGCCTTTTACATTACGGGCCAAAAGGTCAAGGGTCAAGGTCACAGTGACTAAAACAAAAGAAATTTTGTCAGCGCGATAACTTGAGAAATACTTTACATATGAACTTCAAATTTGGTTTGTGTATTGTTCTTGGTAATCCTAAGAAGCCTATTGCATTTGGGGCCGAAAGGTCAAGGGTCAAGGTCACAGTGGCTGAAACAATAGAAATTTTGTCAGCACGATAACTTGAGATATACTTTACATATGAACTTCAAATTTGGTTTGTGGATTGTCCTTGGCAATCCTAAGAAGCCTTTTGCATTTGGGGCCAAAAGGTCAAGGGTCAAGGTCACAGTGGCAAAAACAAAAGAAATTTTGTCAGCGCGATAACTTGAGATATACTTTACATATGAACTTCAGATTTGGTTTGTGGATTGTCCTTGGCAATCCTAAGGAGCCTATCGCATTGGGGGTCGAAAGGTCAAGGGTCAAGGTCACAGTGGCTAAAACAATAGAAATCTTGTATTTATTCTGAGATCATAGGGATTAGGGATTAATTCATATAAAACCTACAGAAGACACTAATGCTGTCAAATGAACGTTCCATTTGACCAAGGTACATGTAATTTGATGTTAGAGTGGTGTTATGTCATGGAAACAGTCACGGTTGCGGGGCATTTGTGTTTGTAAACACACCTGACTTGTTTAATGTAGGTACTAGTTTAACATGTACCGTGTATGTTTGAAGTGCCTAGATGTTATAATGTCATTACGGTTCATCATTAACCCTTTAGTCACTGTAGCGCCTGAAACCACCCTGCCTATTACTCCTGTAGCGCTCGAAACCCTCCATCACTCTATGGTTTTATTTATTTTTCAGTGAATAAACACAATGTAATACAGTGTAGTAGTGGTGCTAATGAGTTAATTTGAGCACAATGCTAGCTGCCCAGGCAAGGTTAAACAATGTATTCAATGATAGGAGGGTAAACAATCTTAACTCTACTTTTGACAAACAAAACATCAATCTGATGGACAGTGCCATCTGTAAATTCAAAGAATGCGTGTTTTGGAAGACAAGTTGAACAAGTCATTTTTAAAACTTTTTATTTTGTTACTTGCAGGGGTCACAATCAGCCTGTCCTCAACATGATCAGTGGCCAAGCATTCATCACATCCAGAATCATGGCTATGCCATTGACGAAGCCTCTCTACCCAAAGAGTGGAAACCAATCTTTGTCAATGCTAATGACCACAGTAATGAGGTAAGGCACCATTTCAAGGCTTTGAATGTCCGACTTAACCAGTTCACGCCGAGATTATTTGGACAAGAACGGAATAAGGCGCAGGATTACTTTTCACTCGACCTCAAGCCAGGTGGGTAGAAGCCATCACCCTCGGGCAGCACACTCATATTTCTGGCCTCACTTGCTGGGAGCGGGTTGCCGACATATTGTGTATATGCATGTAAAGCGTGTATACACGGCCTCCGGCGCGAACTGGTTAAAGGTATTATACGACATTTGCAAACATCAAAGCACAAAACTACCATATTAGTATGAAATATCTTACTTGACCGTAAGTGAATAATAGTCTCAAGCATCCTGTGAAATCACGGCATGGTGTGGTGTTATTTCCCCAACCATGGTTGGAAAAAACTTAATTTCTTCAAATACTGCCCCCAATAAACCAACTTTAGTTAGTCCACATTTTGTTTGCAATTGGTTACACATCTCTGAACGGGTGCAAGCCAGCAGTCTGATTTTCTGACCTTACAATTCCCCGACATCTATAAATTGCTCTGTTTCGTCTGAAGTATGGTCAGGGAACCAGACTACAAGAACAGCACTTTTTCTTGGTTTTCAGGCATCTATGAACACAAAACTTTGAGCTTTTAAGCGCAAAAATCTGAAAGCTTTGGGTGGCACTATGTTATAATTTGTTTTTTTTATGCTCCAAATTTGGTGTAAACATAATATCAATCCTTCTAAGACTTGCAACATTATTTTAAATTTCATTTTGACGCAGCTCAACTGAGAAATAATTGAGGAATTGCTTGGTCTTTCTTATTGACCTGATTTCAGGGCATTATGCATGACAGTAAGCCCATCTTCACAGCCCAGTTTCATCCAGAGCACAAGGGAGGTCCTACTGATACTGAGGTAAAAGATTTGATATAGTCACTCAATTTCCTTAAGCATCTCATGTTCAGGGCTGAGATTTGTCAGGCTTTGTCCTGATATCTGGAATTTAACCTAACCGCCCTGAATCCTTCAAAATCCTCTTTGCCAAAGTGGAGGAATTTGGAGGATTGAGGTTACATGGCAAAAGTGCATTACTGATTTCGTAGGATGCACTTTGTCAAGGTCTTGGGCCGGACTTTGTGTTGTTTTTGCTCAGCCATGCATAAATATAGGCCTGGATTATGCTTAAAATCCTCCGTACTGCTTCAAGATGTAACTGGCTCTGCCTCAACGTATTGACAGTCACTGCCGCAGGATTTTGCAGGATTCAGGCAGTGGTCACCCCTCCACGGACCATATTTAAGAAATAATGCAGGAATTTGCAGGATTGAGGCTATATGCTATTTTTTCATGAGGCCAATTGGAGGATTTTGCAGGATTGAGGCTACATCCTCAAAAAGGCCTAGGAAGTTAGGGTTAAAGAATCCCTTTTGAAATCTGAAATCCTGAGATTTACTGTAATAGGTGTTTTTACCTATAAACGTTTTTATAAAACAAAAGAAATTGGCATTTTAGGGATGCCTGTAGGCAAATTTATGCAAACATAACATGGACCCTATGTTGCTCTGGAGCTCTTGGCGACCATCAATGATCAAACCCTCTTCCAATTATTGCATGGATTCTTCATTTTCTTCCAGTGTCACCCCTGCATATAAGATCCTGTGTAGAGCAGTGGCTAGAAGCTGTGGAATCCTGTGTCCAAAATGTTAGGGAGACTTCTTCTCATTCTTGTTCAAGCTTTTAAGAAATGTGGATTCAAGCGTAACCAGCAACAAAGTGCTTGGATGTGGGGTTTTACCACAGCAACAAGAGTGTTATTGAAATCTGTAAGGGCATATATTAATTGTGTTTATTGTTGATTACAACTAGAAAAGTCTAAGGCAACTCATTAAGTGTATACTCCTCAGGGAGTCTGACTTCGTTTTTTTAGGTATCAAAAATCATGTGTACCCTGCGGACTCACAATGAGCACGTTGTCTTTTCGTAGCAACTTGTGAAGCCGTAATGAACAGGTGCTTTTGCTAGACGATTTCAACTCACTCAAACTTACCATTGTTCCAATTTTTTTTTGGATTTTTGCATTAACCTCCAGTTATGTTGCTTTTTTTGACAGTTTATGTTTGATACATTCATGGAGCTTGTGAAGAGCGGTCAGAGCGACATCAAAGCTGCCATTAGCCCAGTATTCCCAACACCAGAACGACTTACAGTAAGTCTGTACTAAATTCCTCAGCTATACGGATAAAGTACATATATTGACTAGTAACTGTTAACATTTCATGTGATTTGTGTGAAATTTTAGACAAGTTATGTCTACTTCAATACAAAAAACACAACATTCAGCTGTCCACCAATGATAGTTTACTGTTAAAATGCAATGAAACAAGGGCATTTTCCTGCCTTCTTGAATGAACGAAACTTTGCATAGGAAAACAGACAAAAATCACCAATATTATTTCAGAAACAAAATTCCTCATATTTGAAACACAAAATCTGAGATTCAAAATAATGTTTCAATCTTGACAACAATTTTAAAAATCTCATTTGTATCTGATTGCCTGTTTGCAGTCTCTGGTTCTCACTCGGCTCAATAGCTTCACATGACATTCCAAGGACAGCTGTAAAAATGGATTCTTTTAGCAAAACTTCTCACAAAATGGATCACTTTCTGTTATTTCTTTTTTCAAATGAGTGGAAGACCATGCTCGTTTAATTCATGCTTCGTTGGTGTGTAAAATTTAATTGGTTTTATGGGGGGGAAAATAATCCAGGGGCTGATTTCACGAAGCTTGTCTTATCCTGCGATTCATCTTAGGGCATAAGACAAGTCCCTGCTCTAAGATAGATCTTAGCTAAGACATCCTCAGACTGATTTCACTAAACCCATCTTAAGCAAGACTCATCAAAACTACCAAATTGATTGCTGTTTGTGGTTTGTTTTTACTACTTGACGAAACAGTCGTTGAAAAGAAATGCGCAAAACCAACTTCCCATGCACATGCATAGAACATGAACTTTCGCCAGACGAAAAATTACTTTACTCAATAGATTTCACACGCAAGGTAATTCTACTTGCTCCTGATCTTCACTGTATTATAAAAAGCCAACTAGGTGTCGGCGTATGATTAAATTTTGTAAACAAGTTATTATATTAAAACTGCCTACGTATCAGAAATCTGTTCAAATCTGTTTCTACGGCAGTTTTCTTCCTCGAAACTACCGGTAAAACTCTAGGCCGACACTCGTCTTTTATGGCAATGATTTCTAGAAGATATACAAATTTATGCACGCATAAGACTGCCCTCAGACTAATCTTAAGTTAAGACGAGTTCAGCCGCGTTGCTAAGGAAGTAAGGACGTGTTGAATGCGTCTTAAGTTTGGTGAAATTGATCCTAGCACGAGTTGCGAATTAAGACCAGCTACCCTTCCTAAGATGCTTCTTAGCATTTAGTGACAACGGCCCTTGGTCACTTTCTTTTTGACTTACCCTGAATAGTCAAACAAAAAATAATCAGGTTGCTGGCTTTCCTGGCACAGTGCCTGAAAAGACTGTTTGATTATCTCAATCACTCATAAGACAAGATGATGATTCTTACATATGCAGCATACGTCCTTAAAATGTGAGGACAATGTATGATTTTAGTAAAACTAAAGAGGAAAATATTGATTGTATTTGTGATAAACTCAATTTGAGGTAACATAGCTCATAATGAAAGTGCAATGTATTCATAACTGCTGACAAAGAAATTTATCATTTGAATTGAATTGATTTAATACTTTCTTCTTTCTTTCTGTAGGTTTCCAAGGTTCTGGTGTTAGGATCAGGAGGTTTGTCTATCGGTCAAGCTGGTGAGTTTGACTATGCTGGATCACAAGCCATCAAAGCTCTCAAGGCAAGTCAAGAGATTAAATCATCTTTGTCATTTTGTAAATGGATTTTCCTATAAGACCTACCCCTTGACCATGTCACATTTGTTTACAAAATTGGGTGTTGTGGTTACGTGATGCCCAACAAACTGTTCTCTTCTGCACCACATGTATATCTCTTGAAATATGAGTGGTTTAAAAGTGTTGACATAAACTGTTTAATGTGAGCAAAAGAAAATACAAAAGATGCTTCAATGTTTGGGTTGCCTGTCAGTTGGACATCTCAGGTGACATGGTATTTAGGTTAACCATTCAAACCCCCACCCCAGAAGTTGACATCCCTTTATAGGTGCTGCCAAACAATAGCTACTTCATACTTTGCGAAAGGACATAACAAAACTAGTTTTTATGTGCACGCTTCGAGTATGAATTTTTCTGTGAATAAACATGTAGGATGCTTCTAAATGTACTTTATGTTGTACCGTACAAAAAGTAAAGAAGGATTGATGATTAATGGCTGGACAGTACAGGGTGTCTCCAAAAAAATGTAGCATTCAATCCATCAATATTAAAAATACTAGCACTCTCTTTTTACAAAACATATCTATAGAGTCTGAAGGTGTAGTAAATACTCTACACAATGGTCTTTGTCCCATCTCATTTCGACGCCCTAGTCCAAAGATACAGCTAAATATAAAATGAAATGACTTGAATTCCAAGTTGGGCCACTTGGTATCTAGTGAAAGGCATTCACATACCAAGAAGATGAAGAAAGTGGCCAAAACAGATTTTGACAGTGTTTACAAGCTTTACTGTAACTTTTAAACAAAAGGTCCAAATCACACAGAACAAAAATCCTGTCAAGGGTAAAGAAACGCTTGTATCATCTCATGGTAATTTTTTTTTACAAAAAAAAAACTGATTTAGTTTCCTCAGAAAAAAGTGTTGTTCGACTGCTACAGTTATTTGTTTTTAAATATGAGTGTAACATAGAGGTTGACAATTTAGTTAAAAAGTGGCCGTTTTTTAGGTGAGCACTTAGTGGCGGTTTCATTTGATGTGGTTGAAATATGTCGCATTTCCTACTACAGGAAGAGAACATCCAGACAGTATTAATGAACCCCAACATCGCCTCAGTCCAGACCAATGAGTACGGTGAGAAACAGGCCGACAACGTCTACTTTGTTCCCATCACTCCTGAGTATGTCATCGATGTCATCAAGCGTGAGAAGCCTGATGGAATACTGCTATCTATGGGAGGCCAGACAGCACTGAATTGTGGAGTAGCGTTATTCAAGCAGGGTATATTCAAGGAGTATGGAGTCAAGGTAAATGGACTGGCTATGGGTGAAAGTGAAGCCAATTCTATTGAGCTGTTGGGCACAGAAATGAGCAAAGCACATAAATATGTTTTCTGTAGCCAAAAAAGTAAATGAAATGTTGAAAATCACAAATTACAGGATGTCAGCCGATTTGTATTAATACATAAATTTGCAAAGCAATGCCCCCCCCCCCAAAAAAATTGTCTTTTACTGAACAAAGTCTATTTGGAATATGTTACAGTTAGTGAAAATTGGAGTCGCCCACCACCCTTCCCAACAAAAAAATGAAAATCAGGTCCTCCAAACTTTATAGCTTTAATAATGTCAGTCATTCATTTAAGTTATAAATTTATTTTAGTTGTCAGTTTGGAACTATGCTTTTGGGGACAAACGACACCTTCAGTTTTATTTGTGACACAAGTTTTCTCTCCGCATTGGGTATATAATGTTAATAATTATACTCTCAGATATGACAGACAAATGATTGTTTTTCAAAGTAACATCCCAAATACACATTCATTCTGTATCTGGGGTGGGTGTGGTTTCTCTTCATAGCATGATCATGCTGCCTTTTTGTAAACAGAAACAAACGTCCCACAATACAAATTATCAACACTTTTGAGTTGGATGGTCAAGTTTTGAAAGTTAAGATTAAGATTTAAAACTTATTTACTCTTGGTTTACAAGAACTGTCTGCAAAAAGTCTTGTTTTGAAAGAAGTATTAAGTTGTGTTGGTTGTTATGCAGGTCCTCGGAACTTCAATAGAATCCATCATGGCCACTGAAGACAGACAGACATTTAATGACAAATTGAAAGAAATTGGAGAGAAGATTGCCCACAGTTTTGCTGTTGAGTCGGTAAGTATTAAATGTGCTTTGAACTCATGCAGAGCACTATATTTGAGTGTTGAAAATCATTGTTGGACAAAAGTGCTGTATCCTCCCTGTGCTCACACATAGGTGTGTTACTTCTTCATTCAACTGCAATTTGGTCATGAAGAATCCTGGCAATTTGCTCATATGACCGCAGCTGATTTCACGAAACAGTGCGTAACTTACGCCATACGTAGGACTTAAGGCAACAAATTTGCGCAGCTGCCCAAAAAGCTCTATGATAAATTTCATGAAAATTGTTGCGCATCATTTTATATAATCGAAACATTTTGGATGAGGATAATAACAGTTTTTACAACAACTGTTTGCGTATGATTTTGTTTGGTCACAAAACAGTACTTGAGTCACCCCTGCCCGCCATTTTGAAAATAGTTTTGTCTGACTTTCTTCCGATCTTGCGGCAACTCTAAACCAGTTTCATGAGTCAAATAACAATTAATTTACCCCAAACACTAAGCTGTGAGTGTCTTGTATCAACCTTCATAACTTGGACAACAGCAGGCTCCACGACAATCATGAATTGCTTGTAAAATTTTTCTTTTCATTTTCAGTCCCTATGCCGCCACAGCTTGCGCCACCTACAATGATTGCAAAAGTTACGCCATAATTTGTTGCGCAAGTTGCGGACATACGCACTTTGAATATTTCATGAAATGTGTCTTTACTGAAATGTAATTGTGAAATCGGCTGCCGATGTGCTCATCATTTGTTCCTCTTTCATTCTTATTAATAGACCACTTTGCTACCGTTCTCTTTAAGAGTCTATTATGGCTAAACAATTCCCTTTCAGGTTGAAGAGGCTTTGGACGCTGCTGATAAGATTGGCTACCCGGTCATGGTGAGAGCTGCATATGCATTGGGTGGATTGGGGTCAGGGGTCGCCAAGGATAAAGAAAAACTCAACGAGATTGCTACACAGGTAAGCCAATTAGGGGTGTTACTTTGGAATATTCATATGGGGTCAGAAAACAACACAAATCACTCACATTGATTTAATCTTTGAAACCCCATGGGAAAAATGTTGATAATGGTGGATTGATATATGACATTTGTTGTTGTTTTTAAGGCCTTGGCATTGTCAACTCAGCTCCTGATTGAGAAGTCACTGCTTGGTTGGAAGGAGGTTGAGTACGAGGTAGTGAGGGATGCTGCCAATAACTGCATCACTGTCTGCAACATGGAAAACTTTGATCCACTTGGTGTACACACAGGTTGGGACCCCCCCCCCACCCCCCCCAAAAAAAATATTCATCCCCTCCCCTCCCCTCCCCCAATCATCCCCCCATCATTCCCCCCCCCCCCAAAAAAAATATTCATCCCCTTCCCCCCCCCCCATCATTCCATCCACCCATCAACAAAACATTGACCCATCCCACATCGTGTCCATGGAACTTAATATAAACAAAACTGAAACCAGGATTTGGGGTTAAATATTTTGTCAAATTTGTTCGATAACAAGTGTATTTGCAATGGTTTAAGTTAGAATTTGCCTATTCTGCTTTTTTAGCCAACTTTATGTTACAATAGTGACACGATCCTGTTAATGTTGATCCTCAAAAAAATAAAACGTTTACTTTCGAACAATTTCGAAAGTTGTTGCCTATGTGCATACGAGGGCCCTTGATAATTGAAAATGCAAAACTTAATTGTAACTCTGAGATATATGGCACCATTTCTGTCACAGCGACATAATTGACCTATCGAGGTAGATTTGCGTCAACGCAGCTTGTGCAATATTATCCAACTACATGATATACAAATGGACGCGGAACGTGCAAAATCTGAGACAAACAATGGGTCCCCCACTTTTGGATTTGAAAAATGTGGACACTGCTATTTATTCATGTTCATTTAATAGGCGGACCTGTTAAGCCCCAGCCGATCATGTTATGAGCTATGATTAATGTCTGACAATAGTCTGACATGCACAGACTAATGCTTGATGTGTGCATCTGGAATATGCAGTGTGGCATTGGAGCGGCACATGTGGTGTTGCCCATGTGCACAGTGGGCGGGGCCTAATGGATAGATCTATTGTCATGTACACTTTAACTGTTTATAAGGCATGATCTTTTGAGCTATGTGAACCAGTTGGCATGTGAACCAATTGGCTAGTGAACCAATTAGCTAGTGAACCAGTTGGCATGTGAACCAGTTGGCATGTGAACCAGTTGGCATGTGAACCAGTTGGCATGTGAACCAATTGGCTAGTGAACCAATCAGCTAGTGAACCAGTTGGCATGTGAACCAGTTGGCGTGTGAACCAATTAGCTAGTAAACCAGTTGTCATGTGAACCAGTTGGCATGTGAACCAGTTGGCATGTGAACCAGTTAGCGATTGAACCAATTGGCTAGTGAACCAGTGGGCATGTGAACCAGTTGGCATGTGAACCAGTTGGCATGTGAACCAGTTGGCATGTCCACTCAATGATGTAGGAAAAGCCTTTACTTTTTAGTACCCACATCCATTCATTTACACAACCCATCAGCCATATTTCTGGTTGCTTCAAATTTGGTGCTTTTGAATTTTAATATTCTGATGATGTATTTCTTCCTAAACAGGTGATTCTATTGTCGTGGCCCCCAGCCAGACTTTATCCAACCAGGAATATCACATGTTGCGTGAGACTGCTCTGAAGGTAGTCCGTCATCTCGGTATCGTTGGGGAATGTAACATCCAGTATGCTCTGCATCCCTCCTCCTTGGATTACTGCATCATTGAAGTCAACGCTAGGCTGTCTCGCAGCTCAGCATTAGCATCAAAGGCAACAGGGTTTGTCTAACTATTGATTTGTAACCAATGTAATTGTTATACGATGGTGAAGTTTCATGGGTTGAGTACTGTTTACGTAACATTAGTTCATGTATGATGACCTGATGACCTGATGCAGAGTACATCGCCTCATGTTACCCGGGTTCATGAGCTCTATTGTTCTCAAAAACTATTGGACATTTTCATCCCCCCTGCTTAGTACAGCGAAGCTAGAATAGATCCTGCTCATAAAGAAAATAAATAAAGTAGGTGATGTACCTGGACATGTTCGTGTTGACGTAGATCTGCATTACAGACATTATTTAAGAGAGAAGCATTGAATTGCACAGAGCTGTCAAAGCACATAAATTCTGTCTAAGAGACATACATGAAATATTCATTACTGTATTGTTACTTCATAAAAGACATGAAAAGTTATAAAGAATGATACCATGGTATAACTAAACAATTGTTGTCTGTTGTGATATAGTTAATGGGTTTTTTACGCATCCACTCAGTGCTGTTTGCATCCCACGGATGTACACAACTCTGTGAATTTCAACATAGCAGACAACATTTCTGTAAGCATTTGTATTTTGTAGCAGAACAAAAGCTTTCACAAAGACTTAACACAGAATGCGGTATCTGAAAACATGCTATTAGTTATATAAATGAGTGTTAAAATGATAGAATTGTTGTACTTTGTAGTATTTGATATTAGTCAACCCCCCCCCCCCCCAAGTTGCTTACCCAGACCATGTTCCCCTGCAGGTATCCGTTGGCTTTCATTGCTGCAAAGTTAGCGTTGGGTATCCCACTACCGCAGATCCGCAATGCTACCACCCAATCCACCACAGCATGCTTTGAGCCTAGCTTGGATTACATTGTGACGAAGATACCACGCTGGGACCTGGATCGCTTCCATCAGACATCCAGTGTCATTGGTAGCGGCATGAAGAGTGTTGGGGAGGTAAGCATCACACTGTCGCTGCCACTTTTCAACAGACTTCTATAAGTCATTACTCAGACTCAATTTTATCTTGAATTAAACATTAGAGGACGCTGACTTGAGTTTAAACTCAACCCTTTGGACTGAGATACTAGGATTGGACTTTGACTAAGATGTAAACAGACAAGACTGAGACTGGTGACTCAGACTTAGTTACATTGAGCAGGCCTCACAACGAAACCTATAACATCTATACAAACCTATATTTCAACTGTGAGGCCTGCATTCAGTAGACTTGGACTGGGACTCGACCAAAGCCAAATTTCATGGCTCTGTGTACAGTCAGCGAAAAATCCACTCTTACTGTAGCAGAACATTCTGTGCTTACAGTATGCATATTTCACTTAGCAAGGAAGTACAATTTGTAACTAAGGATTCTGTGCTTACTGGGTTAGCACATAATTTTTCTGCTAGCGCTGTCGGCACAGAATGGTGATCGTAAGCGCGGAATTCTGTGGTTAGCAGAGCCATGAAATTGGGCCAGGTTGGACTTAGACTCGGCCTCGTTGACTGACTCACAGTACTCCGTCTTACCTAAACAGAAAAAGGTTGAAGTACTGTACTTTCAAAAACGCTTTTAAAGCAGCAATAAATCTTGTATAGCCTATGCATGTATATATGTAATTTTAATTCTTATGAAATATTTACATGAACTTCCTGCAATCCATAGGTCATGGCCATAGGGCGTACCTTTGAGGAGAGTTTTCAGAAGGCGTTGCGTATGACCCATCCGTCCATTGATGGCTTCTCACCCAAGATGCCCATGGGAAAACCCTTCCCACCCAGTCTGGAGGAAGAGATGATTGTACCATCCAGCTACAGGATTCACATCATTGCAAAGGTAAATCAACAGTTATTCATGCCTACCTATAGACTTCAATATTATTATTATTGTTTTATTAAAAATTGAATTTGTAACCAATGACGAAACTGAGTTAATTTTACAAAAAACTTTTACACATGGAAAGTTGGATTTTTTAATTTAATAGTATTAGCAGAATACTATTCTTTAAACAACTTCTTTTGCTTTTTTTTTAATTGCTTTTTAAACATTTTTCCTGTGTTTGTTTTCTTTTCTAGGCTCTTCATGATGGATACACTGTTGACCAGATCCATGACCTGACGGCCATTGATAAATGGTTCCTACACAAACTGAAACGGGTCACCGACATTGATCAGACATTACTGAAGCTTGACTCGTAAGTCTTGAGAAAAACATCAGGCTGAAATAATAAGCCAGTCCGGTATCTTGATGAAGTAGTCCATGTCAAAGGTCATTCGGGATAAAATCGCTGACGTGATGATATGCGATGTTACGCGGACACCCATTCTGCTTGTAATTAATACGTGAGCATCGTGCGCCTGTCTCCGTGCAGGTTCATGCGCCTTTGATGAGCCTTCGATTATCCCGAATGACCCGTGACCCATATCATTGTGCGCATGCGCAGCTGAAATACCAAACTGGCTTATTCAGAAGGGAGTTTATGTGGTTGGAAGTGTCTATGTCAAATTGCATACTTTTCCTCAACTGGGTTTGAAGTTCGTGAAGTGAACAAGAATAACTTGCCTAGGGTGAGACTTGAACCTCTGACCTGAAGATTACATCATCAGTGGTCTTTTAACTTGAAAACTTTCATTCTTGTAACTAGTCAGTTTCCTTGCAAATATGTTCAAATAATGTGTTGATTTGAAGTCACATCCTCTTATAAATCCACACTTTGGCTTTCCAGGTTCCATCAAATTGGGAAGACCCTTTGCCACGCGGAAACAATTTAAAGATGCGTTCCCCATGCTGTTGTTGAGTTTCACCTCGAGTGGCCTTACAAATGATGCATGGTTGAATTTGTGAAAAACACACTGTTCTTTGCAAAGTTTTAGTGTTGAATATTGCTAAATTTCAGGGACTTTCTCATTTTAGATCCATTCAGAATCACAAATTTGGCAACAACTGAAATTACCTGAAGTATCTGGGTATGACAGAAAACATCAGAATTGTTGAAATGAACGAACTTTCATGCTCGATCAGAATTGTTATTCAACATTTTAAGGCTATTTTTAAAATAACTCATTGAAAACTAGATTTTTGTATAACTCATTTCAGTTCTCACTTTTTGTTTTAAACTCAGGAACTCTGTTTCCTCAGACATGCTCTTGAAAGCCAAGAAAGCTGGTTTCTCTGATCTGCAGATTGGAAGTAGGCTGAAGATTGATGAGACAGACGTCCGTGTACTCAGGGAGAAAAATGCAATCAAACCTTGGGTTAAACAGGTATGGGTCGGCCAGGACAAAAATCCTAACCTTACCCTGCACCTAGGGCATTTAAGCAATGTCCACCCTTCTATGGTCCCCCCCCCCCCCCCCCCCTCCATGAACAATTTGGGCGGAGACAGTTAGTGGACTAGTGATTGATTTCTGACATAAATTACGAATGCGCATTAATAGCAACGTGCAAACACCTCTAGTCGCTAAACGTCTTGGTCCTGGGCCCCCAATGTGCTTTATGATTGGTACTGTTAACCAGTGATATAACTGTGCCCAGACTCCAGTTCCAAATAGTTGACTAGAGTACTCCAACCATCCTGCTTTCGTGTGAAGTTAGTTAAACTATGGTTAAAGGTAGAGGGGACCATTTGCAGCTATCCAAAGATAACTGACCAAATTATTGTTAAAAAGCTTACTTGGTTTAAAGATAGTAATGGCAGTAAACTCCCTGTGAAATTATTCCTTCTGGCATGCTGTCATTTAGAAGAAAACTATAAAAGAAGGTCATTTCCAAAGATATGTCAAGTGACACATTTTTTGGAAATTTTCGTAGTAGTTGGTTTGTAACTGGGCGATTCCATCAATGGGTGTGTTAAAGCGTTGACACGATGCACACGCGTGCGCAGCTGCTATTATTCATCAGTTCAGTGTGTGACATCACGTAGCTACAATCAGCTGAATGAGAATCATGTCCCGAATGCTGATTTTGGGATGGTGTCACAAGTGGGCACAATTCAAAATACGACTTTTGAACTGAAATCGAAATCAAGGATATTGTGTTTTCTCATGATATACAGCAAAGACAGACCTAGAACTTCATTGGGTTTAGTTTAGTTGTTAAGCAACCGTCTTTGAATTTTGAGCGCTTTTGCTGCTTCAAACGAAAACAAAATGCACAAATGACAAACGGTCCATTCTACATGTACCTTTAACACTCAAACTTGCTATGTAACCCATTAGCACATTACACTGTATAATATTGTATTTACTCCTTGATGAATCCAGAAAACCATGGAGTGCTGGTGCAGTTGGGGGCAGTATGAGGAGTAATTGGAAGGGCGCTTTGGGGCAGTACAGGGACGGTACATGGACTAATGGGTTATCACATGCAATATCTGTCACCTGCTGTAGACAACTGTACCATTTGCTTGTCTTGTCTGTGATTTCTTGCCAGATTGACACCATGGCTGCAGAGTACCCAGCTAAGACCAACTATTTGTACTGCTCCTACAATGGCATGGTTAGTACCAGACTGACTTGTCTTCCTTGGCCTGCAGGATTTCAGACCACCATTCCATTTTTGCACGGCCAAGGCAATATATAATAGAAAAAGTCAATTTTTACCCTCTTCTCTGAAAAGTTCTTCAATCATGTATGATTTGATTGAAGGGATGTGCCATTTGCCTGTGTGTTAAAGCAAGGTTTGCAGCAGATGTGAGGTTTTCATCAGAGGCTGCTATTTTGGATTACTACTTTTAAATAACGTTTCTGATAATGGCAGTTGGAGGTGATTCAGTGACTGTTTCGTGGCCAAACAAAATCATACATAAACAGACGTTGAAAGTTTTGTTATTATGCTTGTCCAAACGTATGCCAAAGTCCGTGAAATTGATTGAAAGTTTATTGCACAGCTGCGCAACAAATTTGTTGCGTACATCCTAAGCATGGCATAGTTACGTGAATAGCTGCAGTGAATTCTGAAGTGGATTCAGAAGTGGAGTGGTTTGTTGATGAGGAGTAACAGTTTGATGTATTATGTTGGATTTACCTTTACTGCCGATCACTCTGTATGTTAGGTTTAACATTTACATGAGAAAATGGCTCTTTGAGCTGACAGGTGCTTTACCAAACTAACATCTCACCACTCAACACACGTCAGGATAACCATAATGATATGTTGTGTTTTGATATTTTGTGGTTTTGTCCCTAGGAGCATGACGTCACCTTTGATGACCATGGTACGATGGTGCTAGGATGCGGTCCCTACCACATAGGTAAGTACTCTGTTTTGATAGAAAGCAACATGTCGGGGTGATTGCTGTTACCAGACTAGTTAGCAGCAGTTGGTCGTTGGTTTGGAGTGCAGTTGCTAGTGTTACATGGTGTCTTCTCCACATAGTGTAAATGCAGTCCTGCACTTGCTCAGGAGCAAGTGATGTAAATTGCACGTAATTGATTTTAGGAATTTTCAGGATCCATTTGAACACATTAGCAAAGCATGTTATTTGTGCCCCAGTAGGTGACCATACAATCCTATACACCCACATTCTCTGTGGTCAGACAGGAGAACCAGTGTCCCAATGAACCGAATTCCTGTGATTTGAATTAAGGGGTCCGTGAAATGAATTTTACTCTGGAGCATATTTGTAGCAAATATCTATTCCTGTGAAATGTATAAAAACTACGAGACATCCCTTTTTGGTAAAGATTTTTGAAAAGTCCAATCCGTTTAGATTTTTGGAATATTATAAAACTTGAAATTCCATTCAATCACATACTCAAATTGTCGTTGTTACTGTACAAAGAATTTTAGGTCACAAAGCAATAATGCCTGCAGTGAAATTAGTGCGTAAAATGGCACATTGAAGTAGGTTCATATTTAAGAACAACCATCACATTTAGCAAAAAATGATTCCAACAATGGTTTGGTCAAAAAATTGAAAAATACAGTTCTGGTATCAAAAATGGATATTTCCTTTCTTTTCTTTGCATAGATGTATTTCATGTAAGTAATTTATGTAAAAGAATTGGAAGATGCATTCCCAGTGCTGTTTTCAATTTTCATCCCCCAAAAATAGACTCCTTTTCTAAATTGCTCTTTTCTAGCAATAGACAAAGTTATTCATTTTTAAATGAGACATCCACACACACAAAAACAGCGGCTATCAGCCTGGATGTTTAGTTATCAAATTATTACTTTACAATTTTGAATTACTGGCTACCAGACAATAATTCCTTTCTCACAAGGTTGGCTGGTTCTTTATCAGTCTCCATAATGTGGACCGGGACCCAGTCGGCTTGCAAAGCAGACCGTTTATTCAGAGGGATTTATTGCAGATGTCCAAAAAAGAAAAGGAAAAAAAAACCAAGTGATTTGGTTGGAGTAAAACATACAAATTCAAATTTATTTATAGACAAAAATGTTGAATGTGTTGCAGAGCAAGGGGAACACAACTTTAATTGAATAGTCATTTTTTTACCCTTGTTCTTTCTAAAATCCTGTGTTGTACAACAACCAGAGAGAGATTATTATATAGAGTATCAACATGGTTAGGAAAGGTTTGTTTCCAAAAATTTCTGTAAATCAACACATACACATATACTGCCCTTTATTTGTTCAGGTAGCAGCGTTGAGTTTGACTGGTGTGCAGTGTCCTGCATCCGTTCATTGCGTGAGATGGGCCACAAGACGGTGGTTGTCAACCATAACCCAGAGACTGTCAGCACAGACTTTGATGAGTGTGATCGACTGTACTTTGAGGAGTTATCCAGAGAGCGAGTGCTTGATATATACAGCCATGAGGTAAAATACAGTCACTGTCATCAATAGTCTGTTAGGCCAAATAAAAAAATAGTTTCTCGTCCAGGGGCCAAGATGGCAAATTTTCCACGATGGCAAATGAATTCCTTCATTTTCTCAACTCTTTTGCTGATTCAAAATTGTGTCCAGAGGAGCCGTCATTCTTTCTACATAGCTACAATTTTGGGGGAAAACAAGTATAAAGACAATATATTGGCAATATATTTGCAAAACATATTGCAGATGTATGAATTACAAAAAAGAGGAGGCTGGAAAAAAGGAACCGGGCTGGGAAGAGAAATTGGTTTATTTTTTTAAAATGGCCTTATCATTTAAACAGCTATTCATAAATACCTAAGACAGTTTACGCATTCCTATTGGTCGAGAGCCCGTCACGTGGCCGGTCTTAAATGGATGATAAAGACATGGCTAGCTGGTCTTAAACACTTTTCCAGTGTCACAATAAAATGTGGATTCCTAAAAATCCAGTGCCTCTTATCGTTTCATTGGTTGAACGTTCACAATCCTCACGTAGGCATGCGCAACACTACCAGGGAGTCAGAATTTTAAAGTTCTAAATTCAAAACGCAACGCGCCAGGTGCGTTCTGCGCGACATCACGCAGAACATGATACGCGCGCGTCAATCTCCATAAAAGGGTTGTTTACATCTTACTCGCCAGCTGAACACTCCATTATTTTGCAAGAGGGATGTTTCAAAAAGCATAAAGTGAATTTGTTGAACAAAATCGGGATGTTTTGAACGAATTATATGATTTTTTCTTACCGAAAAGGTATTTATGAATGGGAATAAATATGTGCTGCGTCGGTATTTATCACTCTGTTTAAGACCACTTAGAGTCTGGGTGCTGATAATTACCCTCGCCTCGGGCTCGGGTAATTATCAGCACCCAGACTCTAAGTGGTCTTAAACAGAGTGATAAAAACCTCCGAAGCACACATTTTTCCCTTAGTAAGAAGCAATTAGTCACCCCAATACATGTTTAAATCTCAGCAATTTTTCGAAGCAATGTTTCCATGGTGATCATTTCAGCGAGACCAAAGCTGATGTCAGCTTGTGTTGTCCCCCGTAATTCGTTTCTTTTGTGTGCAAAAAGAAATCAATTGTTTGCTACTCAGCATTGTGAATGCATTATATTTAGTGCCAAAAATGTTTACTTTCTTATCTCGGGGAAAGGCATCATCTTCAGATCTGTTTATTGCAACTCATGTGTTTCCTGGCAGGATTTATGTTGACATTAATGTACGTTAAGCCCTAGCACCACCTGCTACTGACACTGTAGATGTTAATATCTTGATCCTTAAGTTAACATACAGTTTGCCCTTGCAGTAATTTACATTTGGCCAACGTGTGTATAGGCTTACTTTTGTGTGTTCCAACAATCTTTAAAAAAAAAAACATGTTCAATTTTTTCACAAATACATGATGTTTTGCAGTTCCCCCTTGATAAAGTCATTGCTATAGTTCATGTAATATTTCCTTTAAGAATCTGAAGCCCCTACTCGTTGTGTTAATCAGGTTTTTTCCAAGTAAAATTTTCTTGATTTTTTGTTCAGAAAAGTACGGGTGTGATCGTATCAGTTGGGGGTCAGATCCCCAATAACTTGGCTCTGCCTCTGTGGAATGATGGCATCAATATACTGGGGACAAGCCCTGTGCAAATCAACAAAGCTGAAGAAAGGTAGGGTATTCAACAACTGCATTTCAAACAATGCAGTCACATCAGTACGCAATTTCAATAAATTTGTTAAACCATGGAACCGTGGTCAGAGTGATTTTAGCGTGTGTTCTTTGCTAGCGCTTTTCTTCAAAATGGTACAATGGATATACATGAAACTTCACCAAATATGTCCAAAATACCAACCTGTTAACATTTGCACTTGTTTTGATAATTGTTACATGTTTTTGATATTTTCCTTAATTTGGGTCCAGATCATTCTGACTCGCCCTGTATAGAAGGCTTACAAAAAGAAAACAAAGGCAAAGCTTCTAGAAGCCTTACCTTAATGATTGAAATTTGGAAAGTAGAGAAACATTATCCAACGTCTGAAAAGATGTGAATGCTTGTTTAAAATCCAGACGCATTGAAATGTATTGTGGCATTGCTCCTCCATTGGCAGGTCCTTGTTTTCAGCCATTTTGGATGACATCAACGTGAGTCAGGCACCCTGGAGGGCACTCTCCTCATTGGTAAGTACTGTCTAGAAGGGGGTTATCAAGAGTATTCACTGGATTCCAAGTACCAGACTGAAGTAAACCCTGTACTTATTGAGTAACACACTGTGGGCTTTGTGCATGAACAATAGATGGTGCCATGTGACACAATTTGAGAGCCCCAGTGGAGGTACGCACGACTAATTGTATTCCTAATATGCACAAGCAAACCTGGCGTGTTTTCACATGAGCATCAGGCGCCATGGATTCAAGAACCTCTCCCAGTGGTCTCCCCCAACTCTCTCTTTGTTAACTGTTGAGGGGGTACTAGTGCACGGAGTCCATAGGCCAGTCCAGGCACGGAGCCTTTGAAGACTTACAGTAGTCCCTAGCTATTGTTCAAAGTAACGCACCGATATGAACACACCATAGAGTTATATTAAATTACAAGAGCGCTAACTCATGTACAAAGTGATGCCTGCTGGGCGCATCCATGTTTGTGCACAAACCTATTGAGAACTAGAAATGTTGTACGTATTTTGTACGTCTAATTGCATATCTGCGTTTTTATTCCATACCAGTGTGTAATTGAAGCCGATACGTCAAAAACCGAAACGCACTATCAGCAAATGAGCGTGTGCGTATCCGCTGCAGCCTTGATTAACCGTGTTTTTTTTTAAAACGTACAGCACGCTTAAGAAGTTTACGTACGTTCTACTTGCGCGTTGCATTCAGAGTACACTTTCAAAATTCAATCTATCGAATTTCATTACATTCTACAAACACGCACATGAATTCAAAATGTCTGCGCCCAGGACGGCTTCAAAGCGTCTCCGCGCGCAGAATGACGAGTTGGCGTTCTAGTAATTTAATATAGCTCTATGGAACACACCGATATGTACTGTCAAGGAACACCGTGACAGTACAACAGCTCTATAAAAACCGAAACGTTTTGGAATTATTTCTTCAGGATGAAGCTCTAGACTTTGCAGCCAGTGTCGGCTACCCTTGTTTACTGCGTCCTTCATTTGTCCTGAGGTAAGAGTATTTTTCCTGATAGCTCCATTGCATAATTTATACAACATTTGGTTTTGCTGTCAATTTCGGATATGGACGGATTTGGGGGTTAGAATTTTATAGCAAATATTGTTCCATTAATGGTAGATTAGATCATTTGTCATTTGTGAATTTTTTCGTTTGAAAAAACATAAGTGCTCAGAATGTAAAGACAGGTGCTTAACAACTAACCTGATGAAGTTTTAGCTTAATGAATGCTGTAGATTCCGAGAAAACAATATTCTAGGATCTCAATTTCAATTCAAAAGTTGCTGTGACATGTTTTGAATTGCGCCCGAAATCAGCGTCCAGGACACCAATTGCAGCTACGAGATGTCATACACTGAACCGACGAATAATAGCAACCGTGTGCGTGTGTGTCGTATCAACGCTTGCGTGCACCCATTCACGAATTCAGTCAATTCGGGGCAGTTCCCCCCCCCCCCCCCTATTTTTTCCAATGATGGTTCAGCTGAACCAGCGTTGGAAAATAATACAAAATTCCACTTGTAAATGACAGCATACCAGGTGCCATGATTTCACAGGATGCTTGAGACTATTATTTACTTACTGTCAAGTAAGGTATTTTATAATAATTTGGTAGTTAGGTTTTTTAATTTTTACAAATGTTGTACATTACTGTTAATCAAATGCCTTTATGGTAAAAACATCAAATGTCTCTTTGTAAACCAAAACCATAACTTTGAATTCAGTCCGTTTTTATGAAGCCCAGCCCACTGCACATGTGGGCAGCGTACAGCTTGAGCACCCACCTTTCAGTACCACACTGATGCGTAAGTGCATACATGATGGACTTCTGTCAGCTATTTGGTTGCACAATCATGACTGTGTCCAAACAACACAGGGCAGTGTTGAATGGGTTGCTTAATTGTAGGTAACATTGATCATTTGATTTCATTACAATTCCAGTGGCTCAGCAATGAATGTAGCCTACGGCCCTGATGAACTGAAGAATTTCCTCGCCGCGGCAACCATGGTATCCCAGCAACATCCGGTCGTCATCACAAAGTTTGTTGAGGGCGCTAGAGAGATTGAGATGGATGCAGTTGCACAGAATGGAACGGTAAACCAATATATATATCAGTCAGTTTTTGAGTTCGTTTTGCACATGTTTGCTCAACAAAAGATGGCCTGATCATTCACTTGTACAACGTTATGGGAAGGAGATTGGTAGTGTTGTCACCTGTGACATCATGCATTTCAGCTGGCAGGCAAAACAGCCACCCTAGCACCTTTCTCATGTTATTTTGCCACATTGTACCATAAATCTATAAAAAAGAATTTAACTACCCACATTTCAATTGATATGCGTGCACTTCAGAAATTCAGCACCACATGACCACAGCATCAAGTTTTATAACAAATGTGACATGGTCTATGGCATGGTCTATGGCATGGTCTATGGCAAAACACTGAATCTTCCGTCAGCATAAATTGGCAATCAGGTTTTAACATTTTTGTAAAAAATATTCCATCTCTTTTGTTGTTCCATTTTCAAGACTTGTTTTCAAGGCTAATTCCACAAGTTATGTACACATAATTTATAAAGACTATAGTTGCTCAAAGAGCCGTTTTCAAAAGTCAATTTTTTTTTATAAAAAGCTGTTTCTTGGAAAATGGTCTTAGTCTTACTTGTCCAGGAATAAACCAACACATCCACAAAAATGATGCAGATTTGTGTCACATACTGAGCTTATATGAAAACACAGAATGCTTTATTGACAAATCAGACAAAATCTCGTTAGTGTTTTTTGATCCTCTGGTTTTGACATGTTTGTTTATCATGACCAGGTTGTTGCCCATGCCATCACGGAGCATGTAGAGAATGCAGGAGTCCATTCTGGTGACGCCACACTCATACTGCCACCACAGACCATCAGTGCTGAAGTCATCAACAAGGTTTGTCATCCATGTTGTCACTGCAAAAAACAAAATCACACCCTTTTTCTTTTCTAAATGTAAGGGATGTAGGAGAATATGCATAGAGGAATATGCATATGATGAATTTTGGGAGAGGAGATGTAGTTTTTGTTTGCATGTTTACATTTATTTTCAGTGTTTAATTTTTCTAGCAAACTCTCATGCCTGACAAGATTCCTGCCCTCGCATAATGATGAATAATACATATATGCTTAATAATGGAGTTATTGTTTGCAGTTTACATTATTGTATTTGGGTTGCAAATTCATAAAGGTTATTCATAAATATGTTTGAACAGGTTTACTAAATTGTACTAGATTCGTATTAAGTTCTTGAAGAACATAAAATACCCTTTTCATTGAAGTCAATATGCTTTGTCCATAGATCAACGAAGCTACTGCTAAGATAGCCAAGAAGTTTGAAATCTCGGGACCGTTCAATGCTCAATTTCTGGCCAAAGATAATGACATAATGGTAAGTAGTCACACAGTGTTGCAGTTGTGTCAATCACAAGACCTCTTGATGACAACACCAGTCAATCCCAAGTCACTGAGCCCCAGATCAGGTAGCTAGTTATTCCAGTGAACTGTGGCAAAGGCATGCCTGTGTTAGTTTTCATCCCCTGTTACTCATGAATGGATTTGTGACCAGACTTGTGATGGAATCAGAGACAACCCTGGTGTAAGAATGCTCTAACCTAAAGCAAAGCAAATCCTGTTGGATTACTCTTATGTCAGAAACCAATCACAGAGACCTGTTTAAGATAACATTGGGTTTTCCCCTCACCAGGGTAATTTTAGTAGCACCTTATACTCAGTGTTGTCGGAGAACATGCGAGAAAAAAATCAAGGGACTTGAACCCACCGTCTGCTTATGCCCCTCTCACACCAATCCAAGACCAGTGCGAGGTCACTTCGGAAATGCAATTTTTTTCAACAGTATCTGTGGTCTCCTTTTTTAGTCCGTTTTTTGATGCCAGCACGTTTTTATCCACATTATCTCTGTTTCGGGCCAAACAAAGAGTATGGTTGGATTGCTAAGGAATTTCTGTACTGATCAGTCGTAATTTGAGCAAGAGGTGCCCAGTAGTTTTTGAGTTAAACAAAAAGTATTAAGGGGGGACTTTCTTTTTTGGTTGAGTGAATGAGTGTATAAAGTATGTCTAAATTGGAATCTCTCTTTCACATGTTACTGAAGCTTGGAATAATGACTGGTTACCAATAGCTGCACATATTTCCAGATTGGTAACATTGAAGTTTGGTATTCGAACTTACCTGTTGTTCTATCAGAGTGGGTTCACACTTTTGTATCAGCATGCAGTTGTAAAAAAAATCATGATTCAGCTGCTGGCCCATCCATTGTTCTTGAGCCAGACTTGCTCCTAAGTTTACAACAGAAAAAACTTTTTGCTGATATTTTTTACCATCCAGTAAGTGACAGATAAAAATAATGGCCAAAATCAACAAACACCTGCCTCTGTATATTTGAAAAAAATCTCCATTTTCTAATCTGATCTGATCTTCATCTGCCAGGTGATTGAGTGTAATCTGCGAGCCTCTCGATCCTTCCCCTTCGTCTCCAAGACGATCAACTGTGACTTCATTGACGTCGCTACCAGGGTGATGCTGAAGGAGCCCCTAGATCGCAGTATGCTGCCCTCACTGGACAATCCGTGCATCCCTCAGGACTATGTGGGTATCAAGGCCCCAATGTTCTCCTGGCCTCGTCTGCGAGATGCTGACCCACTGCTGAGATGTGAGATGGCATCTACTGGGGAGGTATGTAATTGGGTACTAGACCAGAAGTTTGACAAAGGCCAAGTCCTTTGCAATATGAGGGGTAGTGAGAAAACTGCCAGACAACAGTGGACAGTAGCACAGTAGCATAGAAACCAAAAAGGCACCAAAATGCCTTTGAAAATGGCTAAACGAAAATTGAAAAGAAGGTATAATGGGACACAATGGTGCATTTTCAAGGATTGCATTAAAAAAAATACATTGCATAGGCCCTTTTAAATTTGTCATTGTAACAGGCCATTAGCATTTTTTTTACTGAGGACACTTTTCATTCTGTTCATCTTTGTGGGAACAATGTGCATGATGCATATTAGCAAAACCTTTGACGCAGATTCACAGAATTCACAAACTCTTCTTTTTGTTCATCACCAGGTTGCTTGCTTTGGGCCAAATATCCACGCAGCATTCTTGAAAGCACTGCTGTCAACAGGCTTCAAGATTCCCAAGCGCAATATCCTCATCGGCATCCAGAAAAAGTTTGAGCCGGTATTCCTGCCAACAGCCCACAAACTTCACCAGATGGGATACAAGGTCAGACCACTTTGCAACACAGCTCTCGTTGTGAATGTTACCTAATTGCAGGCCACTAAACCAAGTCTGCTGCACCAGTAACTTTTACAAAGAGGGATTAATACTTCAGTTTGTTATAAGTCTAAACCTGCAAACTTTGGCTTCAAGGATCAAGCCCACACAAAAGAAATGAGTAAAATGATAGAGGATACTTCATCGTAATTAAGGCTCATGAAATTAAATCCACTCTGCGACTACATGTACATTGAATATGTTTTAGCTAAACCACTGTCTTTATGACATCAATTTAATATTAGCTGTTGACTGTGTATTTATTCTACCCTCTCTTTATTTAACTGTGCACATTTGTGGGTTTCAGCTCTTTGCCACTGAGAAGACAGCTGAGTATCTGAATGAGCACAACATTCAGGCCAAAGTGGTGGCCTGGCCACTAGCTGATCAGCATGAGAAGATAGATGCGCCATCAGCAATCAAGTAACAAAAACTGGGTTTTTTTAATATCCAAATGTAGTTTCAGTTTAAAAACCTGTCACTTCCTTCGTGTGGGTTCCCATAATTGAAACTCAACCCCAAAATTCAAATCTGATTACCCGGAAGTTGTCTAAAGAGCTTCATATCTTTACGGTGTAAACTGCAATAAACTGCAACTTGGGCAAGCAGCATCTGTCACGTGTTAAAGTGCACATAAACTTGAAATCTGTTTTAGTTTTACATGTAGCCTGTTTTTCATTTTGAAAATTCCCCACAAATGTCATTTGAAAATTCCTTTTTCATTGTCTGAGAAGTAACTAAGTAATTTGTAAAATTGGGTACGGTGTACCTGATCCCATAATCTAGCTCTGGTTCCTGACAGCAGTGGTCGGGTAATCGTGTACCCAGTTCCGATGGACACCCCTAGATTTCAGTATTTTTTTTCAAGAAACCCTTTTGAAATCTTAAATTCCTGAGGCTCACCATAAAGTTGTTTTACCTATAAAAGTTGATACAGAACAAAAGAAATGGGTATTGTATACCACAGACCCTATGTTGCACTGGGACCCTCAGTGACCCTCAAACCCTGTACCGATTATTTCATCAATTTGTCATTTTCTCCCCAATTTCCTAGATTTATCCAGAGCAAAGAGATTGATTTGGTGATCAATCTTCCCAATAACAACACCCGCTATGTGCAGGACAATTACCTGATCAGACGCTCAGCCATTGATGCTGGAGTACCTCTCATGACAAACTTTGAGGTAAGTCACCTCTACTTCCAATTAGGAATTGACACAAATCACAGTCTCCATGGCAGTGAGAACTGAAAATTGACCTAACTCATTGTTGTAAATATGGGTTCACTGAGTAATATTCAATTAGCAGAATTTGAAGTGAACATCAAAGATGTCATTTAGCAAAAACAAATAAAGACCAAAAAAGAATGAAAAAAGGGAAAGATAGTAATTGTTAAAAAAAAATTGTTTCCCAATAACCAGGTTACATTAATTTTGTTTGTAAAATATCTGACTTGATCTAGTCACCATTACATGTACTTTATTCATTTTAGCAGAGTAAGTATGACTGTCTTATTTACGACAAATGTGAAAGACATTGTTATTAATACATGAATAATATGTATACTAGGTTTTTTTTCCATACAATTTTATGGAAACTATTTTCTCGATAAATTTGAGTAGTATACAATGAATCATATCACTTGTGTAATATATTTTGTGTGCTAACAAAAACAGAATAGTGAAATGACAAGGAATTAGGGGAAACAACTAAAAACATGCAGGCAATCAAGTTAAAGATAAGGCTTATTTGCTATCAAAAAAATGAAAAGGGAATTTGTGTGCCTGTTTCCCCAAAGATAACTAGTTCTGCAGTGTTCATGGAAATCTTTTACTCTTGCTTGTCACTTGAAATAAATTCAGTTCTTAACCCAACTCCCGTGCCAATTCACTAATGCAATAATGACCCACAGTCAAGATGTAATCCCATTGTGTTTAGATGTGTCCCTCTGAATACTGTAAGGAGATTTTAACTCGCTGGAAATGCACTAATCCCTTTTTGACTCTTGGGGAACTGTCATATGTCCCAATTAACCACAATGGGAGAATTAAGAAATTACTTTAAAGGAAGTTGAGAGGTTTATGCACAGACGGTGTGGAAGTGTCTGTCTTTTTCTTTATCGATTTTTGAAGAAAAAAACACATGGTTTGCTGTTTGAGCAACCTACATCAAAGTGAAGCATTTCCATGATTTTTGTGCATTCCGAGTATTGGGAGCTGTATATATTGACATTATCAATTGATCAAAGTAACTTTGCTTTAAAATTAAAAAAAAATGGGAATTTAGACTTAGTTGTCATGAACTTCAGTTATGGTTTCTAACCTGCCAAGCTATTAAACATGAGTGATTTTGACTAACTAGCAAGACTAGTTTTGTATCACATTTATCTGATTACAAATTTGAACAGACTTTGAGAATGTGTATTTGTGCTGATTATGGATCTGCAACACTGGCATTGCAATCATTTCATTTGATCTGCTGTACAAAAATGAATGTTGAAAGTGTTTTCTAGGTGGTTGCATTTTTTTAAAACACACAATGTTATCATGTTTTCAAATAATTAATTATCCTTAATGACATTTCCCAGGATTTTCTTGGTATGATGTTGATTTTAGTCTGTTATTTTGCTGGCTGATCTTCCTATCAAAGGCATTTGTCTATTCAATGTTTACATTTTAGGTAAAAATTATGGATGCAAGATTCAGATATTGGCTGATTAGTTTTTCACTATGCCAACACAATTTGTATAAAATAACTTGTGGAAATATATAACAGTGAACAAATTCCAAATCTTAATTGGCATTAAATGAAATTCTTGAAGTGGATATTACACACATGGTTTGGGCTTACTGCTACAGTATGTGTCTGCTAGCTGCTATCTAGATTGTATTAATCATGAAAGGATATTGTTCATGACATTCTGTAGAAGGTGCTGCCCAATGCTCTTATTTATCTCCCCCCCCCCCCCCCCGATCACTTTTCTTTTTTCCAGATAAAAAACTTCCGCATGACAATGAACATGCAATTTTGTGAACACGTGTGGCACTGTCACTAGAAACCTAACTGTAGAAACCTAACTGTAGTGTCAGATGTGAGGGTAATTTGAGCTTTCCAGACTTCAATGGCTTCCTGTATCACATGCAATCGACGTAAACCATCATAGTATTTCTGAGGCATGTTCAATAGTGCAATTCATATGCCATTCCCACATACCTTCGAGGGTGAAGGTATTACAAGGATGCCCAATGCTAGCACACATATTGCACTGTTGAATGTGTCCCTGGTCTTTGCCAGTGCATCAGAATGTTGCACATGTTGTAAGCTTTAACTCTCAGTCTTTTTTCTCTTTGTATGTTTAGGTTGTGAAGCTTTTTGCACAAGCGCTGGACCACGTGGGTAAACTGGATGCCACGACGCTATTCCACTTCAAGAAGCCTTGGCACACCACGATGAAAACACAGCATTAAAGGCCTCCAACACCACGATGAAAACATAGCATTTAAGGCCTCCAACACCACGATGAAAACATAGCATTAAAGGCCTCCAACACCACGATGAAAACATAGCATTAAAGGCCTCCAACACCACGATGAAAACACAGCATTAAAGGCCTCCAACACCACGATGAAAACAGCATAAAAGGCCTCCAACACCACGATGAAAACACAGCATAAAAGGCCTCCAACACCACGATGAAAACACAGCATTAAAGGCATGCAGTTGGTCTGTATCAATCTTGCAGATCGCCCAGTCTCTCTTCATTGGACGCAATCTCTCTTTAGTTTGACTACAATTTGAAGTACAAGGGTTCTTTTGCAAAAAGTAAAAAAAAACACCTATTTTATTTTTTCAATAGACCTTATGCGTTGCCTCAGCAGGTGTTATTTAAATTTAGTCCCAATGAATGGACAAAAAGGTTTCATACATATCCCAGCTGTACAAAACCACCTTGACGTATAAGCTCTATAGACCATGTGCCCTGTGACATCAAGCTGACAGGCAAAGACAGGCAACCCAAACGTTGAAGCATCTTTTGCATGTGATTTGGCCCACATTAAATCAACAATTTTAAAGCATTCACATTTCAAGAGATAAAACACATGCAGGGCAGAAGAGCACCGTTTGCTGAAAGATAACGTCACGTGACCACAGCATGCAATTTTGTCACATGGTCAATAGAGGGAACCCTACATATCAGTCCAAAGAAAACAACCCTTGTAAGGCTACATTGTGAAGATTTCATTTGGATGAGTTGCTTTCAGATTTGTCAAAAGTGGCATTATCACTGGATGGATAAATACAAGAGTTTTACTGTAACCTGAAATATTTAATACCAGTACCTATCAGTATTCCTGATATTATTGAAAGAATGAAGCCGGACCTTAAACTTCATTTTCTTTTGTCAGCAGATTTAATTTCTTCAGTTTTAAACTGAAATATAACTGACAAACGTTTTAAGTGTTAACCTACAGAATTAACAAAGACAGAAAAAAACCTGCAAGATCAAAGATCACCTTGCGGAAAAAAGCAGTACTGCTTTAAAGGAAAAGAACAGGGTTGAATTTTTTTAGTATCTTAAGTCATGAGTTTTATGTATTTGTCCTTTGTGTCTTGGCTTTTATTATCTAGGAACGTTAGTGGAATTAGTTGTGGAATAATGGAATGGGCCTTATTCACGAGTTGGCCATTTTTGTCGAGTTCCCTGAACATATATCATTAATTCTTAACTGTAGAATGGGATGGCGCCAGACTGTTTTGCAGGCATAATGCAGCCTTTTTTTACTGTCATATTTTATAAAATCTGGCTTTAAACATTAGGGAACGTTTGATTACAAATTTTAAATTATTCATTGAAGTAGACTGGAATTAAGTAGAAATTAAGTTGGTTTCATTTCTCTACACAAGTTCCAAAAATCAAGATTTTACCTCACTCTCAATCCAATATGGCCGACTCATGATTAAGGCCCATTGATAAGTTTGCATTGTTTGTATGTCCAGGCTGTGTTGTAGTAAGGGTTAAAGGTGTATGTAGCTGCTCTTATAGAGCTAGAAATGGCAGCTTTATTTTTTGTAATAGAATTGTATTTTTATTTTGTGGGATTGTGAGGTTGTGGGCTTAACTTGCTTTTATGAAATATAGTCATCTTAAGAGATGTAAATGATGTTTGTGAGGCGTTTTAGTGAAATGAGACAGAACTGGGCACAGGCCGTAGCAGACAAAAATGCAAACAAATTACATTTGATTTTTAGATTTCTTCATATTTGTAATCGTTGATATATCTACTACACGTACAAGTATGTATGCTAAAGATATAATATAAAATATGTGGAATTAAAGTGTTTTAAGGAAAACAGTAGGCATCTTTCGTTTTTACAAATACAATACTCTAAACTGCAATGGCCTTTTTCTCAGTATTTTACTTTTCTAACATGTCGATAAATGCAAATTTTATACAGCCATAACTTGTCAACAAAATGTCAGGATGGAAGTGCAACAAACAGTATTGTAAGGAGAATTGTATTCTCTTTCCTGATACCTGCAAACCCTCATTTCGACCTCTGCCCAGTTCTGTGTCATTTTGCCAGAACGCTTCACATTTCTCATTGCAACATGGAAGGAATCCTGTATAGGGAAATGTGTCTAATTTGACAGTTATGGAAATGAAATAGTGGACATATAATTTGAGATATCTCTTTTGCGATATGAAATATATTTTGGGCCCTCGATACGTAAATGTTTTCAACTATATTTGCTAGAAGTGGTGAAGTTGTAATCTTCACCTATTTGGAATAAATGTTTTGAACATCTGAAATACAGTTTTGAATAACACAGGAAGCACAGATTTAAACTAAAGGTACTGTTGAGACTTCGTATGAAAAATATTCTTGAAGTACCTTTTAGGTATTTTCTCTTTGCAGGGTATAGGTTTTTCTGATGTAGCTTTTTTTTGCTCTGCATGCTAGTATTTGTTTTTAAACTAATGTTTTAGTTAACAAAATTGTACATCGCTTGTATCTTGTACTGAACAGATTTGAGAAGTGCAAAATAGAAGTGTATATTTTTACAACCACATATTAAGCAAAGGTTGAAAAAATGATATATTGTGTTGCTAATTAAGTTGGAGGCTACAAAGGTGATTCAGCATTAATGTGAATGATATTGGTATCCATATCACAGACTATGAAAGCATTCAATCTACAGAGATAAGTAAACAAGCAGAGTGTATTCTAGTTGTGATAAATTGTGTTTGTAAAGTGCTGTTGTGTTTGTGTCAGCACGTAAAACGGTGGTATTTGTGGCAGTGCACAAAACCACATCGAGACATGTTCAATTAAAACAACTTCTCATAAGATGGATTTGTTTTGCGTGGGGGTGATGTAAAGTCAATATTGGGTTTGCCCTTCACCGACGTATTTTTACAAACACTGTATACACAGTGTTGCCTCAGTGATTGTGAGGAAAAAAATCACTCGGGTGGGACTCGAACCCACGACCTCCTACTTACTAATGCAGAGAATAAATCAACTTCCTCAGACCCGCAGATTGTTTATGAATTTGAAAACATTATTGCGCCCTTTTTGCATACGGGATTGGCAAATAGGATTGTAACAAAGAAAATCCACGGTTTGCAGACGTTGATTTTATTTTTAGATTCTATTAGATTCCAACACCAAAACCTGTAATTGAGCCAGAACAAACATGTTAGAATTAATGCACCGCGTGAATTATCTGAAAATTATCTTGACAAAGAACTCGTTGCAGTATATTACTATCAATATGGATTCACTCGTGTCCAGCTATAATTCAGCGATAGTCAGCGTTTTGAGTAGTCAAGCTTCTCTTTATAGACTCCTTATATATGTCAATCCTCTCCAAATTCTGACGACACTTGGAGATGATGCATGAGGGCTATCGCATCGCCACCAAACTGCAGGTGTGTACGGTCCAACAATCAACGGACAAAATCACCATTAAAAGTTGGTGGCGTATTCAGCGGACAGGGAAAGGGTGACCCTCCCCGGCGACATTTTGCCATTTTTGGCGAGCTGCGAAGCAGATGCGAGCCTATGTAATACCAATTTCCGTCCGTCTGTCCGGGCGCCCGTCTGTCCGTTCTGACCAGACCACCCTTGTGGGGTGATGTTCCTTTCAGGACACATCACCCCACTTTTTACACAATGGAAAAACATCACCCCAGAAGGGAATCTTTAGAAAAAGGGATAATGGGAACACAATGCTATCACCCCACAAGTCCGTCTGGCTAGAACGTCCGTCCGTCCGTCCGTCTGTCCGGCCGTCCGCGTTCAGATAAAAATGTTGATGTTTTTGGTTCTAGTTAACTTGGGAAAAAAAATTAAATGCAGTTGTCATGTATCATCTTTATAACTTCAGTTAGGTTCATATCATTGCAGTAAATTTTATGATTTTATTGAGGAATTTTAATTCAAGGAAATGTTAAAGTTTTTAATTGTTACATGTACAAGTATACTGGTATAACATGTACGTGTGTGTATACCGGTATAACATGTACATGTACACTATGCATTTTGGGGATGTGCATGAGCTTCTGGTTTGATCTTTTAGTTTATGGGGTTGGAGTAGGGATGGGGTAGGGGAGGGTGGGGTGGGGTGGGGTGGGGTGGGGTGGGGTGGGGTGGGGTGGGGGATAGGGTTGGAAATAGGGTTTGTGTGAGTAGGATGAGTAGGGGAGCTAGGATGGGTGGGGCGGGGTGGGTTGGGGTGGGGAGAGGGGTTGGAATACTGGGTTTGGGTGGGGTGGGGATTTGTAGGGGTGGGGTGGGAACAGGTAGGGAGAGACAGGTAGGGGGAGGATGGGCATGGATGTAGGGGTTGGGTTAGGAGGGGGTTGGGGAGGGGGCGGGATATAGGATCGGAGTAGGGGTTGGGTTGGGGATGTGTAGGGATGGGTAGGGATGGGTTGTAGGGGTTGGATAAGGGGAGGGGGCAGAATATAGGGATCAGAGTAGGGGTTGCATGGGGTCAGGTGGGGATGTATGGGTGGGGGAATGGGGTGGGCGGGATATTGGAATTCGAGTAAGGGTTAGGATGGGGATGTGTAGGGTGGGTAAGGACAGATAAGGGAAGATAGGGTAGGTGGGTGTAGGGGGTGGGGTAGGGGAGGGTACGGGTCAGGGGAGGGGGGAAGGAGATAGGGATTGGAGTTTGAGTGGGGTTGGGATGTGTAGGTGATAGGGTGGGGATGGTTAGGGGAGGATGGAATGGGTGTGGGTAGGGGGTTGGGTGGGGGAGGGGGCGGGTTGGAGATGGGGTAAGGTTTTGGGATGGGGTAAGGTTCGGGGGAGGTGGTGATGGTGCTGTGTCTACATGTACAGTATGTATACCCATTCTTGTTCTGCATTTGTGGCGACTTCACAAGAGTTTTCCCATGGTACTACAAGTATGGGGACCAGAAGACACTGTTGGGGCTGCAAAAATCCACAAGTGGGTCCTAATTACCCTAACAATGGAAAACTCCCCCATAATACAGTGACGGCTAACCTATATGCATATGTATTTATTAGGTAATCTGTTAACTTTTTTATGTTGACATTTAAAACCTGACCCCTACACCTAGGCACATCAACAAGAATCCTGATCCCCTTCCATCATGCCCATCCTCAACCCTACCTTCAGCCTCCCTTCCTGCCTTGGACAGCGAGCCATGGCGGCTTCGCCGTTCTAGTTTAAAAAGGAAATGAAACACCAGCATCTCACAATTGCTACTACTACTAGTATTATTAATAATCCCCGCGTTTACTAATTATTACCAACGAAACCAAATTGAATATTGTGTGCTTTGAACATCAATCAGGTGATGTCCAAAAGAGGGGGGGGGGCCCTCTTTTTTTTTTTAGTTCGCGTCGACCAGGTGACCGAAAAAAACATCCTGGCTACCTTCCGGCACGAAGTGGTCTGTAGGCAAATTTGCTGTCCCATCCCCAATCAAATGAGTATGGCAACGCCCATGCCTCCCCTGGACACAAAACCTGGACACACTGCTTGATTCTATTCCTTGCTCAATGGCTTGACAGGAGGCATCTCGAGTCTCTTTCAGTTGTCAGTCATTCTACACTATTACGTCCCAGATATGTCAGCCAATGTCGAGAATCTCATAATAAATTACAGCCCATAGTCTACGAACAATAATCTCGGCCTAGCAATCCACACATGGACTCTGATCTATATCACCAAATCCAACACGTACCTCGGCCAGAAATCAAACTAATTACGGACGACAATAACAGCCCGACCTTATCATGGACCTATGTTACAACTCGGCTGCCATGGCACAAAATGTTTTGATTTTTTTCTGACTTCTGTTTTAGAGATACACAAGTCACATAAAACAAACCGATCAGTTCAAATATTACGATCGAGAAACGTACCCAAACGATTCAATTTATCCGTCCGAGTGGAAAGGCATCTGTGTGTGTGGGTGTGTGTGTGTTTGGTTTTTTAACAAAATCTTTCCCGTGCTTTTTTTTTTCGTTCTGGGATTTTCTATAAAGGCAGTCGGATCTGATTTCTGGCAAGTCAATGAGAATCAGTACACAATGTCATTAAGGGCAGCGCTGATCCTGCTGATCAAGTAACAGAGAATAACAGCAAGCCTGCAGTCCGTACTGACTTGCGGCAACAAAATATATCACAGGCGTCGTATTGGATAACACAGACGTCATTTTCCAGCAATGAGGAGTTGATGAGGAGTGGAATCTAATGAGGAGTTGAATCTAATAATAGCGGTTTGATAATGTGCACGATATGACTGCAGCAGGGATAAATCTCTAATTGGAATTTCAGCAGAACCCCAACAATTCAGTGAGTGAAGATGACAAGTGACCTCACCTCTCTTCAACCAAGCCGCTAGCAGATGCTGATCCTGTCGAAATTACGAGGAAACCATCCGACCCCAAGGAGCAAAATCAAGCTCATCAGGGATGCTGCAGCACCTCTATTTCTTTACGGAGAAAGCACTGGCAGCCACCATAAAGCCGACAGGCAAGGTAAGTAGGAATTACATTGCCAGGTTCATATGGTGTGCTCAACGATGACAATTTTTCATGCACTAGGACTTCGTTTTGTCAGAACGGTGATAATGTTCCTGCCCATTTCCTCATGAGTCGCCGATAGATATATATACCGAGTGGAAAATAGGAAATGAAAGGTAGGGGTGATTACTTGAAACTGGGATGGACCGTTTGTGTACGAGATTAATTGAGATTTTTTCGCGAAAGGCATATTGCGATCGGATTCAAAGAATTAAACAATATCCCGGTAAAACAAAAACGAGAAATTAGCCCTTATAGAGTGCCCCAAATGGGAAACTAAAGGGTCCCTGCACCTTCAAATTCAATTAAAACATTCCTCCCTCGCCATGCTCGCTGCAATATGAGACACGCCCTTCCTACATACAGCCATATAGCCACAAGGGCTGATATGAAGGGGTGGTTGCGGGTGACTAGCTACCCCCTCCTCCTAGACATATCGAATTTAATTATGTACGTAATGGGACAAAAATTCCACTTGAATTATAAGTTCCCTGAATAACATCATTACTCAAGATTAGTCTTGTTCTTTGGTCTTTTGATCCGCCAATGAGTCGACTGGAAAAACCTAAAGCCATAACCTAAAGCCAATTATCCTTTTACGGCAGTTAGAATTCTGAGTAGGTATAAAATACAACAGTGTTTACCCACTCAGAATATCGTTCTCGTATTGTGTCCATTATAATTATCTTAAAAACGTCTAATTTGAATTGTACTGTGAATTCATATTCTTAAGGTGGGATGGCGACAAGTATATTTCAGAGATATTTCAATAAGTAAAAGTTCAGAGATATTTCCATAGGGGTAAATCAATAGCAAGAAATTTGTCCTCGTCACTGTCATTTCGAAAAGTGGCAGTTGGTGGCTGGGGGGGGGGGGGGGGAGGGGGCTACATTGCCCATCCACCCCAAAATGCCACGGGATGATGTCTTCCTTGCTGGCCTTGATGAGTTAAAAAGCCATTGCTCCCATAAATTTATGCTTAGTGGTAAACACCAACATGTGAACTGTCCCATTTAATGTCTGACTCGATTGAACAATTACTGGGTCGGGAAGCAATCTCCATCCCAAGCTCTCTCGGAAGCTTTCAACAAATTTAGTAACAGTCGACCGATGAATTAAAAGCAGAATCACCCAGAAATTAAGAGGAGATAAACGTACTTTGCATATGGACATCAAGAGGTTCGGTTAATCAGCTTAATCCACGTTCGGAAAGGGTATCTTGATGGTGGACATCTTGATGGGACCGTACAACCAGGAAATGTCTAAAGTCGTTACAGTCAATTATA